ATAAAGAAAAGTGAAATTAACATTAGGCTATGATAATTAGTAATTAGAATTGATACCTTGACGTCACGCATGGTCAGTGCGTGTGTCTTCAAATAAAATACATTTCTTCGTCATTCTTTGCAAGTGAAGGTTTATAAACATCGAAATTTGCTCACCACGGCCTTGAAAAACTTTGGTGAACCACAACGACAAATACTCATTTACCATACCTTACGTGTGATATTAAACCTCGTGTTAATACACTCATTTTGGGGTCAACAGACTGAGAAATTATATATTGAATCAATTTATATTTCCGCTGAACGTTTTCAATGACGTTATCAAATAGACCAGTGATCGCGAAATGAAAAAACGTCATAATTTTCTGACGCACATCCGTTGTAATCGTCAGACTTTTTGTTTTGATGCGTCATGATACTTACTCACAATTTTTCATCATCAACATCACTTATTTGCACTCAATAGCGGTTAGTTTTCATAAGTTTTCAGGGTTTTGCTAGAAAAGTCGGAAATACGATACAAATTGGTGTCTCAAGTTATCCAATTAACATCAAGTGCGAGAAAAACTCTTGGAAGAATAATGATGAAAAGTTGAATATGCATATTTGATAACATTTTCGACAGAAAGTCGCCATCAGCCAAAAGTGGTTTTCAAGAGTTCTGTTTGAAGTAGAACAGCTCAGGGTTAGCTGTCAATGTATACGTAAATCTGCATATAATGTAATTTACCCTCTTCATTTAGGGAGGGTTTACAGCTGAATGTTTTCCAAACTGTTTATCAACCAGAGTATTTCAGTAGTTTTTCATTTAGCATGCGTTGTCAAAGACGTCATCTCTAATGAAGGGAGTAAAGCATCGTTTTCGAAATCCCATAGCATAAAAATGTGACGTTTCCCGTTTGCCAGTGGGACTTGAATGTGATTCGTCTGTCGGTCAGCCTGAGTCGCTTGCAATTGGTGTCGTTGACGAAACATAAGTATGCAAAATAATTATGTAATGAATTTATTTTACGCTTTTTCAAAGTTCTTATTGGTATATAACGAAATTAGGAATCTTACCTTCTTCGTTGCAAAAAAAAGACTGAATGTTTCGTATAAGGCTTAGTAAGGCATCCAAACTAATGAAGAGGCCTTACCCTTCTGTTTTCGACAAATAATTTGCTTACAATCAGTTAAATTGTGATGAAATAATCAGTTTTTTTCACAGCGAGACCTATGTTGACTCCTAAGCTCTTAGATGTTAACCTGCATTACTTCCATAGGAGCTGACCCTGACCTCCTGCTTAAGAAAGAATTGTAATAACCTCTGGTGACATCGCTCGGCTAAATTGTTAAACACCACATTTGAAGTCCCGCTAACATGAAATTTGATTCTTTGACAGAGGAACTTCGAACGCGATGTTCTATGACTTGTCTAGAGGTTAGCCCAATTTGCATGGGAGAGACGAATCGGGTATGTCCATCTAAGGAGGCAATCATGCACTAGTAAATTCTAACCCTTTTTCAAGTCATGTCAGTGTAACAAAATCAAAAATTCTTCCTCTTGTTTGCAGAAACGACACCATATTGTAACGCATATAGCTCCTTAAATGCTGAGAAATTATTAAAAACTGTTTGTCTCTTTCCGATTGCAATATCTCTTTAAAATAGATCGAACCGTGCGAAATTGGTTTTAAAGATCAGAACGTCTATGTTTTAATATAATGACACAAAGAAACTCCCAAACATTGGAGTCATCCTTCACGTCATCCAATAAAAAAGACAATTCAGTTTCTTTAAATAACTTCCCGCATAATCAAACACCTAGATAGAGAGACACAACTTTGCTGAGAGTACAGAGACATTTTCAAATGAAATACGAGATGGAACTTAAGGAAAGAAAAGATAAAAATTTAAGTTAAATTTCAAAAAGGTTGGTAAAGTCACATCAATTTATTTATCTCTAGTTTAGTGATGCTTTACATCTTTTGCGTTTTGCTAATCAAAGCATTTTAGAACCTGCGTGTTTATGACGTCTTACAATGGCTGAGTCATAAACAGACGTCATAGTCACGAGACCCTCTGAAGCTTTTGGGCTGAAACGTTCATTGACTTATTATCCCTCAAACATCCAAGAGAATACCGATAAGTACCATTTCTCTCTCATGTGTATTATCATTACATGAGTCATCGTAATCATATGCGTGATTTACGTGCGCGATGTCAGTTGTTCATATCAAAAAACCAAAAGTACAAGCTTTAAAAAAAACATCCATGAGAATTTAGCACATGAAAGTTATGCTCTTAGATCTAGAAAAACTTTCCAAATTTTGTCTCTAATAAGACTGGAATAAGATTGACAAGTCTGGGTGCGTCTTTCTTTTCGGAATAAAGATTAACCTTTTCCTATGTTAACTGAGTTGATTCGATACATACTAGCCAGCGGTATGCAGTCATGAAGTCAACGTTTGTCGACTAAACATTGAATTTAATATTAACTCCATTCTATTCCGTGCCCCTCATCTACTTGACGAACTGGTAGTATCATTTACTCTTCTAAACGATGACTCTAACGTGCAACCTCTTCCTCTACTCTGAATCGTTGAAATCGGTGCGTGCATGCATGGACCACTTTACATTTTTACTATATCTTCCCTTAATGTCACAACTTATCATGTAGGGATCTTATCGAGTTATCCCCTACTACCACATGGAATTTACACAGCAGTCATCCCGTAGTACGTGATCTCTTGAAAGGAAGTAACATAAATATTTTAAAAGGGGCTCGAAGTCCTTTTGTTTACTGCATTCATAATCACCGCATGAAAATTATCTTTCTTCGTTAGCTTTGATACCACCATCTTATTTTTGCGTGTGAGCAGAAACTCTAATCTTCCTCCTTATTCTACATTTCAAAATCCAACGAGTTCATCCGTAATCAGTTTAAATTTCAATGTAATCTTATGTCCAGCCTTTGCAAATCGTATAGGAAAGGAGAAAACTTTTAAGTTTTGATTCCCATACGATTTAAAATTCAAAAAATTGGTAAAATATCGTCCGCCAAAACATTCTGTATCACATGCAAAATGGTTCTACTAAGGATGATAAAATGTCATGGAATTTCTTTTCCTTTTAATGAGCTATAATTTTATAACACTCAAACTATCCCAAGTGGTGAAGGCACATACATTTTAACATATAAAGAATGGAATGAACTCAAATTTAAGTTTCCTGATAGAGCCATTTGCGGACAGGTGTTCGTTGAGAATAACTTCTTATAGCTTGTCATTTGCGGTGGAAATAAAAAATAACGTCTCGACTTGCATAGATCCTATCATAACCTCGAGACGAAGGAAATGAGTGGCCCATATGAGGTTCTAATTAGAGAGCATAGGTCAGTTTAAAATCTCATTTCTTCTTTACGCAGAAGTTTCCTTCTTTTAATACCTTGAAATGTATTAAAGAAGGAAACTTCTGCGTTAAGGGAAAGGGAGGGAAGGGAAGGAAACTTCTGCGTTCCTTTACGCAGGAAACTTCTGCGTCTTTCTGCGTCTTTACGCAGAAGTTTCCTTCTTTTAATACCTTGAAATGTATTAAAGAAGGAAACTTCTGCGTCAAGAAGAAAATGAGACTTTAAACCTGACTTATGCTCTGAAAAATCTGTTGTCAGTTCGGTAAGGAATTTAACCGGAAAAGTCCTAAGATAATATTTAGTTAGGATAACCCGGAAAATATAAAAAAAATCAAAACATAAAATAAATAATAAACGCTCTTGCAGACATTTTGTTCTGACGCGCATCAAAATTAGCCGAAATATATGAGCAAAGTGAATGTAAATAAAACAAAACAATCCACACGAAAAGTTCCTTGGTTCTCGACGGAGACCATCATTGGCCCAGATTTCTTAAATTTTAACGCCAATCAAACGTCTCCACCCATGTGTGAATGCTGAATTGGCTCGGTGGAGTGCTTTCAGACTGTTAGAACCAAGTTTCACACGAGTTAGAAAAACCACACAAGTCAGCAAGTTGCGGTGTTTTTAAAGCTTATAACTTTTATGGCAAAACTCCCAACAGAAAGGTCAATTAACAACACACTCGCGTTTCCGTTTACCTCCTTAAGTTTCCTTTTACAGATTTGCTTATTTTGCGGAACGGCGTTTGTTTTATCATATTTTCATTTTAAAACTTCTGGCCAGAATTTATTCCCTTGGACATGGCCGACGTTTGACCGCTGTGTTTATCTAGTTAAGTGCCTGTCACGTGGTACAATGTAGACAAGGTGACGGCGGCACGAAACGAAATAGAAGCTTGATCGATTGTAATTTTGTCAAAAAAGAGAGCTTGCCGCGAAAGTCAAGGATGAGCAAGACAATAAGCAAGGCAAGTGTTCCTAAAATATGGTGCCTTAGACGCTGTCAGCAGCTCATCGACACAGAAAGATAAAATTTGTTCTGGTTCCCGAGCTATTTTGAGGTTACTTTAGCCTAATTATCGGCCAAGATGATAGCAATTAAATTACAGGCAGACTTGAATAAGCTAATGGAGTGGTCACGCATTTGGAGAATGGAGTTCAGTGTCAAAAAACGTAAGGTACTAAGGGTAGTACGTAAGAAATGTATTTCTGAGAGGGATTATTTTCATGGAGAAACTAAAAAGGATCTGGGTATTTTGATCAGCCACGATTTATCATCACGTTGATATTACCTCCTCCTGAGCTCAAAGGATGCATGCAAGATATAACTAAAATTAGAACTAAAAAATTTTGTTTACATCAGTTGGGTGCGGTCACGTCTAGAATATGCCAGTGTGGTATGGTCGCCATACACTAATAAAAATATTACCAGCTTAGTACAAATTCAGCGCATGGCCATGAATTCTCGGCAAGGAGTATTCTGAGCATAAGCGCCTTAGAAACTTATATTTCTTAACCTTTACTACATCATAGTAGTATTCTTTTCTAAATGTTTTAATAATAATTATATATATATATATATATATAAGATTTTCGATTTTGCAACAAGCCTTTAAGAAATGCGGTTGCTTACCTTACACGTAATGTCCCTTTTATTCCAACAGAATCTTTAAGAATTCATTTTTCATTCGGGTTTGTTGCTCATGGAATGAACTAACTCCTAACATTAGGGAGTCTAACACCTTATCAGTGTTTCGCAAGAAATTGTTTACTTATTTTTTTTGACAAGGTCTATGCTAATTTTTTCGTTATTGTTATTATGAATCAAGAACTTTCTTTTTTTCTTAATTAGTATTTCAGTAGTACTGATTTTTTAACTAGGTAAATAATTAACTATTGATTAAGTAAACTTTTGACACTCTAAAATGTTCAACCAAATTGTAAATCCTGACTAATTTTACTTTTTATCTGCTTAAGGCGTTTTGTGCTTGTACTTGTCTCGTGACAAAATTTTGAGAAACTAGAACAAAGCCGAATCCACGTGCAATTCTACATGACGTCATCGAAAGCATGAATATCCCAGACAATGAAAACCGACCAACTGCGTATGCTTGCTATCTTGCGACAAAACCTGAATTTTCTTTGGGTTGTAATGAGAAGTGGTGCCGCTCCCTAACACTCGCCAGTAATAGAGAAATTAAGTGCCAGCTACCAAATTCAGGTCAAGTCTATTCCGTGGATAGATTTAGTGAGGTTGGCCACAGTTCACGATGAATACGTCATTTCCCGACGATTGAAAGTGAAAAGTCCAATAAAACCAAATTTATGCAAATGCTGAGAATGCGTAGGAAACACTGAATATATGGAATAGACAAAGAAGGGATGTTGGGAAACATGGACAGCGAATCAAAAGCACTAGCTAAAGAATAGATACATTCAATTTGGCTGCAATCCTCTTGAGTTGACTTTTATCATCTTATTTACATCAGGTTCATTTAGTAATTATTGTTGAATTATAATATCTAAAAGTATCATTAAGATAGTAATCAAATTTTGCTTAATATTTTCTCACTTTTCGTGCAAGAAACAAACTGATTTTCAACACAGTGTATATCAAGTAAAACCAAAGCTAAGACAAAATTAGCCTGATCCTGTTAAAATTTCAAATATCTGCCTCTTCATTATAAAATGTGAGAAAATTCAGATGCACAATCCCTCTATATTTCGACACAATATTCTACTCCATGCAAGATCTATGTTAAAACTCATTCTTGTTTTTCATAGAGGCAAACTTGAAGTATGCTTTAAGTGACAAATGATCTGAGGGAAAATACTTATTAGGCAGGCCAGTATATGGCTCAATATCAGAAGGTGGAACTGTCTCTAAAGCCGCAGTGACCTCTAGAGTCCTAGAGTCAAACCATATAAAGTCCAGAGTCCACACACATTCAGGTCCTTCGTGGTTAGTACACTGAGGTTCTGCACCCTAGAGTTTGTCATTTATTTAAGTAAGTAATGTAAAATAAATGTGTTCCAATAATGAAGTTGATGGTTTGTGTCATAGTTGAATGTTTACATGCTAACTTGTTAAGGAGTGAGCAAACCTGATGTACAAGAAGATCCTCTGGGATATGTGGCAGGGTATTTCACAAGTAAGTTTTATTTCAATAACCAAAAATCAACTGAGTTGTGTAAAGTAATTGTTGACATTCATTTAATAACTATTATTTATCCATTACTTTTACAGACTTACCATTATGCTCTTGTAGGCACTTTGCAAGTTGACAAGTGGATTTTTGAGTTGTGCCTCAGTCTTGTGTAAAAGTGACACTTGATCCGGTAACAGCTGTATTGTAAAACACATGGGTGATAGTATCATAATACTTATCGTGGTATTAAAGGTTTCTTGCAATAGAATGAATAACACAACTTTACACTTTTTGAAGACTCAATTTTCCTCTTAAAGGCTGCTACTGAGAAGAATTTCCAGGGAGGTCACTTAATGCCCAAAATCACCATAGGTCACTAATGTGGCTGCTTATGTTTTTTCTGCTTGTTAGGTTTGGTGCCTAAGACAGAGTTTCTTTGAATTGAGAGCCCAAGTAAGACATTTACAAACAAAATCTGATATCTACCAACTGAATTTACAATTCCTCTACTTTATGCAGTAATTAGTGAATTCAGTGAGACATTTTCATGGTTTGTGCAATTTAGATTCATGTACTACCCCATACCTGCAATGTTTTCTCCATGTATGTGTCGCGACCCCATCTTATGTAATCATAACCCTTCAGAGTGTTGATCTCTTTATCTGTCAGTTTTCCCTCTGCCAGAAGCTTGTAGGCAGGAAATTGAGGCTCAATATTGAAGTCTCCACAAAGAATGTGCGCCACTCTATTACCGTCAGACTCCTGCAGTGATGAAACCATATCATAAAGGGCTTTGGTGACCATTGCTATTTGACAAACTTGGGAAACAGTTTCTTTCAAATCTCCCCATCGTATATGTGTTACACCTTCAAGGTTAAAGCAAAAGAGGGGATTAATTAGGCTAGAGGTATCACTGGGGAAGGCAAAAGGAAAGGATGTTGTCAGTACTTGGTACAACTTGTATATTACATGTAGATGTACACCTGGCACAGATTTCAGTATAACAAAATAGTATAACATTTCCATTCAACTAGAGTTTACAACCAAATAAAATTAATGTACATACACATGTTTCTTAACATTTTGCCGGAAAAGACTGATCCACCATAGAGAGGCTAGTCCCCAAAGATCTAATTACCAGCCAACTCAACATTGTGACAATCATCATTTTTATCATAATTTTCATCATTATTACTCCCTCTTTAAGATCAAAAGGTAGGAAATTTTTTATGCTACAAGTGAAAAGTCACATATATGTACAGTGCTTTATCTAGAAGATGTAAATTTACTATTGAATACCTCAATTCTATATTTATAGTTTAATTGTGCAAAATTGTTAAGTGAAACTTATGAGGTTAAAGAAACCTTTACCATAATGATTATTCAATCTATGTTCATGATCATTTACTCATTCTTAGCACCTTGTATTTATGTTACTGCACATCTAACAGTTTCAAGTTATCAACATGATAATTTTATTACAATTTTTAAAAGCAATACGCCCTGACAGGAAAGAAACATTAGAGATGAAGGTTAAAAAATGTATTCAACCAACAACTTTTAAACAAATGAAATTCTATTCCCACAGTCCAGTTTTTCCAATGCTCTCAAAAAGTTCTATGACTTTAGATTGAATGGAACTGAAAAGAGAAATGGGTAATTGTGAAGAACAGCTCCCCTCACTGACAGTCGGCTGACTGTTGGTTATTTATCGGCTGACTGTTGGTAATCTGTTGGCCAACTGTTGGTAATCTGTTGGCCGGCTGTCAGCAATCTGTCCCAAGGGGAGCTGTTCTTCACAATTACCGAGAAATGCATACATGCAACAACTCCTATCTGTATCAGTTAAAATATCAGTCACCATTAAATGGCTATTCTTGTTATTATTATATATTTAAATGTAATTATTCTCATATGATTTATGCTGATATCATATTTTCATGAATTCAAATAAATAACTTACACAATACTAGAAGAGAATCACTAAGTTTGTGCCTCAATGTAGCAAGTAATGCAACCTCCCAAAACAGAGGTATCTCAGTATGCTGAAAGGTGCACTCTGCCATGTCATTCAAATAAACTGTCTTTGTTTCTTGGAGGTAAAACTTGTTCTTCTTAAAAAACAGTGCCTCCCCTTCTGGGATCCCCATACACTTCTTTGCAAAAAGACCTTCATAACCCAGCTCAGATAATTCCTCTTTCAGAATCTCATTGAAGTAAGATGTATCAACCTCTTGCAAGCAGATGATATCACTGTCAAGCCATCTTAACTAAATAATAAAGAAAAAATTGTTTAGACACACGCAGGACCAGGTAGGACTGGTGAAAATGTTGACTCACTAGTACATAAATGATTAGAATTTGTTTTTCAAAACAGGCATTTAGTGCAATATATGCCTTATCCAATAAACAAAATATTGACCCTTAAACCCCCAAGATCTCATTAGTAATTCTCCTTACTGTCTGCCATGCAGTTTTTGTGATGTTAGTTTGGAGAATTTGGTATTAGATAAATTTACAATCCCCTAACTGATATTTTTCTTTATTCTCATCACTTGTCTGCTTGATATTGTGATAATATTGTAAGGAGAAATTCTATTTCACGCATAGGAGTTAAAGTGTTAAATGTAAAATATGAAAAACATTAAATGCATGCATCACAATGAGGAGCAGCACACAGAAACACACAAAACCAATAAGTACCTCTAGATGGAAATTTATATAATTTGTAAACAAAGTGAAACTAACATAGAAATATGGTACCAAAGATGGGGTGTTAGGTAAACAAAGTTGTAAAGAAACAAAATAACTGCACATAAATTTAAAAGAAGTTGTGTAAACTGTGTTTTATGGTTGTAAGGTAGGTTTCATCAGAAAACCTTCAAATATTTGAAAAAACCAGGATCCTGTATCATGCAGTCCCTTTTCATTCCTTTCTAATTAAGACTAGCAACCCAAGTCACCCTGCTATCACAATCTTTGAAATACATGTACATGAAGACACATTCTATACATGCACACACCTTTGAAAGACATCAAGAGCTATAACAAAGTGCTCAAAATTTTCACACTTAAAATCATGAGGTAACATGAGTAACTTTCTACTACAGCATAAAAAATTATGTTCTAGCATTTGTAGAATTATTTTGTTGGTATTCTGCGAGGTTTTACCAAGTATTTACTTCATAAGGAATTAATAGTAGTCTGCCCAAGATAACTAGCTCTCTGTGGGTCAAGAAATATTAAAAATTGAAACTGCTTTTTGTACCTCAGCCATAAGCAGTACATGACGATGTGAGGCTCTTCCATTTGTTCTGATCATGTATTCCTTTGGGCAATAGTTGTAAGAGTCTGCTTTCCCTGAATTCTGTTGTATCCAATAATCAGCAAGGATGTTGTAGGTGACAATAGAAAATTCATATTCCTTTGAGTTAGCTTCACTGACTCTCTTCAGAGCTCTTCTGGTGAAAGGAACTTCTTTTTGCTGATTCATTACGATAATGTTTTTCCTAGAGTATTGAGAAATAGAAAAATATTTATATTATGTAACCTATGACTAAGGTTCCATTGATATATTGGTTATATGATTAGCTGTCTGATAGTTGCCAATCTCTCTGGTGCCCCAATAAACATAACATTTAGGTTCTGTACCTGTTGGACTTACATTTAGAAATCAGAAATTGTTCGCCCAAAGAACTGCAAAAAATTATCCAATAGTCTCTGAGTTTAGGCAAGGTATTTGAAATATATTCCTTTGAAACCTATACATCTGAATGTATATATATACAAACATATAAATATATATATGTATATATATATATATATATATATATATATATATTTTAAAAAATTTTTCAATTTGAAAATATAGATAAAATAAATATTCCTTTCCTTTTTCAATTAAAAAGGTGCTGACAGAATAAATCATAGGGATAAGTATAGCTCTATGATACACCAGCGAATATCAGAGCTATTATAATGCAGCAGGCATTGAGAAGATCAGGAATTGATGGGTAAAAGAGAAAAGCTGCAGCTTTTTTCATTCTAATTTGTTCTTTTGTCGTTTTATCTACGATGTAAAATTCAGTAGTGTAAAAGAACATTGATATTCACAGTGAAGCTTAAACAATAACAGAAAAGGTATTACTCCTTAGATGTGGAATATACATGCATGGTCCATCAACTGTTTCATGAAAAGAAATAGAATGTAAATTTAAGATATGTTTTTCCAATTTGCAATGTTTCTTAAACCGGGTGTACATGTATGTATATATGTAAACACAAGCTGGTCTTGTTCACTTTCGAATTTTGAGCAGACTTAACAAATTAGTTTTATGGTAATAATATCAATATTTGACCTGAATCATTCAGAAATACAGGAGCGACCACTTTAGAATTGTTATGCTAAGATTTTGACGTCTTGACTGAAGTTTTCTCAGGAACTATCATTCATCGAGCATTCAATTTACGGACAAATAAAACGATTGCGGAAACAAAAGATTACCTTAGGGACTGCGGCTTTGTTTTAGAATAACAAAAAGGTTCCACGGTAACCTCTCCTGTTTAGAAACGTGTTTCCTCCAATTTTATAGGTATGATTCTCTTGAAAATATTTTACTGACAGCTAAACTAAAGTCTCTTAGTTCATATAATTTACGCTCGGCCAATCATGGATAGAGAAAAACATCTCAGAGACTCAACAGAGATGGGTATGACGGTAGAACTAATTTACAAAACTTTTTCATCGAGAATCACGCTTTCGACAACCCCGTTCCTTGCCTAGCCGTATGCAGGACACTAATCAAACAAGTTTGTATGTATAAAAAGGTTGAGTATCAGAACGCGGAAATCGGAAAATTTGGCGTTTGAATCCTCCTGCCGAACTCGAACGTTTTCTACGTCCCTACGTCCCCGTATTTTCACTTTTGTATTTATCAACTCACCTCAATCGAAGTATTTGGCCGACACTTTCGTGACTATACAGATCCTAATGAGAGTCCTAAATGATCCCACAAAAATTTTGAGACCGGTGAGCTACCTAGCCGGCTCAACTAGCTTCATTCAAACTTATTACGTAAAAAACCTCATTCCTTACTTTTAGATTTGTATTTATCAACTCACCTCAATCGAAATATTCGGCCGACACTTTCGTGATTATAAGGATCCTGATGAGAGTGCTAAATGATCCAACAAAAGTTTTAAGGTCGGTGAACTAAGAAGCCGGCTCAACTAGACAGTGGTATGAGACAGCGTGACTCTGGCTCCACCGTGACGTGTGTCTCCAACGTTTCTTCTGGTAATCATTAAAATTATGGTAGTCATTGAAATAACCATTTGCTAAAAAGGTGAAAAAGCGTAGCTTTTCTCGAGATCTTTCCTCAAGGGCGCAAATGCATAATTAAAAAATCACATTAAGATCAAAATGTGAATCAACAACATTAAGAGAAGCAAATAATATTTTTAATGACTGAAAATGAACTTGAGACACACCGTGTGACGTATACGACACTAAACCGAGGAACACTGATTCGAAAGACTTCTTACTTAGTGCACTCACTTTCATGGCTTATTGTACCAGGAAAAACACAGGCGGGGGCGTTTAAAAAATACATACATTGCTCATCTAACTAGTAACTTGATAGGGTGAAAATAGTTTGCCCCAAAAATCTAGGAACATCTACGTTCATGATCAGCGGAGGTGACCCTCTTCATATAAGGTTAACGAAAGCTTGTAACCCCTAAGAACGATAAGCATCCAATTTCTCCCAACAACATCAAACCTGAATCAAGCAATGCGGAGGGAGAATAAAGGTTATGATTGTAAACTCAAGAGGCCCTTGATTGTCGGACAAATTCTCAGGAAATTTATAGGTAACAGTATGAAGAATTTGCAATATGACGCTGGAGTTTAAAGATTAAAGTAATATTGCTCAGGATGTCGATGAGAAAGTAACGAGATACGTGAAGAAATTAAATTTATTATTTATTATTTTAAAAAAAGTTTTTTAGTCATTACGATTATTTACTGCAAAATTTCATCAAGAAGATTAAAGTTTCAGCTAAAGAACATTAGTCATTCGTTGGTTATTGTAAGAATTAAGTCGTTCATAAAAAACTGATCCTCTGAATGACGGATACGGGGATTGAACGCGCCGAAGCTGGAAGAAGAGGTAAATCCGCTTCCTTCTGTGATGGGCGCCCACTAACCATTATCCTTCCGTTACCTCCACTCGATTTAGTTGCAGACAGAAACCTTGGACATAAGCAGTGAGGACAGTGAGACAGAGGCATGACTGACTGGTGCGACGAGTTCCCCACAGGCGAAATAGTGGAGCTTAACGAATTTACGGAAGAGAATCCAGCCTGGCTGTCAAATGGTGATGATTTAGATCGGCGAGAAGCGCTCATTTCTGGTTCAATGTTGCTTGAGTGTCTACTCAGCTTGTAAACAAACCTTTGGCGGGGAACCTGTAATAAATATTTGAAAGATCGCTAAGTGAATTGCATTACGCATTCAACGATAAATATAAGCCCCGTGGTTTCTGAAGGCTGTCTTGCATCCATTATAATATCGTTATTTAAAAGGTATTGTAAACTTGTTTATCTGGTAATGTACTCCACCTTAAATTTATAATTATATTATGATATTTGTGATAATGTCACTCTTTGAATGGCGAACAAATTGTATTGTATATTGTATATATATCAGTCACTGCCGTAATTAAATTCTCACTCCAAGGAGCCAACAGCAGCTTTAGTGAACATCTATCTGCAGACCAACTACAGTCAGGCGAACAGTTGGCCAGTCAGCCATTGGGTCAGTCTATCAGTTAGTCAGTAAGCCACTCGATCAATTAACCGGCCATTCAGTCAGACAAACAACCCGCAACCAAATCAAATAAGCTCAGAAAAAACGCTTACTGTTGTTCAGACGATATTTGCTGAGAGAACATTATTTCACTTCAATTTCAACGAGTTCTGGATTTACCATCGTCACCTCATAGATTATGATGGTCTCTTTCGTATCGGAGTATCTCGTAATATCGCTTACAGTATTAACGTTTTGCTGTTGTTTTCTGTCTTTGTAAACAAAATTGGTTAAGTTAAATAGCGCAAACGTCCCCTGCTTTTCGAATTTACGGATTATTTTTACCTCTTGAAAGCATCATAAAAAGTATAATCCCACTATTTCACTTCTAAGATAAAAAAATAAAATGGTCTTTCTATAACATTGCATAACTTGGGGTTCCATTTGATCCAGGGTGATATGACGCTTCAAGACTCAGACCCAAACTCTTTATATGCACTTTTTGGTTTCTACATTCTAAAACAAGCTTTGGTTGCCATGCATTTGTAGACAACTTCAAACTGAGGCTATACGTTATAATTTTGAGCTAGTTTGGTAGTTAAAGTTTTGGAAACTTTTGTCGATACACTTACTGTATATCAACATGTTTGGTTGTTATACTTTTAGTGGGACCTTACATTGCTGTTTATTCTCTCAACTACTTTGGTTGCCGTAGATTTGGTGCAAAATTTTGGTCTCTGTACATTTTATAGACAGCTCTACAGTATAACTCTACGTACTGTAAAAAGCTTTGGTTCCTTCTTAACTTATGGCTCCTGTCCTCTCTTTTTCTGAGGGTTTGATAGTTTAGTTGTAAAACTCTTGTTGAAAAATGTTGGTTCACTGTTTTCATCCGTACTTTCTGCAGTTTTATTCAGTAGCTGTACTTTTTGTGAGGAAAGCTTTTTGGTGTAATTTGTAGAAGTATGTCTGGTGGCACTTTTTATGAAGACGAGTTAATTGCTCTTCATTTTGTTAAAGGAAACCTCCAATGGTAGAATAAAAGGAAAGTAGCTTTACTCGGGCCAAGTGGCCCACTCAGCCGAAGCTTATCCCGGTTTCTTTACCATGTAGCGACTAGCAGTATCATTACTCCCCCCTGGATGGGATGCTCGTCCATCGCAAAGGTAGAACAATTTGTCGTTAAAATGATAAAAACGTCTTGTACTATGAAGATGCGTGACAAAAATTTGGAAATAAGAACCGAAATGTATGAAAAGTTTAGTCAAAGAAAAGCAAAATTAGTGCTCGAATTTCTTGGGGGCGCCCAACTGTTGGCTCATATGACTTTATGAGGTTTCCACCATCATCATCATACAATAGCTCTTTTGTTCCGTAACGCTTCATATGATTCAACATGGCGACACACACAAACAATTCCAGTTTGTAAACAGCCGATATCTATCTCGATCTTTCTTACAACAAGTACTTCATTCCCATTTACGACAACAAAATTTTACTTTAAAGATTATTTTCGATGACTCGTCGTAACTCAAGGACAAGTTGTTCCACCAGTGAAGGGTTCAAGAGCGGTTGCTGTCGCTTAAGGGTTTGGTTGTTGTATTTTGGTACGTAACGTCACTTGCTGTACATTTTGCAACTAGTGTAGTTGTGCTCTATTTCGTGAAGACGTTTTGTTCTTGCATTTTTGGAAAGCAGTTTGTCTTTTGTATTTTTGTTTGGGCTTATGGTTACTCCTCTTTTCGTGGTCGAATTCATAAAATCTTTAGTCCCTGTAATTTATGTTGATGTGTTGGATGGAGTGTCCCATGAAGGGTGCTTTGGATACTGCAAGTACACACGCGGAAGAGTGCTTGTATCTGTGCTCTCTATGAGCAAATTTATATTCTTTTTCTGCCATTATTTTGGTGGATGACTTTGGCTGCTGTATTTTTTTAGAGGATTTTGTTGATTGCCTTATCAGTAGAAAAGTTTGAGCACTCTACTATTTTAAACAAGTTTGGTTGCTATTTTGAACAGGTTTGTTGCACTTTTCAGGGCAGTGAATAGATTTGTTTGCTATGATTTATGTTAACATGTTTGGTCGTTGCATTTTTTTGAAAATAAGTTTATTTAGTGTGCTTTATTTGAACAAGCTTAGTTTCTGCACATTCTGTAAACAATTTAGGTTGTTTTACCTTCGTTGAACAAGTCTGGTTGCTTCACGTTTTTTTGTCAACTGTGGTTGTTGTTCTTGTCAAACTAGGTTGTTTGTCATACTTTATGTAAAGGCGTTTGGCTACTAAACATTTTGTGACCAAATTGGGCTGCTGTACATTTTTAGAAAGATTGATTGATTTGATTGCTTTACAATGTACCTATGAAATCAAATTTGTTACACTCCTTTTATGAAATAGTTTGGTTCCTGGCTATTTTGAAACAGTTTCTTTGCTGTACTTTCTGTAAACATGCTTGACTTGCCTGTTTGTTTTGTGAACACGTATAATTGCTATACTTTTTGTAGACAAATTCTTATCTCTTTTTTCTTTTTGGAGGTTGTAAGTAATGAGCTGAAGAGAAGCGATAACTGATCTATCAGAATCGGGAGGGATTTTGCTTTCCCTTGAAAGAAGCCACTGTAATTTAGAAAGCCTCACATGCAATTTTTTGCTTGATTACTGCACAAGTTCACTATGGAAATATATAATTGCTGCACACGAAGATTCTGAATTGATTTGCTACAATCTATTGCTTACTAAAGTGACAAACTCCCTCCGGAGTTGGTTGCTGCGGTTCAGAGAGTATACGCAGAACTTCTGGTAGACAATTCTTTAGTAGGTCGAATGCTTGTGTTTATTCCTCTGGTACTTAGGACAGGTTATAGAGGACCACCTATTCGTTTTAAGTTGTTAGCAAATTATATGTGTTTCCAGAACGAGTCGAAGGTAACGCCACGCAGCATGCTTTACAAGTCTTATGAAAGATGTCATTTTCAACCAATCACAACATTTGTTAGACTACATCACATGATTTGATTGGTCAATACATTTACAAAGCAAATAATCCTTCGTGAACAATATAATACAGTTGAATCAGTGAAAAAGTTCGTTTTTTCCGCCTCTATTGGAGGAAAAGCAGGGTTGAATGAAATGTTTAGGTCACAGAAACTTTCATATGTTTATTAGAAAGTAGTTGTTCCCCAGTAGAGGAAGGACGCTTCTCAAATTACTTAATTTTGACTCTTCAACTTCTCTTATTAATCGCTTATGGTAACAGTGGCCTCCGGAAAAAACTCCATGTTTATCTAAGGTTTATAACCTATTTCTCCGCATTTTCCTGAGCCAAAAAGGTTGCCACACTTGTCAAAATGCCCGTCAAAATATTTGAAACTTTCCCACCATTTTCGTCACGATTAAAGTCTCTGTTAAAGCTCGTTCTTACAACTATATAGTGCTCTCGTTATTTCAAAACTTTATTGTTGTTTGTTCAAATGGTATTCTGATGGCTGTACTGAAAAGAAATTGTGGGACTGTTTCATCATATTCTCATTGCTAAGAGGTTGTGCAAATCTGTTGAGCTTACAAGGCTTTATTAGTCATATCTGTTGATGAAAATTTATCTTCGTTTTGTAACAATGAACAGTTTTCTAAGTGACTCACCTTTTGTGTGATTTTCTGTTGATAAGAGAACCTCAAGGTTCGATCAATCTTCTCGCAAGTCGTACCGTCTTTAGTGTCTTTACTTCGTTTGGACGTCCTCTTTCTCTTCACTACTTTCTCAGGATATCTCAGTTTAAAGTCCCCGTGAACTTTTCTTCGCCTTGTACAGACTACTTGGTACCTTTTGGTTCTCACATGCTGTCCCAGTTGAGTCATATTCTTTTGGCGAAGTGGTTCGGCCTCTGAATAAGGTTTCTCTGCGAGATAGATTGAGGTAATTTCAACAACAGTGAATCAGGATGATAACCCAGAAACAAGCGTCCTTTCAAACTCGTTACTTAAGTTAAGCTAATCCGATATGTAAGAAAGTTCACAGGATATTTACCACGTTGCAGCTTACTCCAAGCAGCTACACAGAATATTCCTTTCGCACAGTTCACCTGAACCTGCAAATTAAAAAGCTGTTGGGTTCTAAAGGAAGTGTAGTAATAACGTTGCCAACTAGCAATTTCCTTTCAAATTCAAAAGACAAAGCACGGGAAGTTCAAAATGATATGCATTGAACTTTCTACAGGCTGTCACTATGGGTGTCATCACGTACGATCGAAATACCCTATGGGTAAACTTACTATTCAAGCGGTCACAAAGCGACTTGAATTCGCTGGCGAAGAAAATAGCGGGTCATAAAGCTCTTGCAAAATACTACTTTCCATATCTTTTTTCCTTTCTTTTTATCACATTAGAGAGTTAATTGAACAATGCAATTTGCAAGGCGTATTTGGTTTTCCTCAGGCTTAAGAACTTCTAGAAAGATCGAGACGGAATTGCGCTTTAAGAAATAAAATTAAAATTACCTCTATTGTGATTTCATCACCTCCTCTTGCAGAAACTGCTTTGAATGACTCAGTGTCTGCCCCAAACTGATAGTATTTGGACCAAATGTCGTATTTCACCACTTCCTTGGATCGCCAGTCTGTTTTGTTCAACGGAAGTTCAAAACATTCTTCGATGCAGTGTTGTATTTGTTTGGATTGTAACCAGAGCCTAGCCAGATTAGAACTGAGCCAATTTGCATACGTCAAAAAAAATTTTAAAACAACTAGAAACATTTGGTTCTTTACAAACATATATTTTTTCATAACTCAGGGTTAGAATCGAATTTCGAATGGCTATAGAAGAAAAACAGAGACTAGAAGTCTCTGGATAAATTCCTTGCGTGTAAGCTCAATTCCCAGGGTCAATTAAAGTTTACATGAAGATGCAGCACAGTGAAATCGCTTCTCAATATGTGCTTCTAAAAAGTGTCCGACATAGTTTGATATCACCAGTTATAGGAACAAAGGAGCCAGTCAAGTCTAAAGTATAATATTAGTTTTCCTGCAGTAAGTTGTTTTGCTCGTGCGCTCACGCACGTCCTCCTGAGGAAGTAGGAAGTTGAACCTTCGATGGAACGTTGCCAGTTGCACTTTGTTATTACTCTACGTATTCCACTTCAAATCTAAAGGATTCTCACCTTATGTGGAAAATCATTCGATGATGCTTTAGGGGATGTAAGCTGTGCTAAAAAAATATTGCAGTATGACTAAAAGGCTTGATAATGTTGGTTCGTGATTTGTAAGGCGTTTATCAACGTTTAGATGATTGAAAAAAAACATCTCAGTCAAGTCGACCTTGAAATCCCATAATGAATGTTAATTTCGGTGGACATAACAAAGCAGATCAAACATGATCATTCGATTTTAAGGGCGTGGAATAATATTACATTATCATCGATGTATAAAGAAAGGAGTCTATTAAAAGTTGCGGGTTTGAGACAAACTCACGCTAGGATATCGAACGACGCGTGGGATCGACACATTAACGCGCAATAGGGACGATTGACTCGCAATATCATGCATTTACACCGAATTTTTCGGATTGTAGGGCAGACATCTTGGTGTAACAACTTTTAAAACTGAGGGATATAAAATATGGAATTAGGACAATAAACTCTGAGCCATGTCTGTTGCATCTTAATTCTCTGTACTAGTTAACAGGTGATTGTAAAAAACCCACGCACTTCTCGCAAAGAGTAGGAGAAGTGGCTCTCACTGCTATGGTCTAATCTAGTTTCCAAAATTGAAGGCACCCGCAAAGGAAAAAAAAAACATTAAGGAATGAAACTCGTTCGTAAGTTGTTTGGTCACGTCGTTCCTGGCGCTCACCGGAAGTACTACTATAAATAAAGACTGTGGTTTTACCCTGAGATGGACCAACAGGTCTTCTTCAAACATTCTTATGAGACTCTTATCACGCTACAAACGACTATATTTATCTTAAGAACCCACCGGCTCTCTGATATTCTCCAGCAATAACAACTCTGGGAATAATATCCAATTAAAAAATTTATTTTAAAATTCAAGCAAATTGTGCTCGCTCATCAATATCCGAGGAAGTTTCAAAAGCACTGTGTTCCGTCTGATTGTTACTGGGTAAAATAACTTGATAAAGCGGAAGACAGGACTGAAAGCTTATGGATTTTGAAAAGATAAATGAGATTGACGCTTTGATATCATAAGTGTATCGCGCTGTACTGATGGCGTCTTACGCGTCGTTGGACAAATGAATCAATGACGTAATTTAGCGATAAACTAATAAATGCTATGAGGTCATTTTCACAGACGGGAACACGTCTGTTTGTCCGTCTATGTCACTGACATGCGGCATAGCTAATCAAGTGTTAGATTTACATAATAATCTATTTGTCTTTTCTCTCGTGTCAAAGTATTGAATTTGACTCTAATCAATCTATATCCAAAGAACCGAAACATTTCATTCAGTATTGCTGGACTTGATATAAGGAGAAGACGAAAGCGTTCTTGTCACTCAATGAAGTAGAGTTTCATGGAGGTGTAACTCTATTTCGACGTCAAGGTCAATTGACTCGAATCCCGTTAAGACGTTTTTCAGTTCAAGCTAGCGAGTGTTTTCGGTCAGTCTTGAAAAAAGATAATTTTGGTTTTATGAAGTGGGTTGATAATTTAAATTGGCCAACGTAAAGAGTACCAAAGGTGATGTTTCGAGCGTTAGCCTTCGTCATTCGCTCTGACGAAGGGCTAACGTTCGGAAACCCTTTACGGTGGCCAGTTTACATTATAAACTCAGTTGATAAACCCAAAATGATCTTGTTATACTCCCCCACCGACGCAGCACCACAGTTTCTTCTGGAACAACCCCCTTTATTCACCAATCCAGAAAACGGTTGCCTTGAAAAGGATATTAGTAAAGTTTTGTAACCCCTATGTAACGAATCCTCGTATAACGTACGTCTGGAATGATGAACTGCCCATATTAATCAAAATAAATAAGGTATCGCACAGGAGTTCGATTCAACATGCCGAAGTTACGTTGGAGCGTATGGTTTTTATATCTAAAAAACTACCACAGGCTACAGATGTTTTGGCGTTTATCTGGTTTATCAAAGAATGCACAAAATTGATCTTTAATAGAACCATCCATGCAGTAATGAAAGATATGTCGCGTGTTTATTTTGCCGTGAAATTCTGGCGACCTTTTCCGAACCCATAATTGCGCACTTCAGATTCCTGTGGCTGAGGTCAGGAAGGGTTGGACCATTTGGGTGCGTAAGACAAATCTTTTCTTGCGAATGTACAAAATAAATGATCGGGACAACGAAACTAAGTAAAGGAAACAAATTTCGATATTGCCAAAATTTCCAGTAAATTCACTTGTATAAATATTTTTATCAAATATCATAAACATTTCATGTATTTCACCAGCTAGTTCTGAACTTGAATAATTCACGTTATTTTAGGTGATCCATCAACGGTTTTCGTTGAATACAGTAATTGCAATGAAGATGCTAATATTTGGATGACTACTTATAAAAAATGATCTCAGGTCATACAAAGCAATATAATCTTGACGAAAAGTCGGACCCACGAGGCCTTTCATGAAGTTAGCTCTTAGACAAATACATACAGCTAAAACCTGTTCCCGTTTGTCTCATCCGTCAGGCCGTTTTGACAATTTTTGGAATAGTGCTCGCTTGAATGGGGGATCTGATGTAAAAATAGAACAGTTGACGTATATTTAGAACTTGTTAAGATTCTTAATCGATGTACGTGCTAGAATTTTTGGCTACAGAGAGTCTCCACGCCCGTGGACAAGTTTCAAGACGGATAACATTTCCGAAGGAGGGGAAACTGTGAAATCAGTTGCACTTTGGAATCCTGTCGTGTTTGGTATTTAAAACGATGTATGTATGCAAGAATTATTAGCTCAAGAGTCTCCGTGCACGAGAAAAGTCCTAAAACGGATAACATTTGCGACTTAGGGATACTTGTGGGATATGTTTCAGTTCGGCCGTCACGTTTGATATTTCAAATCAGATAATAGCGATTTTAATAACAGTCAGTTATCGGCGGTCTACCGCCGCTTACGAGCCATTATAGGGCCTCTTTCACTACCGTTTATTAATAGTATTTTTGTGACTTGTGTGGCCCCTTTTGCAGTCACAGCCGATTGATCTTCCATCTACATCCACGAATAAAAATATTCAAAGAAAGCTATGAAATATGAAAACAAGATTTAAAGAAACCTTTGCAAAATGGCGAAACATGGTCAGGTCGAATATCGGAATGCCTTGAGGAACCGGCTCTCGTGTTTCGCTTCGCCAGCAACTCGACAAATCAATTACTAAGTTTTAAAAGGTTTTCTTGAAGAGGGTCTCTCGGAACAGCTTAGCTTCTGTTAACATAAACAGCGCTACAGAGTAATCGATTGATTGAGTAGTTTCCTTACTTTAAAATATTTTAAAGATTCTGACTTTGAAAGAAAAGTAAATAAAGTTCTTACGAGATCGTAAGTCATTAGTAATTGACAACACAAAGAAAACTTGAAAATTTACTTTAATAACTACGGATTTAAGAATTATTCCTCTAACAGACGTCCGCAATCATCCCCGAGAAAAGAAAACGAAAGACAAAAACATTAATAAAACCACTTGCGGCTTCCGATCTGCTATTTTCGATGTTCACATAAGAGGAAGAACGTATTTTGATTCTTGCATATTGACCTTCTCCCGTCACCGCAAAGGCTCGCTAATCCATGTGTACAATCATGATCAATCATCAACATCTCGTACCACACTGATTAGCGGAAGATGAAAATTATCTTCAAAGGAAGTAGTTCCATACTTGGTTTTAATAAGCTCTTTATAAAAGTAAAGAAATAACCCGCCCTCGCACTTGAGCTGCGATTAAAGAAAGTGAAGAAACGATCTAAAAGAGTGGATAAATTCAGGCTTCGACGATATTCGAACACATGCCTCCCAGATACTACATGAGGTTGGACACTCGAACCAACTGAGTTTCGCGGTCAACTTTTGGTAGCAAGACAAGGTCTAGAAGGTGTCCTTTCTCGTAAAGGAATCTCATAATCACTGATCACAATAAATGAAATAAATTATGATTTTGACTTGTGGTTGATAATTTTCATTCGTTGAAGGATAACAGAAGGAGAATCAAAACAGAGCGATGTTGTCAGCGGCAGAACCATGAAAATTACTCTTGATTTTTCGGCTTATTTTATCAGATAGCTGATACGTCGTACCCATATTATGAAACTAGGTTTCATCTCCCCTCCTGACTTTTTAGTCATAACTCTTTTCAATATCGAGTCTGTCAACACATCCTAATCTCCTTGCTTCCTTCCCTCCATTTCGGCTCGTATTCTCTCTCACTTTTCCTCCCTCAGAATTGCGAATTTGATGCCACTTTTCTGACAGGAACTGAAATGAACGTAAAAGCTACTAAACTCTTCAAAGCTTTTAGAATATCAGGACTAAAACTTAACAGTTAACAGTGTTAATTATAACGACTTGATGAAGAACTCAAGTTGAACAATCCCTCTTACACTAGGTGCACTTATAAATTTATGTAAAGTATAGTTGATTATTGGGAAGTTATGATACAAATGTGTTCCCCAACCAATGAGAAATGAAGTGCACTGAACCGCTCAATGCACGTCATGGGGTATTGTACTATTACACAAATCAACACCCTTTCATCAAGATTTTCATCGAGGCTCATCCCTCCATCTTTTCATGTGCTCTGACCTTTGGCGAACTGACATCAGCAATCGGACTTCATGTGAGGCGTCAACTGATCAAGATTTTACCATGGCTGACATTGTGCACACGCAGAGCGAGCTGTTTCCGTAGATGTTGTGGATGATGTTGGTTGTTTAAGATAGAGATTTTACACCGGCTCAATTTTTTCAATGCATGAGATTGGAAGTATATTGAAATAACATTCTGCCCCGGATTTTTTTAGTTGCTCTGAAATCGGGTGATCATACGCTATCGCTTTGGTGGGTGAAGTAAGCGTTGAGACCAGGAGATGATACAGGAAACAATAAAATTGTTTTTCGAAAGCAGTTTTTCATACAACCTTCCTTTTATTTACATACAACATTATATACACATTTCAAGTAAGTTTATTGTCTATGTACAAAGAAATGTTTACTACGGTAACTATGATTTGTCCTCTTGCCTTCACTCTTTGTTGATACAAGAGAGAAGGGCCGTGGCATCGAGATTCTACTCGAATAACAGAATCTGGGAGAGCTTTCCAGCACAATATGTCTTTACATGGTGCGCTGAATAACTGAAACTGGTATTGACGTATTAAAAGGTGTAGGCTGAATTGGTTTAAAACCTAATGGAAGTGACGTCAACGGATCCATGACCGGAACCATAATCCTGCTTCTGCCAATGAGGATTGCTGATGGTTTAAGAAGCGAGGAGCCTTGATACCACAACATCGGCCGAGTAGGCACGGGAACAACTGGCCATGACCAATCTTTACTGAGTGGGGTAATAACGGGGCTAATGGGACTTGTTGGACTTGGTGGAAGGAAAGCTGAAGGTACAGGCGATGGCACAGTGACTGTCTGAGGAGATGGTGCTTGATGTTGTTCTTCGGTGTTGCTTTTATTTATCTTCTTTAATTGATGTTGAGATCTTGTTACACCAGGCTCGTATCGATATGGAAGTTTGTTAAACTTGTACACGAGCCTTTGACCACGGACCTGAGAAAGTTAAAGAAATAACTGATCAGTAACGTGCCTCAAGAGAATCATTTCTCTTTCTAAGATCCCCAACCACTAACTATTTTAACAACTATTCTGTTATCTCTCAACGAGTAAAGTGAAGTTATCATTCAATTTTTGTGTGTTTAATCTATCTATTAAGCCTGTTACGTCTGAAATCATGATCAATTATTTCAAGTCCTCATTCATGCATCAAAATGACGTTAGTGTCTTTCTATCATTAATATCGGCTCAGATTATTTTGGGCACGAGAGAGTACACCCCCTCAATGTAACGAGCAGATAACGATTTTTACTCATAAACTTTAAGACATATAATAATAAAAGAATGAACTGTCTATTGAGGAGAAAAGTATGATTGGCGAGAAGACAGACTTCATAATTTTTTTTTACAAGAGTGACATTATCTTTGCTCAATTTCGAAAAAATTCACAAATTTTTTTCTGACCAAAAAGAAGGCAAAAGTGAAAGTTTCGCTCAGCTTAAGACAAGTGAGGCTTTAATTATCAGGAAAATACTCGCTGAAGACATTCAAAGTATTTGAAACCTTCAGATACTAGTCAAAAGCAAGCGACAATCCAATATTTTGAAACACTATTTTTAGCCATCACATGAGACAAAAGTGTTTTTTCCTGTTTGAATGTGGGGGCGATTTTGTCAAAGCAATTAACCTTGCTAAAGAATTTTCGAACAACTTTAAAGCTAACCTGATCGCAAGCTTTGAAGAAACCCCTAAAAGAAATTTAGAGTTCACTCTTTTTCTGCCATTGTTTTGATTACAGCGAATAAAATCTTTGACACCTTGTCAATTTCTTGAGTATTTACGTCATTCTAACATACATGTTACCACGTTCTTTCCGAGCTTAAGGCAATCTCTACTGATTAATGCTTGAAGTTAGCATCCACTTTTTATTGTATGGGTTTTTTTTTACCAATATCTCGAGTCTTGTTATTCTTAATAAGTCAAGACATACATACTGTTTTCTCTAGCGACCCGTGTATAACAAGCGCTTCAAAGTTTGAAAAATCACATGTAACACTAAGATAAAACAAAATCTGCTTGGGATCCCTTAACTCACCTTTTTGATAATTCCTTGTTGATAGTAGTATCTCAAAGCTCGACTGAGTTTTTCATAGTTCATTCCTGTCTTCCCTTTTAAGCGTCCCCATCTTTTAGCAACCTCGTGAGGGTTGTTCAACCTGAACTCCCTGTGGTCTTTTCTACTCCAGCAAATGATCCCTTTGCAGCCATCGCTCGCCAACAGCTCCAATAGAAACTCCCACAAGTGGACTATGTTTTTGTAACGAGGTTCTCTTGCGACTGAGGTCATTTCGGACTTCTGAAGATCTACTTGTTTCAAACATTCTTCGGTAAAGGTTTCAGGTTGTTTCTGCATTGAGTGATCAACTGTTTGCAATGAAATGAAAGGAAGGGGACGTTAAACTGAGCTCATCATATAGTCAATGCAATAGTTCATTGCCTTTGTCCATAAAGACCGACGTAATCACATTTTCTCTATATGAGCAGTTAAAGGCAATTTGATATGGCTGATGCATCTTGGAAAATTTAGCTACTCTTTTGCAACTTAAAGTACGTCTTTATCTCTGTCATCTCTTCACTACTCGTCGCTTTCAGTTCACCTCTCGCAACGTAACTACTTTTGCACGTAGATTAGACAAAGGTTTTATAAAAGTTTCGTTCTGTGCAAAGTTGTTTCTCCTTAACGCCCAGAATAGATGGAAATATTATAATTTACTCGTTCAATTTTACATGGATTAGGAATTGTTTGCTAATAGTTGAAATGTGTTATTTTCAATTTGTGCAGCAACTCTGTTAGTCCTTGATTAGAAACTAAGAGATCTGCGTGATTTCGAACCTGTACCCCGAGATTTTTATGAAGTGCATAAGCTACGATATCCAAGCCTGCAGCAAACGAAATTTAAAACAAATTATGTTTTACCATGGCTTTCACGCTCCATTGTCGACATATTCATTCGTTCGTAATGGTTTCTCCTCAACTTTTAACCAGCTTTGCTTATGATGAGTTATGGGATGAGTTTCTCCTTGTTTCAACCTCAAATTGGCTGTGTTCGACTGTTTGATCAAGCATCAATACAGGCTTATTTATAACAGAATTTGGAGCGACAGGAAGTGCTTAAATTAGTCATTTGCTATTCACTTTCAATTTGCGTAAAAGCATACGTGAGGTGAGTGAAGGTCACGCAATTACGCACATCTCTTCTGGTTACATAACAAAACACTTCAAAGGCCTTGCGTCTAAAACAAGGTTCCTATGAATTTTGCAAATGTTAAAAATACAATTTTCAAGCCTCTGGGCTACATCGCTCGACGATTTAACTGGCCCGAAACATAAATTGAACCTGCCGACTACGTAATTTGCGAGAAAAAATTTTTTACAAAACCATTAATGTTTGAGCTCGTTGTGAGAAGGCAGCTAAGGCTTGCTCGAGATTAAAATTGTCTCAGAGAGCTTGGAAAAAGCTCACGAACACGGATTCAAGGCTTGCAGTGTATATAAGTTGGAATGATAGGTTAAACTCATGTATCGCTCGCGTGATCAGTTCACGCTGCGATGAATGGTTTCATAGAGAATGATTTACTTTCTTTAGAATAAAGAAATATTCGTCCACTCGGATATTCAGCAGTTTATTCGACTAGTGTAAAAAAAAATATTCTTAATTTTCAGACCGACAAAACGGAGATGGTGATCTCATTTGCTTTGTTTTGTCGTTTTATATCGTTGCGTGACCAATAAAGGAACTTCAAACTCTAGACACCGGAAACAGGAACAACTCTATTTTCAAATGTCTTCCGGGCTTTGAAATAATATAATATTACAGCTTGTAAATTGAAGCATGCTCAAAATTAAACAAACAACATTTTAAAGGAATTTAGAACTTAAGAAAGAATTTAGGACTTAAGAGCGCAGAATGTGTGTTTCATTCTCTTTTTTCGTGTCCAATGGTGAACCACTCTACGTTTGGTGCAACTCAGTCACGTCACGCCATTTATGCTTGACTGTTTTGATACTCACGTCAAAAATGCTCGATCCCATTTAGCCCTATCCCACCCACGCGAATTCCTGGCTGAGAAAAAGACAGCAATTCGGACAGGTTCCATTACTTTTTCGATGATGTGGAGCTTAAAATAATTCAGCGCAAATAATGAACTTCTATTTCTACACGATCCACAGAATCAAATTGTTTCCGAGAACATTTCATATCTAGACATGCGTCATGGACGACTGCGTACGATAGCAGTAGGTTAAGTTCTGAAGAAAGTTATGAAGGCTCAATGGCCTTCATATTGGAACAGTTTATTACATTTCCACTCCCGGTCTGACTTTTTGCAGCTCACATGCGGGAAGTCACGGTCTCTGTCAACGTTTAGGGAAGTGGGTGACATACGGAACTTTTTGTTTTGACGGGGGCTCGTCATGACAGAACACATTATCTTATTAACCTGAGTGACGAAGTGTTTGTTGTGTATTGCGTAAAATCGGTCTTGGACAGGGGGCCGTAATGGTAACTACAAACATTATTGCAGATGGCAAAGTGATGTAAGGAAACAAGAACTATTAAAGTTGCCGGGTTATTAGAAATTCTGCATATAGTCTGGAGATTTGTGATTTATGTCGATTGCGTGTTCCTAAATCTAGGCTTGTATTCCAGCATTGCTTTTGAATCAGATCAAAATAGCCTTCTTAGCTCAAGCCTTAAGTTTTACGGACGAATTCACTTTAACAACGGGAGTCTTCTCTGTGTACACATGAGTAAATTACAAAACTTGGGAAAGCGTTTAATATGACGCTCATTGTGAAGTCTTAGTGAACACTTGCGGTCGGTTTTCTTTGACATTCCAAAGAAATAATCAACAATACCTGATTCATGCGTAACAGACAATCTGTTCAAATTCTAGAACACATGTTAGGCTAAAAAAATGCGTTACCTCATCAAGTGAAAGCACTCAGCGGGAAATGCATGACCTTCGATTGAACGAATTAACAACTAAACAAAACGCTACTTCCTGTTCCGCATGGCAACTGACGAGCAACTTCCAGGAGAAGCTAGCCAAAAAATGAATGAAGAATATCCTTGATGATATCTCCATGTAGACGGGAACATTTAATCAGTTGAGTAAGTTTACACTGCAAAACACATTCTCTCCGTAAGTTAACTCAACATCCCAAGGTATGATGTGGTAATCATTGCGCAATGAATGTATGTTTATAACGTAGCCATTGCACTTTTTTCTGTGGGGGCGGTGGCACAGCTAGGAAATATTTAGAAATCTAAATGTATACAAGCTAACTAGGCGCACCGATTGAGCTGGATAATGCAACATAGTCATAATAGGTAAGTCTTTAGACTTAGTTAAGCTGTATATAATCACAATGTTGAGGCAAATGGTTCTTGCCTTTTCGCTATGGAAACTTGACTTGCGGTGTTTATCAAAATAGTGCGATGAGCTGCTTGAACCGTTCTTTGCATAATAAACTCAGACAGCTTGGAATAGTTGGAAATGCATGAAATTTGACAGATTAAAGTGCTCTCGGAGATAGCTTGTTCATATTTAAGTCGGCCTTTTAGCTGCAGGGACTTGTGAGCAATCGTTAATGATACGAGAGCAAAGGCTCCTGCATCTCTTAGCTGATACGTATACTTCACAAACCAAATTGTATAATCTCGCCCGTTCTTTGAACGAAAAATTTAGACCTTATAGCGGATTCGTCTTTCTTTGTTTCATTACGAAGCTTTCGATATAGCTGATAGTGGCTGTCTACGGCAAGGTGTTCAATATGAATTTAGTTAAGGCCAGGCCCAATATAAACTTCTCTCTCGGTAGCTACACCTTGTATCTGGTGTATCTGGGGTACGGAATCTGGCAGGTCAGTGTATCAAAAGACAACACGATAAAATTAAGAAAGTATTTGCAAGACTTAGACTAGAAATTATTATTTTACAGCCATCGTCTGTAAAATTAAAATTCTATGGCATCTCTTTGACTCAATCCGCTTGACCGGGTCTGTGTGAAGAAGCTAACAAGCAGGCTACCCTTTAGTGTAATACAAACTAGAATTCAATACGGCCGGTATTTACTTTTCGTTTTTAAATTCTGTCTCATAGTATGACTGCCGGTGCTCCTTCCGGCCGAAATACTGTTATTCCTGTTTTGTTGTTCTCTATCTTTCCTTTTAAGGCAAATTTCTGAATCTAGATGAGTAATCAAGACTAAGCAACAGATTTTATCAATTTGCCGGTTTCATATACGAGTGTGAAACTGACAGGTGGTTTGTTATTGAACAAACTACGCTTCAACAAGGGAGCAAACAGCGATGAAGATCGGTAGATTATCGTAAGGTATGAGCTAAACCCTGGGTAACGCTGGGAATACTTAGAGAGGTCAAGTGAAAATTTAGTGTCTTATCTTCGCCTGGTTGTTTTTTACTTTGAAGCCGACGCTACCCTCTGGAATGAACAATTTCGTCAGAGATAAAATGGGAAAACCTTTGAAATTTTAGTCATGTTTGCCGTAGCTCGTGCAATCTGTCATGTTTCTGACCCTTTGACACTGTCTTAGTTAGTCTCTGAATAATCGTTTTTTTCTACTGGAGGAGGAGGAGGCGTTTACTATAGTGGACGTGTTTTTGGTTAGCCTAAAGGAAACGTTTATTCAATACGAGACACTCATAAAAAGCAAGTTCAACTTTGGTTTTTTTTTTCCTCAGAGGGCTCGGTAACGAATCTGCAATCTGATTGGTTCTTAGCGCGGTCCGTATTTTCCTATCTCTGCCCACGGGCACAGTAACGCTTTCTTGAGCCGCTGAGTACATCCCTACTTTCGTTGCCATTTTTCATAAATATATCTCGTTTTTCCGGCTGGGTAGTATTTTTAAGCAAAGAAGTCGGTCTCTACCTCAAGCCGAAATATAATTTATTAATGCTCTCTTTTCTCAAATCACTTTGGTTGACAGAAAAATATTGGTTTCGAATTAATTTGTGTAAGCAAGTATCATTAAATTGATTGACAAGCGGCCTATAAACCGTCTGTAAATAACAATCCTTCACCAAAAGTACCTAGAAAGTTAACACGAGAGGTATTTCGTTACAACTGAATTAACCGATGGAACTTTTATCCATTTCATATCTAAATTCTCTAAGACAATTTTTTTTCGTAGTGAACGGGCGAGCGAAGTTTTCAGTTCTACTTCAAAGACGCTTTCGGTGAGTCTTTCCAAGTCCGTTCTATTTGGACGTTTGTACCGTAAATTGCACAACAGAAATTGAAGGAATTCAATGAGAAAAAGCCGCATTAAATCCCCTCATGTTTAGTTGAACAAACTAAATTCGCATTCGAATTTAGTTCTGTGAAGGAAAGACCAGATTTACACACGCCATAGCAACTTCAAAATAAAAAAATTGATTATAAAATTACTTTCCTTGCCACTTACTTACTGAACAGAGGTAAATCTTCGTACATTAATAAATCGTCGATAAGAGTGAATGACACTTTCCATAAGATCATTGACTATTCTAGAAAAAAGCATTGTCGTGACCATCCGTTGTTTTTTCAAAGATGCACATGCGTTTTTTTTCTTACGCGCTCTCTGATTGACAGGTGTCAGATTGTGACAGATACTTGTAACAATAATGCTTCAAAGTTCGTTTGGAAGCCTTTTCATTCACCTTTATCATTACGCAAATAAAAATGTTTCGGTGAGACCACTCTCTTTAATTTGCATTACTTCTATTTTAACTACCATTTACAAGTTCAAAAATTGATCATTTTATGGAAGATCTTGTCGTAATTACAGCCTTTTATCATTCGGGTTCTTTTGGAAAGAATTTCGTTAACTTTAAGAAAAATGTTATCCACTAGCCTAAGTCGGTCCGTATTGCCCGAATTCTTAAATAATTGCCCTCGGCATTCGGCCTCGCAGTTTTTCTCAATACGAACCGACCTAGGCTGGTGGATAACATTTTTATTTTTTTCTTAAACTTAAAACTTCATGACATATATATTACTCACTCCCATATTGCTCATTCGTAAGAAACAAATTCGTGACCGCAGCCATGCTAAACGCATCTGGGGTTTCATTTTTGTTGCTAAGAATATTTTAGGAGAAACACGATTCTCTACAAATGTTCCTTTTTCATACTGACAAAATATCGCCATATCAGTTACAAACGCCAGAAAAAAATTTCGGTTTCCACATGGTTGGAAAGTGATTAACGAGTCGAGATTTGATTCTGACAGCGAAATAGGTATTAAAAAGTTGCCGTGATTGAAAAATGAAACAGGTCATAACTTTTTGTTTAGAAGTTTAAATTTCCTATCAAGGTTGTGATTTCTGCTGATGATTTTAGCGCAAATCCAGAGCCGGAATATAAAGGTTAGAATTGAGAAAACATCACGTAGGCACCTGACTTTCTATTGCTAAAAATTTGATTAATTCTAAATTTAGAGATGGCAGTGACGGGAACCTTTGACCACGAGTCTGAAAAGTTAGTGCAGTTTTGAATATTAGACCTAAGGAGTCTCACCACCATGATTTAGGAAATTCATGATTTCTAAAGTGTTTAATTCTGAGTGAGTCGCGTTCGGAAAATTAATCAAGCGTCACAATCACTCCAACAACCTTAAGAGCCAAACCCACCTGTATAAACGCAAGATTTGAGCCCTTCTATTGTTACAACGGTATATTTACACTTCTTTCTTGTCCTATCAGCTGATGCTGCATTGAGCGGAGCTTCAAAAAATCCCTCTGAAGAAGAAGACGCAGTTTTAGTTTAATCGTGTCTGACATGGATTCCGAGAGCGGTGAACCACGCTACAAGAACATAGTTCACTTGTGGGAGTTTCTCTACGAATTGCTTGCCAGCGGGGACAAGTGCAGCTCAATCATAGCTTGGATCAGAGAGGAACACGGGGAGTTCAAGTTGAAGAACAAAGAAGAAGTCGCAAAGAGGTGGGGCGCGTACAAGAAAATAAAAGGAATGAACTACGAGAAACTCAGTCGAGCTCTTCGACATTACTATCCAAAAGGAATCATCAAAAAGGTAAGCGTTTTACACGAGACTGACCTTAATTTCTGTTTCATTGTTGCCCATCCATTTTTGTAAGGCGTGTATGGCAGTGATCGTAATTGAGTTATCTTGAATGTATTCATCGAATAAAGAAGAAATTTAGTCGAAGGCTAAGAGAGCAAACATATGAAATTCCTTATTTGAAACCTCTTAACTTCGTAATAGGTGGTGAACCATTCTCCTCTTCACAACTCGGAAATAACGATCTCATTGAGAGCATGTGAAAAAAGTCCTCAGTAATTGTTTCCCCCCAAGTCTTTTCGTCCACTTTGTTTTAAGTTACCTTCCTATTGATAACGGACGCAATTACACAATTTCAAAAAACAAATTTATCAGAGTTAGGACATGAGGCTTATCGAAAACATCAATGTTTTCGGCAATGAATGCTTTTTTTTTTCTCCGTCTAATTAGCATAATACAAGCACATACAATCAAGGAACTTTATTAGAAGGACTAAAGAATCGAAAGTGAAAGAAGAGATCACGTTCAAGTAAACAGTTACATCAGAATTGCAGATGCAAGCCAATGAATTTCGGTAGTTCCTTCTGAGCGAATGGATGATAAATTTCGCATTTCGATTGGCCGCGGTAACTCAGAGTTGAAAGCCACTATCATGCATCTTTGAGTGTAGGAATATGATTTTTAGACTAACTTCGATCACAATAAAGCAAAACAAAATTCAAAACAGGAAAAAAAAGTAAGACTTTAATGTGCTCTCAACTGCTCCAGGTTGGAAAAAACTGCTTAAATAGGTGATGTTTATCTCACAAACGTCCTCCGAAAGAACATCGATCAATGTAATATGAAATCAATCAAACGTCTCGTTTACTTTCGAAAGTACGGGTGGGTGTGCGTAAGGTCAAGAGGGTTGAGTGTTAAGGAACAGCTTCCCGTCACATCTCCTGGACAGCAGCCATATTCCCATTCGTTATCTCGCTGGGCGATTTATGAAAAGATCTTCCTAGAATTTCTCTTATCTTTAACCTCATGGCGACAAACAGCCCAGACGACCGGAAAAACTATGGCATGTAGTAACCAAGGTGAAATAACAGTGTGATAAACCGCAGCCAGGACTCAGTCTTTTAGAAGCTCGACAGTTTTTTCAGGTTGCAGTTTTTTGGATGTGAGATAAGCATTTATCAATTCTGCTGTTGTTTCGTCGGAAACTCTCGTGGCCAATCAAGCAACCATACGTTAAGTCTGTAATGTACAGGTTTTAAACATTTTTATTTTTTCATTTTGTAGGTTGCAGGCCAGAGATTGGTGTACAAGTTTAACAAACTGCCATATAAGTATGAACCCGGTGTAACGAGATCTCTTTACCACGGGAGTAGAATCAAGGCTTGCATCCAAGAACCAACGAAATCTAAAGAAGCCGACCCCACCCCTCCCAAGACGAACACTAACACTTCACTGTCAGCTTTTACTCCAGTCCGCGGACATCCCAAAAAGAGCTGGTCTTGGCCGCTTCTTTCCACGCCAACGAACCCTTTCGTGTTGTACCCAGGTTCCACACCTAACACGCCTACAATATTTGACAGCTCTAAGACCATGATCGTATTCCCGTTTGGTCCCAGTCCACCCGTGCACCATCCATTACAGTTGCATTTGAAACGGGAACACGATAAACCTGTTGGTAAAATGATAACCTCTGAAGTTACTTCGATTCCGGTTTCGGTCATTCAGCGTGTCTAACGCACGCTAATACCGAGATTTAGGACACACAGAAAAAAACAGAACTTAGACAAGATATTTGATTAGAGTATCTTGACCTAAAGTCGCTTTACCTTATAACAGTTTATTCAATTGCTTATCCTGCTTATATATTCGTTTAGGCTCCTCCACTTTGACGTAGTCCGAACAATAGAAAAATTGCCATTAAGTTTTCCAGCTCGATGGGATAACATCAAGCTGAAAAGAGAAAGTCATCATCTCAGATTATGCTTCCAATGCTTTAAGGCTGACCAATATTTTATTCCAAAAGCGCTACGGTTAAAAAGGTAAATTTTCCCGTAAAAAAAGTATGTTTTTTGAAAAGATGTAGAAAATATTTTAGATTTTGCGATAGAAAGTCTGAAGATGTATTTTTTTTTGTAAAATTTATTTTAATTTTGCAAGTTAAAATATATTTTTTTTAGACAATGATGTAAGATGGAAATAAATTGATATGGTTTTTGACGTATATCTGCAAGTTTTCCCCTTGAAAGGACGTTCCAGCGGCGAATAGATCTCTGATCTGAGTAACTCCTTTGCGGCCTAGAAGAAACCCCTGGCGTTACTGTCCAAAAATGATGCACGCGCAGAAACTATTTGCTTTTTGCGTCCGCAGACAGAACTTCTTCTTGTGGTCAATTGTGGTTAAGTGCAAATCATTTATTTTACGATTCCTGGTGACCGGAACAACTTCTTCTGCGGTTGAGGTTTTAAAACGCGGGACCTTCTTTAACGGGTTCAACTTCTTCGCTGTGCTTTTCGCTAAGAGCTCGGAAACAGAATTAGAGTTGATGACAAAAGGCAAAAGTCTTTAACCTCTCACTGTTTTTAGCATTCTGATTTAAATTTGCTTTTAGGAAAAATCTATTATATATATACTTTAAAATCCATGAGCCGTTGCTAAATAGCCTTTTATACCAAATTTACAATTATAATTAGCTTACACTGACACTCTTAGAAGAGCAACTTCCGCTTTTCGACATCCGCTTTCTGCTTTCGTTTTTTGTTTCTATCTCTTTCAAAAATTTTCCAAATATATACTTTTTTGTCCCAGTGTCTTTTTTTTACCAAATAAAGCGTGTCTGTGTTAAACACGTCACCTTTTCTGTTTCTTGTGTTATATTTCACTCTCACAGCTCAAATATTCAGGCCTCGGTTGATAGAAGCAAAACTCGATCTCTCGTACTTAAAAGCACAAAATTGTTGGTAACCAGCTTCTCTGGGCGTTATCGACCGTTCATAGATAAATAAAAAAGACAGTGGAAAGTTCAGTGTTCTTTATTACTTTAAACTTCCGCTAACCGGAGGTGAAGATCACGACCTCCCTTTAGCATATTTGATATGGTGAGATTTAACTCAAACTAAATACGACTAAATTTCCTTGCAGGACCCCAGAAATTGAGAGCTTTGTGTTAAACAATGCAACTGAGAAAATAACTATTGACCTTGTTTTGAAAGCTTCTTCTTTTCTCCTTTTTTTATCCCTCTTGGTTTTGGTTTGTTTTGTTTTTTTTTTTCTAATACTTAATCACAACCAATTGCGTGACGGAACAGAACTCTCTGGATTGTCACGCCTATTGTGATTTCAACCGGAAGATGCCGAGAGGAAGTAAATATAATTTTATATGATTGATAGAACTTCCCTTGCAGCTTTAGTCATGCTTAAATAAAGCCTCCAGGTGCAGCTATCATTATGAGTGAGATCCATGTAAAGTTAAAAGTCCTCCAGTTTTCTGTTGCATTTCAAATTGAAAGTGATCGAAGAAGGACGCACTTCTGACTGATTGACTCCCGCGCAATATGGCGTCGCAAACAGCAGGTAGATCATTCTTTTATTTTCTTGATTCTGTATTTTAAAATAAAATTATTCAGCCCAAGCCGTGGGTTTCTTATGCCTAAAATTTTAGATGTATCAATTAATTGTGAAAGGTTTTGTTCGGTTGCGTGAATAGTATTTTATCTTTGACTCGGCAATCATGGTATCGAGTACAACGCCTGACGAGCGACGAGTTGTCTAAAAATTATTATTTTGCGAACTGATCACCTAAGAACAACAAGCGAACTTACTTTCTACAAATGGAGATCCTTTTCGATGCTAAAAAAGTATCTGTAAAACGATTAACGACAAAAAACTACTAGTTACTTTGAAACAGCTTTTCTCGGCAACTGGCTAGTGCGGCGTGGGTGCACGCGACTGTTTGGTATGATATCATAATGACGAATGTCGGTAACCACAACCAAGAGAAGATATTTCTAGAATTTTGAACAGAAAGAGAGCTGTTGCTTCCAGTGAGTGTCATCTCCTCGTTTCGTTTAAAGTTAATTTGAAGTTTTAAAGGCTCACAAGAGACGACTGACAAGGAATCGCGAAGCCGTATCTTGAGTTAAGCGACGCAACAGTTCTCAGTCATCATTTATATAATTTGCTTGTTGAATTGTGTCACTCACGAGCAACACAATTTTTTTCTTTGAGCTGTGAACAGATAAGAGGCTAGAGCCTTTTATTTGGGAATCACATCGACACAAGTCAAAATAAAACTTGAATTTTTAGAGCATCACCCAAACGTAGGGAGAATGATGCACTTTGCTGAGTTCAGCGAAGTGAGAGCCAACAATTCTAGTTTCAATTGAAATTTACTATGTTTTCTCCTTTATTTTTAAAGTAAATTACAATTATTACCAAAGATCTAATGGCCATTTTCTCAGAATTTAATGATCATTAATGCAAATCTAGTTTTCAAACTGAGAATTCTCGTCTGGTAAGACTCAAGAGTCCAAGCCGGCAATCCATAGGAAAAAAGTGTTAGTTCGCAGCTGGACTATCTTTACTGAAGTTTGTTCACTGTCAATGGGTGTGATCGATGGCTAATGAAAGAATATTATTCTGAGAAACTGAGGCGTTTGACCAAAGTTCCAAAACTCAGAGAGAAACAAAGAAAATTGAGACATTGTCAGTCTTGTGCACAAGTAACTGGAGGATAAGCCTCCAGAGACTTATTTATTATAGATAGGAACTCTTTCCCAAGGAAACTGAAAGCATGACGAAGAACTCTTGCTTCAGTTCACATAGTGATTGTGCAGCCCTCGTGCGAAGAAAGATTTAGATATTTTGGTAGAGTTGAGAAGCATTTCATTTTGTGTCATCCATTATCCGTGTTTTTAGGAGGCTCGATTGTGCAATAAACAAAAGTGTAACTGTGTTGAAGAGTATTAATAGTTAAGTTTTGAAAAGCATCCATATGTTTCGTTGGATTATCCTTAATCATGTTATCATGTTTTAGGTTCTGTGTCCTAGAAAATATTCAAAGCTTAGAAAAGGCATTTACGAAGAGCTATATCCTCTTCTGTAGAGGAACAGCTGCAGCAAGAGCAAATGGGGTCTTTAGAAAGAAAAACGTTTGCTATAGGAGCAAATCTAAATAAGCTTACGTTTCCTTTGTAAGTTTTAACAATTTTGTAGGGGCACACAATAACCAAATTTTTTCTTTAAGTTAATTAGAGAAAGCGTTTGGTGTTATGCAGGCCATCATGAGTTGAAAAGGTAAATATTGTTATTGATCGAAGCGAACTGAGTTGTTTATCGATAAGAACTCTGTCTGAAGCACAATAATCGTTTGTCTCCTGCAATGAAGACACTCGCTGTGAAGATATTGATGATAATAATTGCTTTATAAACGAATAAAAGGCAATTTTTTTTACAGCAATAACATAGTTATTTTCAAGTCTACCACTGATATCTACACAATAAGCTTATGAGTGTGCCATTTAACTCAATAATCTATTGAAACCCACTTTATCTGAAATACATGATTCGACTACTGAGTCAAATAAATTTCGGCGGAAATTCAAAGTTAGGTTCAACGCAAGCTTAACGACACATCTGTTGTAATTGGTTAACTTTTAGTTCCCTCCAACAGGTGTAAAACTGCGTCAATTGTCAGCTTAAGTCGTTGTAGCCCTTTCATTCAAGCATATGGCTCTTAACTGTATATTCAGGGCTTTTAGTGCAAACTTTTAAGTAGTTGGGTTGTCAGGAAACTAGTACCCTCTTTAACTGGAGAAAACGTGGTCAGCGTTTGCTTTGAAAGAACTTTGAGCTGCTCTCCGCCAAATTTCAAAGCAGATGGGATCTTACTTCCCATCTTTGATTAAGAGGACGGAAGGACTAGGTTTTGAGCTTTCACAGTTATTTACTAAGGGCTCGTTATAGGGATAAATGTTACGTCAGCAGAAAGGGTTGTAGATGCTTTGTACTTTAGAACGTATTTAACTCAGTTTTAGTGTTTATTTGAAGCATCAAGATTTTATAAGTTGGTGTTAAGATTCAAAAGGTGACAAATTGTTTGATGTTAAAACTGATAAGTCTTTCTCTATCTTTCCTCTTTCACCAAACCACTGCTATGAAAGTAGAGACTACGGTGACAGATTTAGAAATCGAGGTCATAAACAAATCAAACGATGGAGGTAGAAATCCAGAAGTTAAAAAATATCGTCGCAAGAACATTATCCACTTGTGGGAATTTTTGTTGGAGCTTCTCGCCAACGACAATTTGTGTACGATAATCTGCTGGAGTAGGAAAGAGTTCAAAGAGTTTCAGCTTAAAAGACCCGAGGAAGTGGCAAGAAGATGGGGTCTGCTAAGAAGAAGGAGGAAAGGAATGAATTATGAGAAACTTAGTAGGGCTTTGCGATTCTATTATGGTCAGGGAATAATTCAAAAGGTTAGTACTGTCGTCATGAAGTGTTTACTGATCGATGGATACACTTACTCTTAGCTAAGTAACCCAAAGTTTACTCACAGTTGACATGAAAAGCTTGCAAAAGCCATCTTACTAAAGAATTGAAGGTTGAAGGACTGGAAATGGTGAAGCCCAGGAAAATATACAGCCATAAATTATTCCTGGCTTAATCTAACTATAGTCCTTGAAACGTGTGAAGAGATATTGCTCATAGAGGCGATTGTATTGTGTGTCATTGCTGTCTGTTTCATAGTCGTGCATTGTATTACCAACCCAGTTTCCTGATGCTCAATTAGTTTGGTAAATGCAATAACCGTTGAAGTTTTAGATACAAAGCTTATTCAGTTGTCGTAAGACTGAAGAATCTTACTGCTAAAAGTGCATTGTACATGGTGCCGGCCAGTTGGAGTGTTGCATGGTGTTTGGTAAAGTTATAGTGCAACGACTCTGTCATTGTAAAGAGATTTCCCACAGTGCTTCCTGTAATGTAATAATCTTGCTGTTTGCTACTAGAGTTCATGGATCGTATCTGGGTTAGCATGATGAACATTGTTTTTTTCATACCTTGTACAGTATATTTCGATCGTATATAATTACACTGAATGTGGTATGTCATAGCTATGGTACCATATGGTACTTGTTGTGAAGAATGGTACCCTTTTCCTAACCTACATGGGAAAATTGATTCAATCTTCCAATTTTTATGACTCACAGTACAAATGTACTTCACAAAGGTAACAGGTTAATGATGTATAAAATGAGCAATAACCCATGTGTCTAGCTTTACCTATAGTATGGAGATTTTAAGATTTCTTTAAGGTTTTATGGCCTTTCCTGCGAACATGAAGGGTGCTCTGAATATCTTTCCAGTGCCTACCTTTTAAGAAATATTCATTGCTCTCTGCACTATGTACTGGTCTATGCTAAATGGCGTTTGGTACTTGGTTAAATAGAGTTCAAGGGTTGTAACCTGTTATCAGAAAACACTGTACATGCAATTAATACCATTAATATCTATTATTCCATGTGTGTGGCCTTGGATTATGGTTACTTTTTATGGTATAGTACATCATATCTAATGCAAGGTGTGGTAACACTATATTCTACATTCACATTCTAAGCTGCTGTTCCAAGAGACTCCGGTGTACCTTATGCACTAAGGAGTAAGTAATACATTGTTACTAGTGTAAGGGTGTTTAATGAGGGTCTTATCTTGAGTGGTCTCACTCTCTTTGCTTTTATTGCGATGGGACACAGAACCAGTTCATAATGTCGACTGTAAGTTAATTTTGCGTGAAGATTGTTGAAGTATTTAGCAATTAACGCGTGCGTTTTCGTTTACTCTATGATTTTGTACCGTGTTATGGTATCCTCGAAAGTGTTCAGTCTTACGAGAGATCAACGAGGCGTGTTACACCTCAATCAACTGTTTAAGCAAAAGACGTTCGCTGTTAATAACCGTTTTAACCCTGATTGCTTGCTTGACTTAATGAGTAAGGATATTCCTTTGATGCAAGTTTCTTCTTTAAAGTGGACCTCGTAAGTTTCTTTGTGACCTGAAGAGCGGAAACCGGCCATAAACGATATTCATTAACACGGAAAAACTGCCGAAAACAGTTTTTTCAAACCAATATGAAACGATTTAGGCCGGGAAAAAGAGAACCGAATAAGAAACCGAAAAACTCATTTTTCCTTCTTCGCGTCATGTAAAATGACCAAAACCAAACACCCCAATGTTCCTTCCTTTACGTTAGGCATCTTGAATTCGGCGCGCATTTTGCTTATTTTGGTGACAACAGTCCTTCGCGACAGCGGCCTTGCGAGGAACCCTAGTGCCCGTATTGAAAATAGTGCCGAAGGGGAGAGTCAGTGAGGCAGGTTATCGAAAACAAGACTTTCATTTCTGGCTTTCCACTGATTTCGAGGAGTATCTGTTGCATATGACATAATTCCCCTGGTCCAGTGGAACGAAAGGATTCAGCCAATGGCTTCAGCTGATGAAGTTGAAGTCTTACAGGTCTTTCAAATTAACTGAGTGAATTAGACTTTGATCGACGTCGATCGTGCACAGTTTCAAACGAATGCTCAAGGTAGCTAATACGTGTAATGATCCTTACAATTTGGTAAACTGTATGAAGATGGACTCTAGCTAAAAGTAAACTTGTGAATTTGTGGTCAAGCTATTACAGTAACACAGAGGAATGGTTTTCACTCACTCGCTGATGTTATAGGTCGTTTGTGGCTATCTATTAGTCACCTACTGATAATTTTATTTTCATGTTCTCGTAGGTTCCCGGCCAGCGTTTTACGTACAAGTTCGACAAATTACCTTACAGATACGATCCAGAAGTTTCACAATCAAGGTATCAAGAACGAAAGAAAATATCATCTGATAAATCTACATCCTGTTTATCGGGACAATCATTACTGTCTTCATTTAAGCAGTCAACACTTTCGCGTGCCCAGATCCCTTTGGGGAGTAGTATCGCCCCCTCTCTCGTACCCAGTGCTGCTCGGTCGACACAAGCAAGCCAAGTAACAACTCAACAACTTTCTCCCCAAACACGTACTACTTCAAATTTGCGTAAAATAACATTGAAAACTTCTGTTCCTTTACACTTTCCAAAGCAAGATCTTCTGAATTGTCCAACTAAGTCTATTCCTGTGTCAGTGATTAAGCGAATTGCCTTCAATTCATAGCCAATAAATAAACTGTTGATTTTATCATTGGTTGCTTTTCTTGTGATATCTGAGACTCTCAACGATCAACTGGAAGCTTTTCTAAAAGTTTCCACCAAAGGTAACATACACAAGGAAAACGAAGGGCTGACGCTCGAAACGCCAGCTTCAGAAACTCTCTATGAATGCAAATTCACATGATCAACTCAGGTGATAAAATCAAATTATCATAACTGTTAAACCTCCCTCAGAGGCAGCACCACAATTTCTTCAGACCCTTCCCCCCTATATACACAAGGATAAAAATTTGCCGTCAATTCTTAACGGTAATTGCCCTAAAAGTGTGTAGAGACGTTTTAAATCAGTTAGTTTCCAGATTATGGTTCAGCACTATTTCAGCTGTGAACGTGATCATCCTCCATATTGATGCGTTTTGTAAATAAAAAACACTTAGTTGTATTTCAAGCCACAGCTGTTTCAATGATATGTGACTCTCTACGATAAAACGCATACTAGGGTGAACACACGGACACGGTAAATGACACGTCAACTATTAAGCAATAAACCAGTCGTGCCCAATGACACGACTGATTAAAATATTTCCTTTGTTAATGTGGCACAATAAAAACAAAGGCGCGTGGATGTGTATCAAAGATAATCGGAAAAGAACTGAGATGGTAAATTTTGAGCTCGGTTATGAAATAAAAGAAACCCTTCTCTAAAGAATAAAAGCCAAGTTTTTCGGATTCCGCACTCCGATGCTCCACCACAGAGCAATAAAGAACTCCACACCTTCCTCACAATGTTTGCAACATCGCTGATCGTAGCGATAGGGTACCTGTCACATTTAAAGCAAGTAATCCCCAAAATCTGTGTAGAGTCGCTGTAGCTAACTGCCTCTGAGGGTAAATTTCGAATCTTTGGGGTGCCTTAGATTTTCACCGTTTATTCCCAGGTTCTCGTAAAAGAAGAAACACATCTTTTTTACAATATAAAAAATAAAGAGACCATTAACTTCATCCACTCGTTATATGATACCATGATTATAAGTTCTCTCCGCTTGAAGAAATATAGCATCAATCAAATTCAAGTCAAACTAATTTTAACTCCAATCAATATTTACATAGTTAATGATTGACAATTACCTTCCTGTTTTTTTTATTATTATTATTATTATTTTTATCATTGTTTTCATAGCTGCGACGGTATTTTCGAATATTCATATCCGCTGAAGAGGAACGTGGCTTAACAACCTTAGTTCTGCATTGTAAGGTGGATCAGGAACCCTTTAAGCCTTTAAGACAAAGAAATGCTGTTCAGCACCAAGTTTTAAGGGAGGCTGTTACACTGTATTTCACTTGAAACTTGCGATAAACAGGAAACTTGCACTTCCAGAAGCTTACACAGCAGCTGAAAATTATTTTGTAAGACTTTCGCAGTTGTTATTCACTTTCAATAGCAATTTGGATAAAACAACATCCGGTTACCTGCTTCCGGCTTCCGGTCCTATTCATCGCTTTCAATCGGCTCAAGATCTTCTCTCTCTTTCTCTGTTTTTTTTTCCTTTTACCACTAAGAAATGCAGGTACCTTGGATTTAAAGCCAGTTAATACTTGGGAAAAAGCAATTTAATTTCTTCAACCTCAGAATTTCCCTTTCACTGCTCGTAGATCACCTAGAAATAAATTCTAAAAACAGAATCACTTTCCTTGTGCTTCAAAATATCTAGCTTTTTAGCATTTACGACGAGTTGGGTTGTCTAACAAGACAAAGTAGGTGGAAGAAGCAGAGGAAAGTTCAGTTTTCCTCAGGACAATGCACGATTGAAAAACGCCTTGAGGTGAGAATAACGACCTCCAAGACTGTGTAGATATTTCGGTTCAGAAAGTTTCCTAGTAAATAAATATTAATGCCATAGCAAAAAAAAAATTACATAATAATCATTCGAATTTGAATTTGAATGACATAGTTGTAGAAAAGCCACTTATTTTTCCTATTTGTTTCATAGGCTAATGCGTGACAAAATGTTCTCGTCTGCTGTCACGCCGTGTTTGTTACAGGAAGTCCCTGGAAGATACTAATACTGTCTAGCTTTGAGAGGAAGTATATTCTCTTTTATAGCACATAAAACTTCCGTTTTATAAGTCATGTTTAAATAAAGCCGCAAGATGCAAATATCATTATACGTAACGAAACACGCAAAGCTGAAACTCCTGTCTGAGTCCTTTTCTTTTCCATGTGAAAGTAATTGGGAACGACACCCTCAGGGACTGTGCGGGATTAACTGAAATGGCGTCTACAACAGCAGGTAAAATTTTGCTTAAATTTGTTTAATTCCTAATAAATACTTGGAGCAATAGCATTGAAAAATATCAATCGTTCTAGCTCTAGAATCCAAGTTTTCTTCGTGCGTTTGACTCTATATATCGTGCAGAACGCCCAAAGATATTACAAATAACTTGCGAAAATTATTTTTATAAGAACGTAAAATGAATAAATACTGCATTCATATCCTTTTTAGTGATGATCAAGGATAACGATTTACGAGAAAAAAAGGTTTAAATAGCCTTTTCCAAAAACTTGCCACAAGTTTTGTGGATGGTGAGCATGACTGGTTAGTCATTCGTACCAAATTGTGGCATAAACAACCATGAAATACACTTAAAAATCAGAATGATCATGATAGCTGTAGATTTTTGTCAATTTTAGATTGTTTCAGGTTCAAAGCGAGTTTTGATTTCACAGTAATAAAACAATTTCTTTTATCTACCGGTAAAATTATTTGATATTATGGAAAGACTGCAGTTATCGATCAGTGATGCAGAAACGAAGGAAAGGGAATATTCACTCTTGCCTCCAAAAGAATCATAAGAAGGCTTAATTTCATTGACAAGTGATCATTTGATGTATGAAAATTCTTTAGAAAACTCCAAATGAAACTAAAAGAGTGACTCATGTAAACACAGCTCGTTCATTTTCGATTTCAATGTTGATGCTTCATTTGTTAGGCTTTCCTTTAAAGAATTTCTTTGATCTACTTGCATGGCTAAAAAGATGAGGGGCGATGTGTTTCGCTTCTCTTGTCTCACATGGAAGACCTCGAGTGAATCTCAAATGATGTTAGCGCTTTTTGACATCGGTCCAGTTAATGCCTGGGAGAACAATATATAAGATGCTTCTTTAAAAAGTTGGCTTGCAAGAATGGACATGTAAGGGATGATTTTAAGCTAAGAGACATGGATTGTGTTGTGGTATTCATTCGACAGAAAAAAAGAATGCCGGTAAAATTCCCTACTCGAGGTCGTTATTATTTTATTTTAACTCCTCTCTCCTTCTCTCCAAATCACTGGTATTTGAATAGAGGCTACAGAATCATCTTTGGAAATCGAGTTGACTAAGACATCAACTCGCAAAGATGGAACTAGAAATTCAGAAGGAAAAAAACGTCGGCGGGTGAACACCATCCACTTGTGGGAATTTTTACTGGATCTCCTGGCAAATGATGATTTACGAACTATAATATGCTGGAGTCGAAGAGAATTCAAAGAATTTAAACTGAAAAGACCCGAGGAGGTATCAAGAAGATGGGGTCTGGTTAAACGAAAGAAGGGAATGAATTATGAGAAACTCAGTCGAGCATTACGATTCTATTATGGCCAAGGAATCATTCAAAAGGTTGGTACGGTCACCAAGTATTGGCAGATGACAAATGTGCTAACTTGATACTATAAACGATTAACTTAAAGCTTACCTACTGAGGGGAAACGGTTTCTTGTATATACCAAAACAAGCCACTGTAGACAGCATTGCTTGTTTGTGCATGATTCTCAAGTGTAATAGTGATTAGCATTTCTATCCTCTATTGTTGTTTCTGACCTTTTTTTTTTATTATGATTGAAATATTTATACATTTATTTCAAAAACACACATCACATATGGTATCAATGATACTTCCGTCCAGAATGCACAATACCAATTGTTTCTTTTTATACTACAACATTGCTTACAATACTAGATTGGTAGTACCACCAACTCCAATACCAGAGTCAACCCTAACACTAACATTGCCTATTTAAAAAGGCACAATGAAGATGTCAACCATACATTCAATTAAGTTGCATATGATTTATATATCATAAACAACCTTAAATGTTGAGATTACGTAAAATTTCTTCATGGAAAACATATTCTATTAATAATATATTTAACATTAATATAATACAATAATTATCTATTAAGACAAATTGCTGCCTGTTTCTTATTGAACCTAATTTCTTTGTAGTTCCTCGTAGAAATTTACATTTCTGTTTCAAATTTTCAAATTTCATTTTGATCTTAACCATAAGTTCAGTAAAACTTGAAAAAATTAAGAAAATCAATCCCACACACATAATATACATAATTTGGCTATCAATACGAGATAATTCCTTGATTCGCTTTTTTTGTCGTTGTTGATGGGTCAAGTAAGTAATGCGATGTTTGATTTTTTTTAAAGTTTTTATTTTTATTTTTTTCAATATATTATACTTACATATGTACTTACACTATACTTACTTCTTACACGATGCTTACACTACATTAACTTGCACTACTTACAATACATATATTACAATACAATTACACCAGTCAAATTGAATTACAGTTGATCTATTTGCGTTATTGTTTGCATGTTAATTATTCCAGTCACTAATAAGAATTTTGTTTGTTAATTAAACTACATAGGGTATTAATTTTCTAGAATTTAATAGATTATTAAATAAATAGGTAGCGAAAACAAACAAATCAAAATACAAAAGTTGAGAAGAAAAAGGATACAATGCAATTTTATAAAGACAGAAAATATTCCATTTGTTCCTGAATTCCTTCTCCTTATTACAAGTGACTGCAATATATTATTCTAGATTAATTTTTTCGCGCACAAGTGAGACAAAATCATCGAATTGGTACGTTATGGTATTAAAAGCGTTAACATGTAAGAAATATTTACCCAAAATAACGAGATGGTTGAGGGCTAAACAGCAGGTGTGACAGCGAATAATTCCGAACATAACCTCTAGTTCTGGTGTTTAATTTTTGTACTTTATGACCTGTTGCACCTTTGTGATTTCTACCTATGTTTTAGCACAGGGCACATGGTGCATTTTATTATATCATAGCTTTAAAGGATAGGAATTTGGAATAACCAGAGAAGCCCTCCTCCAGCCAGATAATTGGTTTGGCGGGATACGGGATGCGGGATGCGGGATGCGGGATGCGGGATGCGGGATGCGGGATGCAAGTCTGTACCTTCCTCTATAACAATCCACATGATTGTACGTCTGGCTTATATATCTATACATTTTTTATTTTTTTATCTTTTTCATGTTCTCCAGATTCCTGGCCAACCTTTCACTTACAAGTTCGACAGGCTGCCTTACAAATATGAGCCAAGAGTCTCAAAGTCAAGTGATCAAGAAAGCAAAACGAGTTCATCCAACAGAGAACAAGAGAAAATTTCATCTGATAAGTCTACATTACATAAAACTGGACAATCCTCACTCTCGTCTTCATCTGAGCAGTCAACACTTTCTCCTGCAGAGACTCCCCGGGGGAGATGTACATCCCCCTGTCTGGTAGCCATACTTGCAGAGTCAGCACAAGCGAGCCGGGAGACAGTTGAATATTGTTCTCCTCAAGAAAGCAATATTTCAAGCTTCAGAAAAAAAAGAAAAAAGATTGAAAGCTATCGTCCCCAAAGTTGTCTAAAGCGAAATCAAATGAATTCAACTAAGGCTACACCGGTCCCAGTAATAAAACGAGTTGCCTCATACAATTGTCAATGAACAAATTTCTTATCATCAAAATAGCTGCCTTTTTGTGAATGAAATTCAAGATAAAGCTGAACAAACTATCGCATGTGGGAAATATCCAGGGTGAAATAACAGTGTTATAAACCGCAGCCAGGACTCAGTCTTTTAAAAGCTCGACAGTTTTGTCAGGTTGCAGATTTCTTGGATGTGAGATGAACATTTATCAATTTTGCTGTTGTTTTGTCGCAAACTCTCGTGGCCAATCAAGCAACCATTCGTTAAGTCTGTTATGTACAGGTTTTAAACATTCTTATTTTCTCATTTTGTAGGTTGCAGGCCAGAGATTAGTGTACAAGTTTAACGAACTGCCATATAAGTGTGAACCCGGTGTAACGAGATCTCTTTACCAAGGGAACAGAATCAAGGCTTCCATCCAAGAACCAACGAAATCTAAAGAAGCCGACCCCACCCCTCCCAAGACAAATACTAACACTTCACTGTCAGCTTTTACTCCAGTTCGAGGACATCCCAAAAAGAGCTGGTCTTGGCCGCTTCTTTCCACGCCATCGAATCCTTTCGTTTTGTACCCAGGTTCCACTCCTAACACGCCTACAATATTTGACAGCTCTAAGACAATAATCGTATTCCCGTTTGGTCCCAGTCCACCTATGCACCATACATTACCGTTGCATTTGAAACGGGAACACGATGAACCTGTTGGTAAAATGATAACTGCAGAAGTTACTTCGATTCCGGTCTCGATCTTTCAGCGTGTCTAACGCACGTTGATATCGAGATTTAGGACACACCTCACAGCTTTTTTTCCATTAGAAAAAACAGGACTTAAAAACAGGACAACATATTTGATTATAACAGATTATTCAATTACTTATCCTGCTTTTATATTCGTTTAGTCTCCTCCACTTTGAAGTAGTCTGAATAATAGAAAAATTGCCGCTAAGTTTTCCAGCTCGATGGGATAACATCGAGCTGAAAAGAGTAAGTCATCATCTCAGGTTATCCTTCCAATACTTTAAGGCTGACCAATATTTTATTCCAAAAGCGCTATGGTTAAAAAGGTATATTTTCCCGTAAAAAAAGTATGTTTTTTGAAAAGGTGTAGAAAGTATTTTAGATTTTGCGATAAAAAGTCTGAAGATGTATTTTTTTTTGTAAAACTTATTTTAATTTTGCAAGTTAAAAGCCTTTTTTTTTTTTACACAATGATGTAAGATGGAAATAAATTGATATGGTTTTTGACGTATATCTGCAAGTCTTCCCCTTGAAAGAACGTACCAGCGACGAATATATCTCTGATTTGAGTAACTCCTTCGCGGCCTAGAAGAAACCCCGAGGCGTTATTGCCCAAAAATGATGCACGCGCAGAAACTATTTGCTTTTTGCGTCCGCAGACAGAACTTCTTCCTAGGGTCAATTGTGGTTAAGTGCAGGTCATTTATTTTATGATTCCTGGAGGCCGGAAGAACTCGTTCTGCAGTTGAGATTTTAAAACGCGGGACCTTCTTTAACGGGTTTAACTTCTTTCCTGTACTTTTCGGTAAGAAGTCGGAAACAAATTAGAGTTGATGACAAAAGGCAAAAGCCTTTAACCTCTCACCGTTTTTAACCTTCTGATTTAATTCTGCCTTTAGGAAAAATCGATTATATAAATACTTTAAAATCCATGAGCCGTTGTTAAATAGCCTTTTATACCAAATTTACAACTATAATTAGCTTACACCGACACTCTTGGAAGAGTAACTTCCGGTTTTCGACATCCGCTTTCTGCTTCATTTTTTGTTTCTATTTCTTTCTAAAATTTTCCAAATATATACTTTTTTGTCCCAGTGTTTTTCTTAAACCAAATATAGCGTGTCTGTGTTAAACACGTCACCTTTTCTGTTTCTTGTGTTATATTTCGCTCTCACAGGTCAAATATTCAGGCCTCAGTTGATAGAAGCAAAACTCGATCTCTTGTGCCCAAAAACACAAAATTGTTGTAACCAGCTTTTCTGGGCGTTTTCTACCGTTCAAAAATATAAATAAATTAAAAAACACAGTGGAAAGTTTAACTTCCACTAACCGGAGGTGAATCGGAGGTGAAGATCACGACCTCCCTTTAGTATATTTGATATGGTGAGATTTAACTCAAACTAAATACGACTGCATTTCCTTGCAGGACCCCAAGAATTTTGAGCTTTGAATTAAACGCCGCAACTGAGAAAAGACCTATTGACCTTGTTTTGAAAGCTTCTTTTTTTCTTTTTTATCCGTTTTTTTTAATTTTTTTTTTGTAAAACAAAACCTAAAAACAAAACACAACCAATTGCGTGACGGAACAGAACTTTTTTGGATTGTCATGCCTATTGTGATTTCAACCGGAAGATGCCGAGAGGAAGTAAATATAATTTTATATGATTGATAGAACTTCCCTTGCAGCTTTAGTCATGCTTAAATAAAGCCTCCAGGTGCAGCTATCATTATGAGTGAGACCCATGTAAAGTTAAAAGTCCTCCAGTTTTCTGTTGCATTTCAAATTGAAAGTGATCGAAGAAGGACGCACTTCTGACTGATTGACTCCCGCGCAATATGGCGTCGCAAACAGCAGGTAGATCATTCTTTTATTTTCTTGATTCTGTATTTTAAAATAAAATTATTCAGCCCAAGCCGTGGGTTTCTTATGCCTAAAATTTTAGATGCATCAATTAATTTTGAAAGGTTTTGTTCGGTTGCGTGAATAGTATTTTATCTTTGACTCGGCAATCATGGTATCGAGTACAACGCCTGACGAGCGACGAGTTGTCCAAAAATTATTATTTTGCGAACTGATCACCCAAGAACAACAAGCGAACTTACTTTCTACAAATGGAGATCCTTTTCGATGCTAAAAAAGTATCTGTAAAACGATTAATGACAAAAAACAACTAGATACTTTGAAACAGCTTTTCTCGGCAACTGGCTAGTGCGGCGTGGGTACACGCGACTGTTTGCTATGATATCATAATGACAAATGTCGGTAACCACAACCAAGAGAAGATATTTCTAGAATTTAGAACAGAGAGAGAGCTGTTGCTTCCAATTCGTGTCATCTCCTCGTTTCTTTTAAAATTAATTTGAAGTTTTGGAGGCTCACAAGAGACAACTGACAAAGAATCGCGAAGCCGTATCTTGAGTTAAGCGACGCGACAGTTCTCAGTCATCATTTATATAATTTGCTTGTTGAATTGTGTCACTCACGAGCGACACAATTTTTTTCTTTGAGCTGTGAACAGATAAGAGGCTAGAGCTTTTTATTTGGGAATCACCCCGACACAAGTCAAAATAAAACTTGAATTTTTAGAGCATCACCCAAACGTATAGAGAATGATGCACTTTGCCGAGTTCAGCGAAGTGAGAGCCAACAGTTCTAGTTTCCATCAAAATTTACAATGTTCTCTCGTTCATTTTTTAAGTAAATTACAATCATTACCAAAGATCTAATGGCCAGTTTCTCAGAATTTAATGATCACTAATGCAAATCTAGTTTTCAAACTAAGGATTCTCGATCGTCTGGTAAGACTCAAGAATCTAAGCCGGCAATCCATAGGAAAAAAGTGTTAGTTCGCAGCTCGACTATCTTTACTGAAGTTTGTTCACTGTCAATGGGTGTGATCGATGGCTAATGAAAGAATATTATTCTGAGAAACTGAGGCGTTTGACCACAGTTCCAAAACTCAGAGAGAAACAAAGAAAATTGAGACATTATCAGTCTTGTGCACAAGTAACTGGAGGATAAGCCTCTAGAGACTTATTTATTGTAGATAGGAACTCTTTCCAGAGGAAACTGAAAGCATGACTCATACGAAGAACTCTTGTTTCAGTTCACATAGTGATTGTGCAGCCCTCGTGCGAAGAAAGATTTAGATATTTTGGTAGAGTTGATAAGTATTTCATTTTGTGTCATCCATTATTCGTGTTTTTAGGAGGCTCGATTGTGCAATAAACAAAAGTATAACTGTGATGAAGAGCATTAATAGTTAAGTTTTGAAGAGCATCCATATGTTTCGTTGGATTATCCTTAATCATGTTGTCATGTTTTAGGTTCTGTGTCCTAGGAAATATTCAAAGCTTAGAAAAGGCGTTCACGAAGAGCTATATCCTCTACTGTTGAGGAACAGCTGCAGCAAGAGCAAATGGGGTCTTTAGAAAGAAAATCGTTTGCAATAGGAGCAAATCTAAATCAGCTTACGTTTTCTTTGTAAGTTTTAACAATTTTGTGGGGGCATAGAATAACCATAATTTTTCTTTAAGTTAATTAGAGAAAGCGTTTGGTGTTGTGCAGGCCATCATGAGTTGAAAAGGTAAATATTGTTGTTATTGATCAAAGCGAACTGAGTTGTTTATCGATAAGAACTCTGTCAGAAGCATAATAGTCGTTTATCTCCTGCAATGAAGACACTTGCTGTGAAGATATTGATGATAATAATTGCTTTATGAACGAATAAAATTTTTACAGCAATAACATAGTTATTTTCAAGTCTACCACTGATATCTACACTATAATCTTATGAGTGTGCAATTTAACTCAATAATCTATTGAAACCTACATTATCTGAAATACATGATTCGCCTACTGAGTCAAATAAATTTTCGGCGGAAATTCAAAGTTAGATTCAACGCAAGCTTAACGACACATCTATTGTAATTAGTTAATTTTAGTTCCCTCCAACAGGTGTAAAACTGCGTCAATTGTCAGCTTAAGTCGTTGTAACTCTTTCATTCAAGCATATGGCTCTTAACTGTATATTCAGGGCTTTTAGTGCAAACTTTGAAGTAGTTGGGTTGTCAGGAAACTTGTACCCTCTTTAACCGGAGAAAACGTGGTCAGCGTTTGCTTTGAAAGAACTTTGAGCTGCTCTCCGTCAAATTTCAAGGCAGATGAGATCTTACTTCCCATCTTTGATTAAGAGGACGGAAGGACTAGGTTTTGAGCTTTCACAGTTATTTACTAAGGGCTTGTCATAGGGATAAATGTTACGCCAGCAGAAAGGGTTGTAGATGCTTTGTACTTTAGAACGTATTTAACTCAGTTTTAGTGTTTATTTGAAGCATCAAGCTTTTAAAAGTTGGTGTTAAGATTCAAAAGGTGACAAATTGTTTGATGTTAAAACTAATGAGTCCTTCGTTCTCTTTTCTCTTTCACGAAACCACTGTTATGAAAGTAGAGACTACGGTGACGGATTTAGGAATCGAGGTGATAAACAAATCAAACGATGGAGGTAGAAATCCAGAAGTTAAAAAATATCGTCGCAAGAACATTATCCACTTGTGGGAATTTTTGTTGGAGCTTCTCGCCAACGACAACTTGTGTACGATAATCTGCTGGAGTAGGAAAGAGTTCAAAGAGTTTCAGCTCAAAAGACCCGAGGAAGTGGCAAAAAGATGGGGTCTGCTAAGAAGAAGGAGGAAAGGAATGAATTATGAGAAACTTAGTAGGGCTTTGCGATTCTATTATGGTCAGGGAATAATTCAAAAGGTTAGTACTGTCGTCATGAAGTGTTTACTGATCGATGGATACACTTACTCTTAGCTAAGTAACCCTAAGTTTACTCACAGTTGACATGAAAAGCTTGCAAAAGCCATCTTATTGAAGAATCGAAGGTTGAAGGACTGGAAATGGTGAAGCCCAGGAAAATATACAGCCATAAATTATTCCTGGCACAATCTAACTATAGTCCTTGAAACGTGTGAAGAGATATTGCTCATAGAGGCGATTGTATTGTGTGTCATTGCTGTCTGTTTCATAGTCGTGCATTGTATTACCAACCCAGTTTCCTGATGCTCAATTAGTTTGGGAAATGCAATAAACGTTGAAGTTTTAGATACAAAGCTTATTCAGTTGTCGTAAGACTGAAGAATCTTACTGCTAAAAGTGCATCGCACATGGTGCCGGCCAGTTGGAGTGTTGCATGGTGTTTGGTAAAATTATAGGGCAATGAGTCTATCATTGTAAAGAGATTTCCCACAGTGCTTCCTTTAATGTAATAATCTTGCTGTTTGCTACTTGAGTTCATGGATCGTATCTGGGTTAGCATGATGAACATTGTTTTTTTCATACCTTGCACAGTATATTTCGATCGTATATAGTTACACTGAATGTGGTATGTCATTGGTATGGTACCATATGGTACTTGTTGTGAAGAATGGTACCCTTTTCCTAACCTACATGGGAAAATTGATTTGATCTTCCAATTTTTATGACTCACAGTACAAATGTACTTCACAGAGGTAACAGGTTAATGATGTATAAAATGAGCAATAACCCATGTGTCTAGCTTTTCCTGTAGTATGGAGATTTTAAGATTTCTTTAAGGTTTTATGGCCTTTCCTGCGAACATGAAGGGTGCTCTGAGTATCTTTCCAGTGCCTACCTTTTAAGAAACATTCATTGCTCTCTGCACTATGTACTGGTCTATGCTAAATGGCGTTTGGTACTTGGTTAAATAGTGTTCAAGGGTTGTAACCTGTTATCAGAAAACACTGTACATGCAATTAATACCATTAATATCTATTGTTCAATATGTGTGGCCTTGGATTATGGTTGCTTTTTATGGTATAGTACATTATATCTAATGCAAGGTGTGGTAACACTACATTCTACATTCACATTCTAAGCTGTTGTTCCAAGAGACTCCGGTGTACCTTATGCACTAAGGAGTAAGTAGTACATTGTTTCTAGTGTAAGTGGTGTTTAATGAGGGTCTTATCTTAAGTGGTCTCACTCTCTTTGCTTTTATTGCGATGGAACACAGAACCAGTTTATAATGTCGACTGTCAGTTAATTGTGCGTGAAGATTGTTGAAGTATTTAGCAATTAACGCGTGTGTTTTCGTTTACTCTATGATTTTGTACCGTGTTATGGTATCCTCGAAAGTGTTCAGTCCTACGAGAGATCAACGAGGCGTGTTACACCTCAATCAACTGTTTGAGCAAAAGACGTTCGCTGTTAATAACCGTTTTAACACTGATTGCTTGCTTGACTTAATGAGTAAGGATATTCCTCTGATGCAAGCCGTTTCTTCTTTAAAGTGGACCTCGTAAGTTTCGTTGTGACCTGAAGAGCGAAACCGGTCATAAACGATATTCATTAAAACTGGAAAACCACCGAGAACAGTTTTTTCAAACCAATATGAAACGATTTAGGCCAGGAAAAAGAGAACCGAATAAGAAACCGAAGAACTCATTTTTCCTTCTTCGCGTCATGTAAAATGACCAAAACCAAACATCCCAATGTTCCTTCCTTTACGTTAGGCATCTTGAATTCGGCGCGCATTTTGCTTATTTTGGTGACAACAGTCCTTCGCGACAGCGGCCTTGCGAGGAATCCAAGTGCCCGTATTGAAAATAGTGCCAAAGGGAAGAGTCAGAGAGGCAGGTTATCGAAAACAAGACTTTCATTTCTGGCTTTCCACTGATTTCGAGGAGTATCTGTTGCATGTGATATAATTCCCCCGGTCCAGTGGAACGAAAGGATTCAGCCAATGGCTTCAGCTGATGAAGTTGAAGTCTTACAGGTCTTTTAAATTAACTGAGTGAATTAGACTTTGATCGACGTCGATCGTGCACAGTTTCAAACGAATGCTCAAGGTAGCTAATACATTTAATGATCCTTACAATTTGGTAAACTGTATGAAGATGGACTCTAGCTAAAAGTAAACTTGTGAATTTGTGGTCAAGCTATTACAGTAACACAGAGGAATGGTTTTCACTCACTCGCTGATGTTATAGGTCGTTTGTGGCTATCTATTATTCACCTACTGATAATTTTATTTTCATATTCTCGTAGGTTCCCGGCCAGCGTTTTACTTACAAGTTCGACAAATTACCTTACAGATACGATCCAGAAGTGTCACAATCATGGTATCAAGAACGAAAGAAAATATCATCTGTTAAATCTACATCCTGTTTATCGGGACAATCATTACTCTCGTCTTCATTTAAGCAGTCAACACTTTCGCGTGCCCAGATCCCTAGGGGGAGTAGCATCTCCCCCTCTCTCATACCCAGTGCTGCTCGGTCGACACAAGCAAGCCAAGTAACAACTCAACAACTTTTTCCCCAAATATGTATTACTTCAAATCTGAGTAAAATAACATTGAAAGCTTCTGTTCCTTTACTCTTTCCAAAGCAAGATCTTCTGAATTGTCCAACTAAGTCTATTCCTGTGTCAGTGATTAAGCGAATTGCCTCCAATCCATAGCCAATAAATAAACTGTTGATTTTATCATTGGTTGCTTTTCTTGTGATATCTGAGACTCTCAACGATCAACTGGAAGCTTTTCTAAAAGTTTCCACCAAAGGTAACATACACAAGGAAAACGAAGCGCTGACGCTTGAAACGCCAGCTTCAGAAATTCTCTATGAATGCAAATTCACATGATCAACTCAGTTGATAAAATCAAATTATCTTAATTGTTAAACCTCCCTCAGAGGCAGCACAAAAATTTCTTCAGACACTTACCCCCCACATACACAAGGATAAAAATTTGCCGTCAATTCTTAACGGTAATTGCCCTAAAAGTGTGTAGAGACGTTTTAAATCAGTTAGTTTCCAGATTATGGTTCAGCACTATTTCAGCTGTGAACGTGATCATCCTCCATACTGATGAGTTTTGCAAACAAAAAACACTTAGTTGTATTTCAAGCCACAGCTGTTTCAATGATATGTGACCCTCTACGAATAAAACGCATACTAGGGTGAACACACGGACACGGTAAATGATACGTCAACTATTAAGCAATAAAATATTTCCTTTGTTTATGTGGCACAATAAAAACAAAGGCGCGTGGATGTGTATCAAAGATAATCGGAAAAGAACTGAGATGGTAAATTTTGAGCTCGGTTATGAAATAAAAGAAACCCTTCTCTAAAGAATAAAAGCCAAGTTTTTCGGATTCCGCACTCCGATGCTCCACCACAGAGCAACAAAGAACTCCACACCTTCCTCACAATGTTTGCAACATCGCTGATCGTAGCGATAGGGTACCTGTCACATTTAAAGCAAGTCATCCCCAAAATCTGTGTAGAGTCGCTGTAGCTAACTGCCTCTGAGGGTAAATTTTGAATCTTTGGGGTGCCTTAGATTTTCACCGTTTATTCCCAGGTTCTCGTAAAAGAAGAAACACACATTTTTTTACAATATAAAAATAAAGAGACCATTAACTTCATCCACTCGTTATATGATACCATGATTATAAGTTCTCTCCGCTTGAAGAAATATAGCATCAATCAAATTCAAGTCAAACTAATTTTAACTCCAATCAATATTTACATAGTTAATGATTGACAATTACCTTCCTGTTTTTTTATTATTATTATTATTATTATTATTATTTTATCATCATTTTTCATAGCTGCGACGGTATTTTCGAATATTCTATCCGCTGAAGAGGAACGTCGCTTAACAACCTTAGTTCTGCATTGTAAGGTGGATCAGGAACCCTTTAAGCCTTTAAGACAAAGAAATGCTGTTCAGCACCAAGTTTTAAGGGAGGCTGTTACACTGTATTTCACTTGAAACTTGCGATAAACAGGAAACTTGCACTTCCAGAAGCTTACACAGCAGCTGAAAATTATTTTGTAAGACTTTCGCAGTTGTTATTCACTTTCAATAGCAATTTGGATAAAACAACATCCGGTTACCTGCTTCCAGCTTCCGGTCCTATTCATCGCTTTCAATCGGCTCAAGATCTTCTCTCTCTTTCTCTGTTTTTTTTTTTCCTTTTACCACTAAGAAATGCAGGTACCTTGGATTTAAAGCCAGTTAATACTTGGGAAAAAGTAATCTAATTTCTTCAACCTCAGAATTTCCCTTTCATTGCTCGTAGATCACCTAGAAATAAATTCTAAAAACAGAATCACTTTCCTTGTGCTTCAAAATATCTAGCTTTTTAGCATTTATGACGAGTTAGATTGTCTAACAAGACGAAGTAGGTGGAAGAAGCAGAGGAAAGTTCAGTTTTCCTCAGGACAATGCACGATTGAAAAACTCCTTGAGGTGAAAATAACGAACTCCTTGAGGTGAAAATAACGACCTCCAAGACTGTGTAGATATTTCGGTTCAGAAAGTTTCCTAGTAAATAAATATTAATGCCATGACAAAAAAAAAATTACATAATTATTTGAATTTGAACGACATAGTTGAAGAAAAGCCACTTATTTTTCCTATTTGTTTCATAGGCTAATGCGTGACAAAATGTTCTCGTCTGCTGTCACGCCGTGTTTGTTACAGGAAGTCCCTGGAAGATACTAATACTGTCTAGCTTTGAGAGGAAGCGTATTCTCTTTTATAGCACATAAAACTTCCGTTTTATAAGTCATGTTTAAATAAAGCCGCAAGATGCAAATATCATTATATGTAACGAAACACGCAAAGTTAAAACTCCTGTCTGAGTCCTTTTCTTTTCCATGTGAAAGTAATTGGGAACGACACCCTCAGGGACTGTGCGGGATTAACTGAAATGGCGTCTACAACAGCAGGTAAAATTTTGCTTAAATTTGTTTATTCCTAATAAATACTTGGAGCGATAGCATTGAAAAATATCAATCGTTCTAGCTCTAGAATCCAAGTTTTCTTCGAGTGTTTGACTCTATATATCGTGCAGAACGCCCAAAGATATTACAAATAGCTTGCGAAAATTATTTTTATAAGAACGTAAAATTAATAAATACTGCATTCATATCCTTTTCAGGATAACGATTTACGAGAAAAAAAGGTTTAAATAGCCTTTTCCAAAAACTTGCCACAAGTTTTGTGGATGGTGAGCATGACTGGTTAGTCATTCGTACCAAATTGTGGCATAAACAACCATGAAATACGCTTGTTTTTAGACTTGTAAACAGATCAGGTTGTTTTATTTTACACTCAGGGATTATAGGTGTGAATTTATACTGAATTTCAGGTTGAGAGCTTCCCTTAGAAATACTAAGAATTGAGCTCATGGTCTTTGAGGCTAACGGGCGACAGTTTTGTTGGTTGTTGTTCCATATTCGTGTGTTCCACTGGCCGTTTAACGTCGTTGTTTTAGCTTACAGTTATACCCGCACAAGTTCTTAAAAATCAGAATGATCATGATAGCTGTAGATTTTCTTCAATTTTAGATTGTTTCAGGTTCAAAGCGAGTTTTGATTTCACAGTAATAAAACAATTTCTTTTATCTACCGGTAAAATTATTTGATATTATAGAAAGACTGCAGTTATCGATCAGTGATGCAGAAACGAAGGAAAGGGAATATTCACTCTTGCCTCCAAAAGAATCATAAGAAGGCTTAATTTCATTGACAAGCGATCATTTGATGTATGAAAATTCTTTAGAAAACTCCAAATGAAACTAAAAGAGTGACTCATGTAAACACAGCTCGTTCATTTTCGATTTCAATGTGGATGCTTCATTTGTTAGGCTTTCCTTTAAAGAATTTCTTCGATCTACTTGCATGGCTAAAAAGATGAGGGGCGATGTGTTTCGCTTCTCTTGTCTCACATGAAAGACCTCGAGTGAATCTCAAATGATGTTAGCGCTTTTTGACATCGGTCCAGTTAATGTCTGGGAGAACAATATATAAGATGCTTCTTTAAAAAGTTGGCTTGCAAGAATGGACATGTAAGGGATGATTTTAAGCTAAGAGACATGGATTGTGTTGTGGTATTCATTCGACAGAAAAAAAGAATGCCGGTAAAATTCCCTACTCGAGGTCGTTATTTTAGTTTAACTCCTCTCTCCTTCTCTCCAAATCACTGGTATTTGAATAGAGGCTACAGAATCATCTTTGGAAATCGAGTTGACCAAGAAATCAACTCGCAAAGATGGAACTAGAAATTCAGAAGGAAAAAAACGTCGGCGGGTGAACACCATCCACTTGTGGGAATTTTTACTGGATCTCCTGGCAAATGATGATTTACGAACTATAATATGCTGGAGTCGAAGAGAATTCAAAGAATTTAAACTGAAAAGACCCGAGGAGGTATCAAGAAGATGGGGTCTGGTTAAACGAAAGAAGGGAATGAATTATGAGAAACTCAGTCGAGCATTACGATTCTATTATGGCCAAGGAATCATTCAAAAGGTTGGTATGGTCACCAAGTATTGGCAGATGACAAATGTGCTAACTTGTTACTATAAACGATTAACTTAAAGCTTACCTACTGAGGGGAAACGGTTTCTTGTGTATACCAAAACAAGCCACTGTAGACAGCATTGCTTGTTTGTGCATGATTCTCAAGTGTAATAGTGATTAGCATTTCTATCCTTTATTGTTGTTACTGACCTCTTTTTTTATTATGATTGAAATATTTATACATTTATTTCAAAGACACACATCACATATGGTATCAATGATACTTCCGTCCAGAATGCACAATACCAATTGTTACTTTTTATACTACAACATTGCTTACAATACTAGATTGGTAGTACCACCAACTCCAATACTAGAGTCAACCCTAACACTAACATTGCCTATTGGAAAAGGCACAATGAAGATGTCAACCATACATTCAATTAAGTTGCATATGATTTATTTATCATAAACAACCTTAAATGTTGAGATTACGTAAAATTTCTTCATGGAAAACATATTCTATTAATAATATATTTAACATTAATATAATATAATAATTATCTATTAAGACAAATTGCTGCCTGTTTCTTATTGAACCTAATTTCTTTGTAGTTCCTCGTAGAAATTTACATTTCTGTTTCAAATTTTCAAATTTCATTTTGATCTTAACCATAAGTTCAGTAAAACTTGAAAAAATTAAGAAAATCAATCCCACACACATAATATACATAATTTGGCTATCAATACGAGATAATTCCTTGATTCGCTTTTTTTGTCGTTGTTGATGGGTCAAGTAAGTAATGCGATGTTTGATTTTTTTTTAAGTTTTTATTTTTATTTTTTTCAATATATTATACTTACATATGTACTTACACTATACTTACTTCTTACACGATGCTTACACTACATTAACTTGCACTACTTACAATACATATATTACAATACAATTACACCAGTCAAATTGAATTACAGTTGATCTATTTGCGTTATTGTTTGCATGTTAATTGTTCCAGTCACTAATAAGAATTTTGTTTGTTAATTAAACTACATAGGGTATTAATTTTCTAGAATTTAATAGATTATTAAATAAATAGGTAGCGAAAAGAAACAAATCAAAATACAAAAGTTGAGAAGAAAAAGGATACAATACAATTTTATAAAGACAGAAAATATTCCATTTGTTCCTGAATTCCTTCTCCTTATTATAAGTGACTGCAATATATTATTCTAGATTAATTTTTTCGCGCACAAGTGAGACAAAATCATCGAATTGGTACGTTACGGTATTAAAAGCGTTAACATGTAAGAAATATTTACCCAAAATAACGAGATGGTTGAGGGCTAAACAGTAGGTGTGACAGCGAATAATTCCGAACATAACCTCTAGTTCTGGTGTTTAATTTTTGTACTTTATGACCTGTTGCACCTTTGTGATTTCTACCTATGTTTTAGCACAGGGCACATGGTGCATTTTATTATATCATAGCTTTAAAGGATAGGAATTTGGAATAACCAGAGAAGCCCTCCTCCAGCCAGATAATTGGTTTGGCGGGATACGGGATGCGGGATGCGGGATGCAAGTCTGTACCTTCCTCTATAACAATCCACATGATTGTACGTCTGGCTTATATATCTATACATTTTTTATTTTTTTATCTTTTTCATGTTCTCCAGATTCCTGGCCAACCTTTCACTTACAAGTTCGACAGGCTGCCTTACAAATATGAGCCAAGAGTCTCAAAGTCAAGTGATCAAGAAAGCAAAACGAGTTCATCCAACAGAGAACAAGAGAAAATTTCATCTGATAAGTCTACATTACATAAAACTGGACAATCCTCACTCTCGTCTTCATCTGAGCAGTCAACACTTTCTCCTGCCGAGACTCCCCGGGGGAGATGTACATCCCCCTGTCTGGTAGCCATACTTGCAGAGTCAGCACAAGCGAGCCGGGAGACAGTTGAATATTGTTCTCCTCAAGAAAGCAATATTTCAAGCTTCAGAAAAAAAAGAAAAAAGATTGAAAGCTATCGTCCCCAAAGTTGTCTAAAGCGAAATCAAATGAATTCAACTAAGGCTACACCGGTCCCAGTAATAAAACGAGTTGCCTCATACAATTGTCAATGAACAAATTTCTTATCATCAAAATAGCTGCCTTTTTGTGAATGAAATTCAAGATAAAGCTGAACAAACTATCGCATGTGGGAAATATCCAGGGTGAAATAACAGTGTTATAAACCGCAGCCAGGACTCAGTCTTTTAAAAGCTCGACAGTTTTGTCAGGTTGCAGATTTCTTGGATGTGAGATGAACATTTATCAATTTTGCTGTTGTTTTGTCGGAAACTCTCGTGGCCAATCAAGCAACCATTCGTTAAGTCTGTTATGTACAGGTTTTAAACATTCTTATTTTCTCATTTTGTAGGTTGCAGGCCAGAGATTAGTGTACAAGTTTAACGAACTGCCATATAAGTGTGAACCCGGTGTAACGAGATCTCTTTACCAAGGGAACAGAATCAAGGCTTCCATCCAAGAACCAACGAAATCTAAAGAAGCCGACCCCACCCCTCCCAAGACAAATACTAACACTTCACTGTCAGCTTTTACTCCAGTTCGAGGACATCCCAAAAAGAGCTGGTCTTGGCCGCTTCTTTCCACGCCATCGAATCCTTTCGTTTTGTACCCAGGTTCCACTCCTAACACGCCTACAATATTTGACAGCTCTAAGACAATGATCGTATTCCCGTTTGGTCCCAGTCCACCTGTGCGCCATACATTACCGTTGCATTTGAAACGGGAACACGATGAACCTGTTGGTAAAATGATAACTGCTGAAGTTACTTCGATTCCGGTCTCGATCTTTCAGCGTGTCTAACGCACGTTGATATCGAGATTTAGGACACACCTCACAGCTTTTTTTCCATTAGAAAAAACAGGACTTAAAAACAGGACAACATATTAGATTAAAGTATCTTGACCTAAAGTCGTTCTACCTTATAACAGATTATTCAATTACTTATCCTGCTTTTATATTCGTTTAGTCTCCTCCACTTTAAAGTAGTCTGAATAATAGAAAAATTGCCACTAAGTTTTCCAGCTCGATGGGATAACATCGAGCTGAAAAGAGTAAGTCATCATCTCAGGTTATCCTTCCAATACTTTAAGGCTGACCAATATTTTATTCCAAAAGCGCTACGGTTAAAAAGGTATATTTTCCCGTAAAAAAAGTATGTTTTTTGAAAAGGTGTAGAAAGTATTTTAGATTTTGCGATAAAAAGTCTGAAGATGTATTTTTTTTTGTAAAACTTATTTTAATTTTGCAAGTTAAAAGCCTTTTTTTTTTTTACACAATGATGTAAGATGGAAATAAATTGATATGGTTTTTGACGTATATCTGCAAGTCTTCCCCTTGAAAGAACGTACCAGCGACGAATATATCTCTGATTTGAGTAACTCCTTCGCGGCCTAGAAGAAACCCCGAGGCGTTATTGCCCAAAAATGATGCACGCGCAGAAACTATTTACTTTTTGCGTCCGCAGACAGAACTTCTTCCTGGGGTCAATTGTGGTTAAGTGCAGGTCATTTATTTTATGATTCCTGGAGGCCGGAAGAACTCGTTCTGCAGTTGAGATTTTAAAACGCGGGACCTTCTTTAACGGGTTTAACTTCTTTCCTGTACTTTTCGGTAAGAAGTCGGAAACAAATTAGAGTTGATGACAAAAGGCAAAAGCCTTTAACCTCTCACCGTTTTTAACCTTCTGATTTAATTCTGCCTTTAGGAAAAATCGATTATATAAATACTTTAAAATCCATGAGCCGTTGTTAAATAGCCTTTTATACCAAATTTACAACTATAATTAGCTTACACCGACACTCTTGGAAGAGTAACTTCCGGTTTTCGACATCCGCTTTCTGCTTCATTTTTTGTTTCTATTTCTTTCTAAAATTTTCCAAATATATACTTTTTTGTCCCAGTGTTTTTCTTAAACCAAATATAGCGTGTCTGTGTTAAACACGTCACCTTTTCTGTTTCTTGTGTTATATTTCGCTCTCACAGGTCAAATATTCAGGCCTCAGTTGATAGAAGCAAAACTCGATCTCTTGTGCCCAAAAACACAAAATTGTTGTAACCAGCTTTTCTGGGCGTTTTCTACCGTTCAAAAATATAAATAAATAAAAAACGCAGTGGAAAGTTTAACTTCCACTAACCGGAGGTGAATCGGAGGTGAAGATCACGACCTCCCTTTAGTATATTTGATATGGTGAGATTTAACTCAAACTAAATACGACTGCATTTCCCTGCAGGACCCCAAGAATTTTGAGCTTTGAATTAAACGCCGCAACTGAGAAAAGACCTATTGACCTTGTTTTGAAAGCTTCTTCTTTTTTTCTTTTTTATCCGTTTTTTTAAATTTTTTTTTTTGTAAAACAAAACCTAAAAACAAAACACAACCAATTGCGTGACGGAACAGAACTTTTTTGGATTGTCATGCCTATTGTGATTTCAACCGGAAGATGCCGAGAGGAAGTAAATATAATTTTATATGATTGATAGAACTTCCCTTGCAGCTTTAGTCATGCTTAAATAAAGCCTCCAGGTGCAGCTATCATTATGAGTAAGACCCATGTAAAGTTGAAAGTCCTCCATTTTCTGTTGCATTTCAAATTGAAAGTGATCGAAGAAGGACGCACCTCTGACTGTTTGACTCCCGCGCAATATGGCGTCGCAAACAGCAGGTAGATCACTCTTTTATTTTCTTGATTCTGTATTTTAAAATGAAATTATTCAGCCCAAGCCGTGGGTTTCTTATGCCTAAAATTTTAGATGTATCAATTAATTTTGAAAGGTTTTGTTCGGTTGCGTGAATAGTATTTTATCTTTGACTCGGCAATCATGGTATCGAGTACAACGCCTGACGAGCGACGAGTTGTCCAAAAATTATTATTTTGCGAACTGATCACCTAAGAACAACAAGCGAACTTACTTTCTACAAATGGAGATCCTTTTCGATGCTAAAAAAGTATCTGTAAAACGATTAATGACAAAAAACTACTAGATACTTTGAAACAGCTTTTCTTGGCAACTGGCTAGTGCGGCGTGGGTACACGCGACTGTTTGCTATGATATCATAATGACGAATGTCGGTAACCACAACCAAGAGAAGATATTTCTAGAATTTAGAACAGAGAGAGAGCTGTTGCTTCCAATTCGTGTCATCTCCTCGTTTCGTTTAAAATTAATTTGAAGTTTTGGAGGCTCACAAGAGACAACTGACAAAGAATCGCGAAGCCGTATCTTGAGTTAAGCGACGCGACAGTTCTCAGTCATCATTTATATAATTTGCTTGTTGAATTGTGTCACTCACGAGCGACACAATTTTTTTCTTTGAGCTGTGAACAGATAAGAGGCTAGAGCTTTTTATTTGGGAATCACCCCGACACAAGTCAAAATAAAACTTGAATTTTTAGAGCATCACCCAAACGTATAGAGAATGATGCACTTTGCCGAGTTCAGCGAAGTGAGAGCCAACAGTTCTAGTCTCCATCAAAATTTACAATGTTCTCTCGTTCATTTTTTAAGTAAATTACAATCATTACCAAAGATCTAATGGCCAGTTTCTCAGAATTTAATGATCACTAATGCAAATCTAGTTTTCAAACTAAGGATTCTCGATCGTCTGGTAAGACTCAAGAATCTAAGCCGGCAATCCATAGGAAAAAAGTGTTAGTTCGCAGCTCGACTATCTTTACTGAAGTTTGTTCACTGTCAATGGGTGTGATCGATGGCTAATGAAAGAATATTGAGAAACATATTGAGAAATATTGAGAAACTGAGGCGTATGACTAAAGTTTCAAAACTCAGAGAGAAACAAAGAAAATCGAGACATTATCAGTCTTGTGCACAAGTAACTGGAGGATAAGCCTCCAGAGACTTATTTATTGTAGATAGGAACTCTTTCCCAAGGAAACTGAAAGCATGACTCATACGAAGAACTCTTGTTTCAGTTCACATAGTGATTGTGCAGCCCTCGTGCGAAGAAAGATTTAGATATTTTGGTAGAGTTGATAAGTATTTCATTTTGTGTCATCCATTATCCGTGTTTTTAGGCGGCTCGATTGTGCAATAAACAAAAGTATAACTGTGGTGAAGAGTATTAATAGTTAAGTTTTGAAAAGCATCCATATGTTTCGTTGGATTATCTTGAATCATGTTATCATGTTTTAGGTTCTGTGTCCTAGGAAATATTCAAAGCTTAGAAAAGGCGTTCACGAAGAGCTATATCCTCTACTGTTGAGGAACAGCTGCAGCAAGAGCAAATAGGGTCTTTAGAAAGAAAATCGTTTGCAATAGGAGCAAATCTAAATAAGCTTACGTTTTCTTTGTAAGTTTTAACAATTTTGTGGGGGCACACAATAACCATAATTTTTCTTTAAGTTAACTAGAGAAAGCGTTTGGTGTTGTGCAGGCCATCATGAGTTGAAAAGGTAAATATTGTTGTTATTGATCGAAGCGAACTGAGTTGTTTATCGATAAGAACTCTGTCAGAAGCATAATAGTCGTTTATCTCCTGCAATGAAGACACTTGCTGTGAAGATATTGATGATAATAATTGCTTTATAAACGAATAAAATTTTTTACAGCAATAACATAGTTATTTTCAAGTCTACCACTGATATCTACACTATAATCTTATGAGTGTGCCATTTAACTCAATAATCTATTGAAACCTACATTATCTGAAATACATGATTCGCCTACTGAGTCAAATAAATTTTCGGCGGAAATTCAAAGTTAGGTTCAACGCAAGCTTAACGACACATCTGTTGTAATTAGTTAATTTTAGTTCCCTCCAACAGGTGTAAAACTGCGTCAATTGTCAGCTTAAGTCGTTGTAGCTCTTTCATTCAAGCATATGGCTCTTAACTGTATATTCAGGGCTTTTAGTGAAAACTTTGAAGTAGTTGGGTTGTCAGGAAACTAGTAACCTCTTTAACCGGAGAAAACGTGGTCAGCGTTTGCTTTGAAAGAACTTTGAGCTGCTCTCCGCCAAATTTCAAAGCAGGTGAGATCTTACTTCCCATCTTTGATTAAGAGGACGGAAGGACTAGGTTTTAAGCTTTCACAGTTATTTACTAAGGGCTTGTTATAGGGATAAATGTTACGCCAGCAGAAAGGGTTGTAGATGCTTTGTACTTTAGAACGTATTTAACTCAGTTTTAGTGTTTATTTGAAGCATCAAGCTTTTAAAAGTTGGTGTTAAGGATGCAAAAGGTGACAAATTGTTTGATGTTAAAACTAATGAGTCCTTCTTTCTCTTTTCTCTTTCACCAAACCACTGCCATGAAAGTAGAGACTACGGTGACAGATTTAGGAATCGAGGTCATAAACAAATCAAACGATGGAAGTAGAAATCCAGAAGTTAAAAAATATCGTCGCAAGAACATTATCCACTTGTGGGAATTTTTGTTGGAGCTTCTCGCCAACGACAATTTGTGTACGATAATCTGCTGGAGTAGGAAAGAGTTCAAAGAGTTTCAGCTTAAAAGACCCGAGGAAGTGGCAAGAAGATGGGGTCTGCTAAGAAGAAGGAGGAAAGGAATGAATTATGAGAAACTTAGTAGGGCTTTGCGATTCTATTATGGTCAGGGAATAATTCAAAAGGTTAGTACTGTCGTCATGAAGTGTTTACTGATCGATGGATACACTTACTCTTAGCTAAGTAACCCTAAGTTTACTCACAGTTGACATGAAAAGCTTGCAAAAGCCATCTTATTGAAGAATCGAAGGTTGAAGGACTGGAAATGGTGAAGCCCAGGAAAATATACAGCCATAAATTATTCCTGGCACAATCTAACTATAGTCCTTGAAACGTGTGAAGAGATATTGCTCATAGAGGCGATTGTATTGTGTGTCATTGCTGTCTGTTTCATAGTCGTGCATTGTATTACCAACCCAGTTTCCTGATGCTCAATTAGTTTGGTAAATGCAATAACCGTTGAAGTTTTAGATACAAAGCTTATTCAGTTGTCGTAAGACTGAAGAATCTTACTGCTGAAAGTGCATTGTACATGGTGTCGGCCAGTTGGAGTGTTGCATGGTGTTTGGTAAAATTATAGTGCAATGACTCTATCATTGTAAAGAGATTTCCCACAGTGCTTCCTGTAATGTAATAATCTTGCTGTTTGCTACTTGAGTTCATGGATCGTATCTGGGTTGGCATGATGAACATTGTTTTTTTCATACCTTGCACGGTATATTTCGATCGTATATAGTTACACTGAATGTGGTATGTCATTGGTATGGTACCATATGGTACTTGTTGTGAAGAATGGTACCCTTTTCCTAACCTACATGGGAAAATTGATTTAATCTTCCAATTTTTATGACATCACAGTACAAATATACTTCACAGAGGTAACAGGTTAATGATGTATCAAATGAGCAATAACCCATGTGCTTAGCTTTTCCTATAGTATGGAGATTTTAAGATTTCTTTAAGGTTTTATGGCCTTTCATGCGAACATGAAGGGTGCTCTGAATATCTTTCCAGTGCCTACCTTTTAAGAAACATTCATTGCTCTCTGTACTATTTACTAGTCTATGCTAAATGGCGTTTGGTACTTGGTTAAATAGCGTTCAAGGGTTGTAACCTGTTATCAGAAAACACTGTACATGCAATTAATACCATTAATATCTATTGTTCAATATGTGTGGCCTTGGATTATGGTTGCTTTTTATGGTATAGTACATTATATCTAATGCAGGGTGTGGTAACACTACATTCTACATTCACATTCTAAGCTGTTGTTCCAAGAGACTCCGGTGTACCTTATGCACTAAGGAGTAAGTAGTACATTGTTTCTAGTGTAAGTGGTGTTTAATGAGGGTCTTATCTTAAGTGGTCTCACTCTCTTTGCTTTTATTGCGATGGGACACATAACCAGTTCACAATGTCGACTGTAAGTTAATTTTGCGTAAAGATTGTTGAAGTATTTAGCAATTAACGCGTGCGTTTTCGTTTACTCTATGATTTTGTACCGTTTTATGGTATCCTCGAAAGTGTTCAGTCCTACGAGAGATCAACGAGGCGTGTTACACCTCAATCAACTGTTTAAGCAAAAGACGTTCGGTGTTAATAACCGTTTTAACACTGATTGCTTGCTTGACTTAATGAGTAAGGATATTCCTCTGATGCAAGCCGTTTCTTCTTTAAAGTGGACCTCGTAAGTTTCGTTGTGACCTGAAGAGCGAAACCGGCCATAAACGATATTCATTAAAACAGGAAAACCACCGAAAACAGTTTTTTGAAACCAATATGAAACGATTTAGGCCGAGAAAAAGAGAACGGAATAAGAAACCGAAGAACTCATTTTTCCTTCTTCGCGTCATGTAAAATGACCAAAACCAAACATCCCAATGTTCCTTCCTTTACGTTAGGCATCTTAAATTCGGCGCGCATTTTGCTTATTTTGGTGACAACAGTCCTTCGCGACAGCGGCCTTGCGAGGAATCCAAGTGCCCGTATTGAAAATAGCGCCAAAGGGAAGAGTCAGTGAGGCAGGTTATCGAAAACAAGACTTTCACTTCTGGCTTTCCACTGATTTCGAGGAGTATCTGTTGCATATGATATAATTCCCCCGGTCCAGTGGAACGAAAGGATTCAGCCAATGGCTTCAGCTGATGAAGTTGAAGTCTTACAGGTCTTTCAAATTAACTGAGTGAATAAGACTTTGATCGACGTCGATCGTGCACAGTTTCAAACGAATGCTCAAGGTAGCTTATATGTGTAATGATCCTTACAATTTGGTAAACTGTATGAAGATGGACTCTAGCTAAAAGTAAACTTGTGAATTTGTGGTCAAGCTATTACAGTAACACAGAGGAATGGTTTTCACTCACTCGCTGATGTTATAGGTCGTTTGTGACTATCTATTATTCACCTACTGATAATTTATTTTCATATTCTCGTAGGTTCCCGGCCAGCGTTTTACGTACAAGTTCGACAAATTACCTTACAGATACGATCCAGAAGTGTCACAATCAAGGTATCAAGAACGAAAGAAAATATCATCTGATAAATCTACATCCTGTTTATCGGGACAATCATTACTCTCGTCTTCATTTAAGCAGTCAACACTTTCGCGTGCCCAGATCCCTTTGGGGAGTAGTATCTCCCCCTCTCTCATACCCAGTGCTGCTCGGTCGACACAAGCAAGCCAAGTAACAACTCAACAACTTTCTCCCCAAACACGTACTTCTTCAAATCTGCGTAAAATAACATTGAAAGCTTCTGTTCCTTTACTCTTTCGAAAGCAAGATCTTCTGAATTGTTCAACTAAGTCTATTCCTGTGTCAGTGATTAAGCGAATTGCCTTCAATCCATAGCCAATAAATAAACTGTTGATTTTATCATTGGTTGCTTTTCTTGTGATATCTGAGACTCTCAACGATCAACTGGAAGCTTTTCTAAAAGTTTCCACCAAAGGTAACATACACAAGGAAAACGTAGGGCTGACGCTCGAAACGTCAGCTTCAGAATGCAAATGGTCAACTCAGGTGATAAAATCAAATTATCTTAACTGTTAAACCTCCCTCAGAGGCAGCACCACAATTTCTTCAGACACTTACCCCCTATATACACAAGGATAAAAATTTGCCGTCAATTCTTAACGGTAATTGCCCTAAAAGTGTGTAGAGACGTTTTAAATCAGTTAGTTTCCAGATTATGGTTCAGCACTATTTCAGCTGTGAACGTGATCATCCTCCATATTGATGCGTTTTGCAAACAAAAAACGCTTAGTTGTATTTCGAGCCACAGCTGTTTCAATGATATGTGACCCTCTACGATAAGCAATAAATCAGTCGTGCCCAATGACACGACCGATTAAAATATTTCCTTTGTTAATGTGGCACAATAAAAACAAAGGCGCGTGGATGTGTATCAAAGATAATCGGAAAAGAACTGAGATGGTAAATTTTGAGCTCGGTTATGAAATAAAAGAAACCCTTCTCTAAAGAATAAAAGCCAAGTTTTTCGGATTCCGCACTCCGATGCTCCACCACAGAGCAACAAAGAACTCCACACCTTCCTCACAATGTTTGCAACATCGCTGATCGTAGCGATAGGGTACCTGTCACATTTAAAGCAAGTAATCCCCAAAATCTGTGTAGAGTCGCTGTAGCTAACTGCCTCTGAGGGTAAATTTCGAATCCTTGGGGTGCCTTAGATTTTCACCGTTTATTCCCAGGTTCTCGTAAAAGAAGAAACACATCTTTTTTACAATATAAAAAATAAAGAGACCATTAACTTCATCCACTCGTAATATGATACCATGATTATAAGTTCTCTCCGCTTGAAGAAATATAGCATCAATCAAATTCAAGTCAAAATAATTTTAACTCCAATCAATATTTACATAGTTAATGATTGACAATTACCTTCCTGTTTTTTATTATTATTATTATTACCATTGTTTTCATAGCTGCGACGGTATTTTCGAATATTCATATCCGCTGAAGAGGAACGTCGCTTAACAACCTTAGTTCTACATTGTAAGGAGGATCAGGAACCCTTTAAGCCTTTAAGACAAAGAAATGCTGTTCAGCACCAAGTTTTAAGGGAGGCTGTTACACTGTATTTCACTTGAAACTTGCGATAAACAGGAAACTTGCACTTCCAGAAGCTTACACAGCAGCTGAAAATTATTTTGTAAGACTTTCGCAGTTGTTATTCACTTTCAATAGCAATTTGGATAAAACAACATCCGGTTACCTGCTTCCGGCTTCCGGTCCTATTCATCGCTTTCAATCGGCTCAAGATCTTCTGTCTCTTTCTCTGTTTTTTTTTTCCTTTTACCACTAAGAAATGCAGGTATCTTGGATTTAAAGCCAGTTAATACTTGGGAAAAAGCAATTTAATTTCTTCAACCTCAGAATTTCCCTTTCACTGCTCGTAGATCACCCAGAAATAAATTCTAAAAACAGAATCACTTTCCTTGTGCTTCAAAATATGTAGCTTTTTAGCATTCATGACGAGTTAGATTGTCTAACAAGACGAAGTTGGTGGAAGAAGCAGAGGAAAGTTCAGTTTTCCTCAGGACAATGCACGATTGAAAAACGCCTTGAGGTGAAAATAACGACCTCCAAGACTGTGTAGATATTTCGGTTCAGAAAGTTTCCTAGTAAATAAATATTAATGCCATAGCAAAAAAAAAAATTACATAATTATTTGAATTTGAACGACATAGTTGAAGAAAAGCCACTTATTTTTCCTATTGTGTCATAGGCTAATGCGTGACAAAATGTTCTCGTCTATTGTCACGCCGTGTTTGTTACGGGAAGTCCCTGGAAGGTACTAATACTGTCTGGCTTTGAGAGGAAGTGTATTCTCTTTTATAGCACATAAAACTTCCGTTTTATAAGTCATGTTTAAATAAAGCCGCAAGATGCAAATATCATTATACGTAACGAAACACGCAAAGCTGAAACTCCTGTCTGAGTCCTTTTCTTTTCCGTGTGAAAGTAATTGGGAACGACACCCTCAGGGACTGTGTGGGATTAACTGAAATGGCGTCTACAACAGCAGGTAAAATTTTGCTTAAATTTGTTTATTCCTAATAAATACTTGGAGCAATAGCATTGAAAAATATCAATCGTTCTAGCTCTAGAATCCAAGTTTTCTTCGAGTGTTTGACTCTATATATCGTGCAGAACGCCCAAAGATATTACAAATAACTTGCGAAAATTATTTTTATAAGAACGTAAAATTAATAAATACTGCATTCATATCCTTTTCAGTGATGATCAAAGATAACGATTTACGAGAAAAAAAGGTTTAAATAGCCTTTTCCAAAAACTTACCACAAGTTTTGTGGATGGCGAGCATGACTGATTAGTCATTCGTACCAAATTGTGGCATAAACAACCACGAAATACACTTGTTTTTAGACTTGTAAACAGATCAGGTTGTTTTTATTTTACACTCAGGGATTATAGGTGTGAATTTACACTGAATTTCAGGTTGAGAGCTTCCCTAAGAAATACTAAGAATTGAGTTCACGGTTTTTGAGGCTAACGGGCGACAGTTTTGTTGGTTGTTGTTCCACGTTCGTATGCTCCACTGGCCGTTTAACGTCGTTGTTTTAGCTTACAGTTATACCCGCACAAGTTGTCAAAATCAGAATGATCATGATAGCTGTAGATTTTCGTCAATTTTAGATTGTTTCAGGTTCAAAGCGAGTTATGATTCCACAGTAATAAAACAATTTCTTTTATCTACCGGTAAAATTATTTGATATTATAGAAAGACTGCAGTTATTGATCAGTGATGCAGAAACGAAGGAAAGGGAATATTCACTCTTGCCTCCAAAAGAATCATAAGAAGGCTTAATTTCATTGACAAGTGATCATTTGATGTATGAAAATTCTTTAGAAAACTCCAAATGAAACTAAAAGAGTGACTCATGTAAACACAGCTCGTTCATTTTCGATTTCAATGTGGATGCTTTATTTGTTAGGCTTTCCTTTAAAGAATTTCTTCGATCTACTTGCATGGCTAAAAAGATGAGGGGCGATGTGTTTCGCTTCTCTTGTCTCACATGGAAGACCTCGAGTGAATCTCAAATGATGTTAGCGCTTTTTGACATCGGTCCAGTTAATACCTGGGAGAACAATATATAAGATGCTTCTTTAAAAAGTTGGCTTGCAAGAATGGACGTGTAAGGGATGATTTTAAGCTAAGAGACATGGATTGTGTTGTGATATTCATTCGACAGAAAAAAAGAATGCCGGTAAAATTCCCTACTCGAGGTCGTTATTTTATTTTTACTCCTCTCACTTCTCTCCAAATCACTGGTATTTGAACAGAGGCTACAGAATCATCTTTGGAAATCGAGCTGACCAAGAAATCAACTCGCAAAGATGGAACTAGAAATTCAGAAGGTAAAAAACGTCGGCGGGTGAACACCATCCACTTGTGGGAATTTTTACTGGATCTCCTGGCAAATGATGATTTACGAACTATAATATGCTGGAGTCGAAGAGAATTCAAAGAATTTAAACTGAAAAGACCCGAGGAGGTATCAAGAAGATGGGGTCTGGTTAAACGAAAGAAGGGAATGAATTATGAGAAACTCAGTCGAGCATTACGATTCTATTATGGCCAAGGAATCATTCAAAAGGTTGGTATAGTCATCAAGTATTGTTAGATGATAAATGTGCTAACTTGATACTATAAACGATTAACTTAAAGCTTACCTACTGAGGAGAAACGGTTTCCTGTATATACCAAAACAGGCCACTGTAGACAACATTGCTTGTTTGTGGATGATTTTAAAAGTGTAACAGTGATTAGCATTTCTATCCTTTATTGTTGTTACTGACCTTTTTTTTTTTTATTATGATTGAAATATTTTTACATTTATTTCAAAGACACACACCACATATGGTATCAATAATACTTCCGTCCAAAATGCACAATACCAATTGTTACTTTTCATACTAAAACATTGCTTACAATACTAGATTGGTAGTACCACCAACTCCAATACCAGAGTCAACCATAATACTACCATTGCCTATTGGAAAAGGCACAATGAAGATGTCAACCTTACATTCAATTAAGTTGCATATGATTTATTTATCATAAACAACCTTACATGTTGAGATTACGTAAAATTTCTTCATGGAAAACATATTCTATTAATAACATATTTAACATTAATATAATATAATAATAATAATAATGATAATAATAATCTATTAGGAAAAATTGCCGCCTATTTCTTATTGAACTTAATTTCTTTGTAGTTCCTCGTAGAAATTTACATTTCCGTTTCAAATTTCAAATTTCAAATTTTCAAATTTCATTTTGATCTTAACCATAAGTTCAGTAAAACTTAAAAAAATCAAGAAAATCAATCTCACCCACATAATATACATAATTTGGCTATCAATACGAGATAATCCCTTGATTCGCTTTTTGTTGTTGTTGTTGATGGTTCAAGTGAGTAATGCGATGTTTGATTTTTGCACTTTATGACCTGTTGCACCTTTTGTGATTTCTACTTATGTTGTAGCACAGGGTACATGGTGCATTTTATTATATCATTGCTTTAAGGGATAGGAATTTGGAATAACCAGAGAAGCCCTTCTCCAGCCAGATAATTGGTTTGGCGGGATACGGGATGCGGGATGCGGGATGCAAGTCTTTATCTTTCTCTATAATGAGAGTACATTATCCATATTGTAAAGGCTATTATTTGCTTATTAGTTGGTGGTGAACTGGAGCGACTTGGATATAACTAGGCGGGATCGGGATGAAAATGTTCATTACAGCGGGATTGCGGGATGGCGAGATGGGATAAAAAGAACTAGCGTTGGGATGCAGAATTAGGAAAGTCTATTTTAGGCCCCCTGTGATCTGCTTTTCTGTAGCTGGGGTGTGGTCGAATGTAATGCATACTTTGGTAAATAGCGTTCAAAGTTTGAATGGGGTGATCCAATTCATGACTTTTCTTGCAGTAACGTGGACTACTTGATACTGATTAACATTTTGTAATAGTGGTAGCATTTTGTAATGGTAGTAGCATCTGTTTGATGCTTCCAATTGACAAACTTTTGCAGTGAACTAGAATCGTTACTTATCTAGGAAACTACGTTAGCAACTAAATTCCATGATTAATTACAAGTGATGGTGTATCATATTCTATGGTAAATGGTGTTCGAAGGTTGGATAAGGTGAACCAATTTATGATTTTTTTTTGCTAGATCTGTGCATCTGCGATGCCTTGATGGTGTTTGTTTTATAATTGAGTGACAGGTTCAGGGAATTACTATGTAGTTAGATATTTGCAAGTTTCTTTGCAAAGGAGAGAGCTTAATTCTTATGCTTAGAATCCATTGGGTAATTCATTTTTGATCCACATGATTGTACGTCTGGCTGATATATCTATACATTTTTTATTTTTTTTATCTTTTTCATGTTCTCCAGGTTCCTGGCCAACCTTTCACGTACAAGTTCGACAGGCTACCTTACAAATATGAGCCAAGAGTCTCAAAGTCAAGTGATCAAGAAAGCAAAACGAGTTCATCCAACAGAGAACAAGAGAAAATTTCATCTGATAAGTCTACATTACATAAAGCTGGACAATCCTCACTCTCGTCTTCATCTGAGCAGTCAACACTTTCTCCTGCCGAAACCCCCCGGGGGAGATGTACATCCCCCTGTCTGGTAGCCATACTTGCAGAGTCAGCACAAGCGAGCCGAGAGACAGTTGAATATTGTTCTCCTCAAGAAAGCAATATTTCAAGCTTCGGTAGAAAAAAGATTGAAAGCTACCGTCCCCAAAGTTGTCCAAAGCGAAATCAAATGAATTCAACCAAGTCTACTCCGGTGCCAGTAATAAAACGAGTTGCCTCATACAATCGTTAAGGGATTAATTTCTTATCATCAAAATAGCTGCCTTTTTGTGAATGAAATTCAAGATAAAGCTGAACAAACTAAAACTTAACCACCGAGAAACTCGGGCTCCAAGTAATATGGTTCTTGGTTCTTATGCGTAAGCTAGTAAACAAATAATCTCTTTCGTTGTTCCCTTTCAACGAAGACTAAATAATCTCTAACCAGATATAAATTGAATCCTTTTTTGTATGAAGCGTTATAATTTTACTCGAGCGTCATAAGCCGCCTACCTCACCCTTTCCTCCATAAAAATTTCTGATGAGAGATAGGTTGCTTTAGCCCTTGAAATCCCGTGAGTGGCCAAGACAGGATTTCTCCTTACAATATCAATACAATATCAAGCAGACAAGTGATGAGAATAAAGAAAAATATCAATTAGGGGATTATTAGTTGATCCAATACCAATTTCTCCGATGCAAAACCATAAAAAGATTGTATGGTAGGCATTAAGGAGAATTTCTTATGAGATCTTGAGAGTGAAAGGGTTAAAGTACAACCATTAAATGTGATTTTCTTATAAATAGTCTTCCAGGCAATTTAACGAGCTCTCCAATTGTTTCTGAGTAGGATGTGAATTTTTTTGAATGAACAACATGGCTTTTTATATAACCTATTCAAGGAAACTTAATTTTGAACGGAAAGAAATGGTATTTTCAGTTTTATTATGTCTAAGCATTTGCTTTGAGGTCTTTTTGGTTTGAAACTGTTATCACGGATAATCATAAAGCTTAATAGGTGACGTTGCTCTCCTTTCTCTACTGATAACACATCTCTCCCAAACTTGTCTCTTTTCCCATTGTTGCTCTTTGCATATTTCAGTCGACAAACTAAACGTTTCGAACAGGGCAAAGCCAGAAGTTGTCTGAGCGGTGTTTTTCTTAGGGAGCGCGAGTTTTTATGGTGTCGATCGTTTGCCGAGTTAAAATGTTTAATAATCGGCTACAGTGGGCTGAAAAAAGCGTGTGGTGAGACGGAAGACGCTTGGAATCTTTTCCCTTATCCCTTACCTCCTTGGTATTTTTCTCGCCGTTGCACTATCGATTAGGTGAAATATCTCTCTCTCTCCAACTTTCCTCTGCTAAAAAATTTAAGATTGTGTCGATTCACATTTCGCGAGAGTTAGAGAGGACAATGGTTCGCGAGCGTAATTCGGTTCAAAAAATTATGAAGAGGTTCACATTTTTTTTATTATTATTTCTATTACACTGTTGACAAATAAAACGCAGCAAGTTTGTAGCGGTTCTGCTAAAAGAGGAAACACGATTGGGAAAATGAGGCGAATACCTTTTTCTACCAAAAAAATTGGCTACGTTGAATTCATCATGTTCCTATAAAAAGGGTTGTGACCAGAAGGGGAAAAGAACGGCTTCATTGCATCGACACTGGTCGGAAACATGACTTCAGGAAAAGGCAACAGGGAAGATAGGGGATCTGGAAACCACATCTTTGGACGAGGAGGCGTGGGTCTTGGTGTCTGGCAGAAGCATCTTTTCCCAAGGGGGTAGCTGATGGGAGCACAAGCTGACGATAAGTAACAGCCGTGAATTACAGACTGGAAAGACGCAAGCTCTTTTGTTCTGAGTTGTTTTTGGATACATTCATTGAGTCTGTATCCATGATAGCGAGACCTTGTGACACCAGGTTCGTAGTTATAAGGCAAGTTTCCAAACTGGTAGCACAGTCTTAAGCCAGCAACCTGTGAGAAATGAAAAAAGACAAAAAAAATTAAATGAAAAAAGACAAAAAAAATGCAAATCAACCACATGAAATTACTGAAAGTGATTTCTTCTTTCAATCAAAAGCTTTAATACTTGAACTGGCGACTGAAAAGGCTTTTGTAAGGAAAGCAAATAAACGAACTGATATACGTCAACGGGAATGAGAATGCGTATAGAATTACAGGCAGGTTTTACGCCGGTTCACAATGAAATTAATTATCATATTACAGTGATTCTAATTTTTATTTAACTTCAAGAAAAAGCCATAAAATTTAATTAACACGAGAACTTTAGATTTCCCGTAGGTGACAAGTGAAATCTTTTGACGAGACTTCAGAAAACACCGCGTAATCGACTGCATGTGTCATTCTCATTGCTCTATGGATTTCTAATAACGATGTTCCCGTGCCCTTTCAAGAGTCTCTGAAGGAACAAAGACAGCGACAGCAATTTAAAAAGAGGCGACAAAAGATGCAATTTATAGAACTAATTGCTTTCTAATTTAATTGCGTGTCACAACTTGAGATTTTTTTTTATTTCGCCTTCCCTTACAGAATAACAGGTAAAAGTTACCAAACTTTTCGAGGGCTGAGTCGTGGCGTGTGGGAACTATTCCACACTGTTTCCAACTTACGCTGTCCTTGCGTGATATCAAAAGAGGAAGTCTGGCTCCATTCGTGACGGTGAACATAATTTTCAGACAATGTTAATTCATGTTTTTAAACACACTTTTTTGTGTCTTATGAGTTGCTGAAGTAACAACAGCTCGCGAAGGAAAACACGTTGTTCTGCCATGCATTTTGACTCTAAGTGTAAATGGCATCTTTAGAAATGGATCATTTAATTTTCCTTACCTTTTTAATGATTCCCTTCTGATAATAATATCGCAACGCTCGACTGAGTTTCGCGTAAGTCATTTCATGTACATTTTTATAGGAACCCCACAGTTTTGCCACTTCCTCTGGATTTCTCAGTACAAACTCTCCACGTTCCTTTCGAGTCCAGGCTATTATCGATGAACTTTGGTAGCCGTATGCTAAAAGTTCCAATAGGAACTCCCACAAGTGTACAATGTTTCTGTAACGCTGCCTTTGGCTCGATGATTTACCTCTGCCTGGGTTGACTCGGTCTTCCACTTGACCTTCAACTAGATAAAGGTAAATTTTGTAAATAGGTTAGTCGTCAAGAGTACTGAATAAATCAAGGAGAGGACCATTGAGACAGAACTAATCGTGCAACCATCTTATTTTTTTCTAAATGCAAAAAGCTTCCTTTCTCAGTCAATTCAAATGACAGAGTCCTTTATAAGTTATAAAAACATTTTTCCCCATGTAGATTACACCTTTCTTAAAAACAATTTCATGCAATGGCCACTGCAGAATGGAAATTTTAGAGTTTAAAGAAGATTTCATGTTCAATTGTTTTCATAAGGGCGTGCGAACAAATGCATATACGCTCTCTCCTTATGATAAGATTAGAACTTGACAAAATTTGACTGTTGGTGGTCTATCTTTAGGTGGAAAAGTTTCAAACACGAAAAAAAAATCCCTTCTGTGGCTGAATTTTCTCGTTTTAAAAAGGAAGGGTGAAATTCCCGTGGTGGCAATGGACACTCAAGTGTACTGCAGCAGTTCCATCAACAAACTTAAATAAAACAATAGATAATTTGATTTTATCAACTGAGTTGATAATGCAAATTGAATAACTTAAGAATGAAGAAAACGGCTTGATGAGGTTGATGTGGCTGCAAATCCTAATTTTGTTCGCTAATTTCTATTTCTTCAAAAGAGAAACCTCGCAGAATTTTTTTTTTATCCGTATTATTTTTTAAGTTTTGGTCATTCAAATAGCGTCTAATTGAGGCGAAAAGAGAAAATAAAGGTTTCCAAGGGTATAAAAACACCGGACGTGTAAGATAAAATAAAGAGGGAACAGGAATGTGTTGGGATCAATAGGATTTACGCGAATTTTTTTAGTTTGGGTGTTTGGGACTTTAAATTGCGGCCAATTCAGATGAAGATGTAAAATGATAGTTTCCAAGAGTATAAAACTCCAGAGTGATACAAAATGAAAGAGCAACGATATTTACGGATGAATAAAATTCACAAGGATTGCAACACGGTTACCTCGGAATATACTAGCTTGGTATTTCAAGATGCCAACACAAGTCATGGCGAGGCCTCCTTATAGATTAAAAACTGTTAAGAGGAAGTCAAGGATGGGTAACAATGAATTGTAAATCTAACCCTGCTGTTGCATTTTCCTCATTCTTGTCAGCGAAATGTTGTCAGCCATAGTTGTCCAATCAAGGTCCCCTTTTTAGCAGCGCGAATTGAAGAGGTATCTGACTTCCTGGAGGTGTTGCCTAAGTTGATGCTCGGTCTTAACTGAATCAAGTTGGACTTTTCCAACAGATCATAAAGAATAAATGTAAGGAGTGGCTAGTAGAGGGTTCATGTCGTCATAAGTGACATATCCTGTCAGTTCATCTCCACCGTCTTCAAACGCTTCGTTTATGGGCTCTGTTACCTGCAGGTAGTTCCAAACACTTTAAACCTGCGATTACAACAATAGCACTATTTTAAGTTAAATATTTCATGCAGCTTTTTGGGTAAAAGGGGTACGTTTCTGAAGAAACTCTGGTGCTGCGTCAGTGGGAATGTATAACAAGATAATTTGTTTCCATCAACCGAGTTGGTAATGTAAATTTGCCACCGTAAAGAGTTTCTAACGGCTCAAGAACGGAACTTTTTTTTTGGGAAAAGGCTGTATAAGAAAGGGTGAAGAAACAGGCCTTGTGGAGCAAAACGTTTGAAGAGCGTTCTACAATACTACTCAAGCCAGAAGAATTTTCATAAGAGTATGACAAACAGCGTTAATCAAATTTAAACGATCTTAAAAATATGTCTTTTTACTTTCCACTTATGGAGCTGTAAAGAACATTTTGTCTTGCTCAGATGGTAAGGTACCAACGTAGTTTTGTGTGTTTTCATCTTATGGTCTGTCTTTCCATGAAGTACAGAAACCGTTATGGAAAATGCGATAAGGGCATATAGAACTGCTAAATGTAGTTTGTTATATTTTTGTTTAAGTTTTGAGAACGTTATCTTTCGCAGATCTCGATGACTAACTCAATAATACAATACTTAAACAACAAAATTATTTAATAGCCACTATCATGAATTAGTTAAAAGTTTTGTTAAGGCTCTTTAGAATATAACTTTCTTCGTATATGAGGGATTTCAACATGAACAATTTATTAGATCTCTCAAATTATTTTTGGATATTTTTTTTTGTTGAAGGGATGTAACAAAGGTACTCAAAGGAAATTTTTATTTGCAAGAATATTTCATTTTTCCCACGCCTAATTGGCTCTTCCATGGGAAAACAACAATATTCCCTGGATATTTTCGCGCTCACGGTTTCCTGAGTTTGATAGTGAAGAGTACAATTCTATTTTCAAACACATGCAACTTTAAAATTTATCAATACTCTCACGGAGTTATACGTGACTACTAATTGTGTGAAGAAAAAAAAACTCAAATATCTTTGAAATCCATGTCACTCAAGTTGCTGCACGCGGTCGATACGACATTGTAATACGGAAGGGATCCAGAAATCTTTTGACTGACTTAAAAGAATGGCTATAAGGGGGGGCTGATTGATATTGCTATTTTCTAATTTGGCAGCCCCAGTCAGTTCGTCTCCACTGTATGTGAGCGACCGCTCCATGTGCTTGGAAAACCGCAGGTGCAACAATAGCATAATTTTTGGTTAAATATTTATGAAAGCTTTTTGGGAAAACTGCTTCCCTAAACACTATGGCGGCTTTTGTGAGAAAACACGTGCTGAAGCGAAACGATGTGTGAGGTTCGTTGTTGAAATGATACTGTGCAAAAACATTGAAAATATTTCTTCCTTTTAAAAGAAAAAGCCGTATCGTGCTATAGGCAAGATTCCGTCGGTGAAATAAAATATGGCACTGCCGAAGAAAAATGATGCTTCTTTATCGAGGTGACTGGGCGCAGCATGACCAAGTGCTGTAAATGTTATATAGGAATATTCCTCGTTACGGAGATGACGATCATGTTGGTATTACGAACTTGTCAAAGGCAAATTTTATTTTTAAAAAATTCTTTGAGTTTTACCACTTTTGTTTATATCACTTTTATCGTTGTTTCGAAACAACCACAGTCTTATCATTTTCCCACGCAGAGATTTTGAAATACACATGCTGATCGAAGGTACACTTAATGGCAGAACTGATGTGTGCATGCACCTATCTATGTTACTTTGTCGTTAAAATATACTGTTACTTTTAGATTATCGATGGTAACTTTCATATGGAATATTTTTTCCTAATTTTTTTGCCTAAACCATTTCCCATTTTTAAGGAATTTCATTTGGAGGTGTTTGTATTGGCATGCATTAAAAGTTAGTTTCAACCACACATTGCTCGAGACGAATCAAAATTTACCCTGAGTAGTAATTTTTTTTTTAATGCTCAGTATCAGAAATAAGAAAAATCTAAGAACTGCAGCATGCAAAATGGCACGTGTGCTCAATTGGGTGTTTAATGAAGTAAGTACCTTGAATTTTCAACCAGACCTTGTGTTGTCCAATGATATCTCCCCGCTGGTCTTCTCGTCTCCACAGTCTTAGACACCGAACCTCCATGTCATCGCTTAGCTGCAGGTACTTTGTAACTGTATCACTGTAAACATAAAAATAATTATTATGAGAAAACAGCGTCTGGAAAAATCTTCAAACACTAACCTATCTGTAAACTTCACCAATAATTAATAAGTACTGCATTGACTGAGCACGTGTTTTTATACGGTTTCTTACGGTATATGTAGCTGCCCTTTACGAAACAGCGTGGATGGTTCACGACATACATCACGGTCTGTTTATCTGGGAAAATTCTCAAGTTCGTTATTTTTCAGCCACTCGTTGTAATTTTGTCTGCCATTAACCTTATTATTTGAGACGCCAAACTTTTCATGAGCCGAACTTAATTTAAAATTTCCTTAATTTTTTCAATTTTTTTTTGTAATTTTCCGGACTATTACATAATCTTTCGTGGAAAGGAAGTCTTTAGTTCTTTCCTGTTCACTAGTTCCTCTTTGCTGTTTGTCCATACTCGTTTAAGATAGTGTTGTGAAGAAGTTGCTTCAAGACAGTTTCAATCACTTTAAGCTGAGTAAAATATTTCCCCAGTAAATGCCGGAGCGGACGAACTGAACACAAAAAGAGATATGAAATGATCAAGAAGAAACAGGAATGATTAAGGAAAGCCAAGATTAAAACAGTTTTTGCGCGATGAATTTGAAAATAAAGGTTTTTCTTCAAATGCAAAAGAGAGAATTGTGTCAACGTAAAATTTTCCTTTAATTTTAAGTCGATTTAGTCTTAATATCCATCGCTGGTCATTGAAAACCAGTTCAAATATTTCCATATACAATAAGCTTACTTAGGTTGGTTTATTGCTGAATGGGGCCATAATGCTCTTCATTCAAGACAACAGAAATCTACTCGTGCTTGAGTTAAGCTTGCGGAAGACTCTTAGTTTAAAGGAAACAAGCGACAAAGTGTGCGCGCGGAACTTGGTGGCAGGTATAACGCAAAGAAAAATAATTCGTGGTTCTTTTCAAGCCTGACACCCACAACCGCCGATTATTTCGCGTCCTTTCTTTCACTCGCCTCCGTCGGTGACTGTAACAGGCTGTTTTAAGGTCCTTTTATTTCTCCCAAGTCGTCCAGTAGGGAGTGAGCGCAAACCACCCGGGTCCCGGTTGTAAATTTCGCCATTCGTCAATTTCTCCTACAAAAATGTGAGCCTCGTACGAAGTAAAAATGATGATTCTGTTTTGGAAGTGGACAAGGCTGGCTGCGAAACCAATGGACCTTCATATCAAATTCTGACTTTTAGAGTAATTAACAAAAAAGAATGGGGAGGAAATATTTTAAAGAAATATCATCTAATTGAAAGCGGTTTCCCCTTCTGAGAAGAGTTATGGCCCCTTTTTTTGCGACATGCGCTAATTTATTTCAATTTCGAAAGCAGGGGAAGGAAGTCCGAATCAACATCTATAGATACTTAAGTAAACTTGCCTGTTGAGTTCGTGAATCTGCTTTTGAGCTAAGAGCTCAAATGTATTTAGTGTGCATACAACAACGGATTGATTTCTAGTCCACAGACGGACATATTTGACTCAATTATATTTATGCTAAGTTTGTGACCACAACATTTACCACTATTTTAGTCCATTATGACAAAGCTGGAGTGTGAAACCGATCCATATCGGATTGCACTCGCTGATTGGCTAATTCAAGGGTAATACTACCTTCGCAAAGCAAAGAGGAGAAACTGAAATTCAAATTCATTACCTTGAGTACAAAATTGTGGCGGCTTCAAAAATTCGAGGATAATATTTTCAATTTCATTATACCAGCGAACGGCAGAATCTTAGTGAAAACGTTTTTTGGCACTAAATTAGGCGTCCCGACAATGCTAACACTGGGCGTAAGCTAGTGAAGAAATTGAAGGCTAATCCAGGCGGGAACTAATAGACGCAATATTAATGCATCTGTACAGCCTGTTTTGACAAGTAGGAAAAAGGGAATACTCACCTTAGCGTGTTTATATCCTTTTTCACACCCAAGGTGTGAGTCCTCATGAGGTCTAAACAGTTTCGTTTGGTACATACGCCTTTGTACTTAACTGAATGTGACACGTTTATCGTACGTACTCTTTCAAAAGTCATCATATGATCCGAATTGCGAGCAGCGAAGAAGTCAAGACGTTTGCATGATCTGTGCGGGTGTTATCATTATGCCCATCGAACAAATGAATAATTGTTTCATTTGTCAAGGTGTTTATAGAAATAGGAAGCACGCAGGAAGTTTGGAAAAGCTTCTAGCAAGACCCAGCGGGAAGCAGCTTTGTTTTCTTTACCGCGTTCCAAGATCATTAGATACTTCGTACCGCAATGAACGCACAGCTGAAGCATAAACCTTTGTTTTAAACTATTTCCGGCGCGTCTGTTGAAATTTTGCATTGTGAAAAAGGTCATTTCCTACGCTTCGATGCGTGCACGCACCTAAACACCGTTCATAATGAAAATGAAAGGCACGTTCACAAAACCAACTTAATTTCTAGAATTTACGGGCTTCTTTTATGAAACGAAGTAAAATCTGACCTGAATGTAGTGATGATAAAGTCCTATTATTAGGTATTAAGGGGAGTCAATTTTTTTGCTGCGTTGGTGAGGGTTCTACAAGATAATTTGGTTTTATCAACTTAGTGGATAATTCAAATTAATCACCTTAAATAGTTTCCGAAAGCTGACGTTTCGAGCTTTAACCCGTCGTTAAATTAGCGTTAAGCAATACTTAGAATATCACAATCGGTCAGTTTAAAACGCAGACTGAAGACTGCAGACCAGGGGTAAAATGCAGACTCAGTTCTTTAGTTGAAGTTTACAGACATTCCTGGTTTCTCTGATTGATTAAACTTTTAAAAAAGGAACTTGCGACTTCTACTCGCTCTTAATTTGTTTCAATTCAAGGAGGACTCCGCCATTTTTCCAGTTAATAAACACACGTCACAGCAAAACTAAATTTCTTAAACATCCCTTGAAGAAGCCCGACATAGGTTAAGTTGACCATGATTTGCCTCGGGTTAATAATTAAGTGAAACAACGAGCAGATCAAAAGGCAAACACCTTGGGATATTGTTTGGAGGTTTTTAATAAGATCCTTATTTCGCATCCACAAATTAACAATTGGTTCATACGACAGCGTGCGTTCATCGAGATATGAAGCACGCAGGAAGTTTGGAGAGCACGAAAGAGGCTAGAGTTGCTACGCCTCGAGCAACTCTTACGCATCTTTCGTGCTCTCCAAACTTCCCGCGTGCTTCATATCTCGATGAACGCACAGCTGACGCATGGGCCAATTGTTTTATCACATTTTCAACCCGATGGAAATTTTTTTTCTCAAGGGATTTGTTTGCTGACGTCATGAGCTTGCACAATAGGAATATGAAGCACGCTCGCGCTATTGAATTTGATTAGACAAATTTACTAGCTATGTTATAATTTGCATTAAATTTAAAGAATTTGCCCGACTAACTTCGAAGCGTAAAACAAATATACGAGAAACAGGTTTTTATTGTCCAAGTAATCGAAATTGCCGATGTGTGATGAAAGTCTATTGCTACTACTTTACTACTTTCAAGGCCAAACAAAGTATACATGGGCTACATGTAAGTTAAAGCTACCTAATGTTGCTGTTTATTACATAACAAAGGAATACATTTAGCTGAACTGCATATTCAAACACTCACGTTTCTAACCGTTCTTACCTTAAAACAATATCTCACCTTTTTTTCTCGAGTGATTTTATTGTCGGTCGTTATTGTTTCGGGTAACGTTTTATCTGAAGGTAAAATAACATGCATGTGGACTCTGAGTCGCAAGGTCTCACGAGAAATTATCTTGTTCTCAGATACGTTTTTAATCTTCAGTTCTTGTAGAAACGTTCACACGATGGCGAAAGCAATTTTTTCTGATCATTTTATCAAAATTTGTACAAATGAAATAAAGAGCGGCCATGTGCGACCATCTTAAAGCATTACTAAACAAATCTCGTTATCACTTGAACAGGCATAGAGCTTGGTTCGTGGAGCATGCGCAATCCGCATCCGTAAACCGCTGACCCCCTACAACTACATGGTGGAAACATTATCTGGCTTCTACAAACTGTTGGCGCATGGGTTCGCGGAGTACATTCAAGACAACTGTAATGGTGGTTCGCGGGTGTGCTGAGCTGACGCTGTGGTTGGCTATTTGAGTGAAACATGGACATCAGTGGCCAGTGCGTCGTCAACGAAACCGGAACGGAAACGATATCAGGTTTTTCTGGTTTGGAGTTGTCCTCTACGGGCGGTCGCCAAGGCCAGTTATACTTCACCGGTTTGTACGCGTAAGGAAGTTTGTGGAATTTATACACAAGTCTTTGACCTTGTACCTAACGTAAAAAGGGAAAACATCTTAGAATAACTAAACTGCGTTTATTTATTTTCCCGGGTATCAATAGGTTTTTTTAGCCCGACCCAGAGTCATTTTAGCCCGAGCCATTGGGCGAGGGTTCAGATAACGGAGCCCAAACCATTTCATGTCCTAGTACATAAACTGTATCATGGTCACTATCACAAAAAATACAAAACAGTCGCGTAAGCGGGATAAAATGCATTCTAGCTCGCAAAAATCTATATTTTAGCCTGAAAATGTGTCACATTGCCGGAAAAAGAGATAGAAATAGTTTTCTTAATGCTCGTCCCCTCGCGCATTACACGCGTTCCGTGATGGCCTTCATTTCACTGTATACAGTCCTTTCGCCCTACGGCTAAAACTATTACTGTCTCGTGGTTTTGAAGAATGCACCAGGCGATAACTGCATCTCAAAACAGAGCATTGCTCCGCTTTATAATTGTTAAGGTATATTGCCTGTGCTAGTGCTGAAGTACGAGTTTACTTCCTCTACAATTTCAGGCTTCCTCGATGTTTCACTCTCGATGCCTATTTTTTCACAGACAGGGCTCCTATAATAATAGAGAAAACTAAATTTCATGAAGTAGATTGAAATGATATTGCAGCCAATGGGCGTGTTGACTAAACTCTGCAGTGTTATTCGTTATCAATGTTATGAACGTGATATCATTGCGTGACCTTAAACATATGCGTAAATGTCACGCTGTAACGTAACAGATACAATTTGCTCAGCGTAACTTGCGCGGAGGCAAAATTGAGTATTCTCCAACACTAACCTTCTTTATAATTCCTTTCTGGTAATAATACCTCAGCGCACGGCTTAGTTTATCATAATTCATTCCTGCTCGTTGTTTTAGGCGACCCCATCGTTTGGCTACTTCTTCCTGTCTCTTAATCTTGAACTCTCCATCTTCTTTCTTTGTCCATGAAATTAACGGGATGTATCTTTCGTCTTCCAGAAGTTCCAATAAAAACTCCCACAAGTGTATGGTATTCTTGTATCGAGTTTGTTTCTGTTCCTTCTCGGGATTGTTGCGTTCTGTGTAAAAACAAGTGAAGAAAAATTGCATAAATATATTGGTTATGAACTCGCCCAGAAAACTTAATGCCAGTTATGAAGTTTGCTAGCGACCGTGGAAAGAGAGTGTCGAAGGTTGAACGTGGGAAAGTGATCATGACTTATAATACTTTGCAGCAAACTTAGACGCTTTAAGAAAATTTGTGCAAGCGTCTTCTCTTTAACAGTACATGTGCCTCCGTTCATGTACACTGTCAAAGATTCTGGATATCAAACAGACAAAGCAATCTTCGGTCGCGTATCGAAAGTGATGCCAGATTGCAACTTCTAGGCATTGTTCTACAGCATTTTGCAATTCATTCAATAACTTCGAGCTACTTTCTCAAGAAATCAGATGCAACACCAAAATCATAAGCGACCTGTTTCCTCTCGTTTTCCAGCGCTGTAAGTCAGTTCGGTGAATTTACTTAGAGTCCTCATTGACTCGCTGAAATATTTTCCTATATTCTTATTGGAGGCTTAGATTGAATTTTCTGGTTCTTACGACAATCTCTCAAAATGCACTAAGAGCAAACTAAATTTTATACGAGGAACATGAAACTTTCAAGAGCGATAAAAGATCATATAATCATATATTACGGATACCTATCAATGACACATATGGTTGCTTATATAATTTTAGTGAGCCAGTCTTTATGAGGTCACTTTCCGACCGGAAAGATAATAATAGATGTAACATTTATTGAGTTAAGAAGTCTGGTCTGGGTCAGGAGGCTCTTTTTTCTCACTATTCGACAACTTGGGTGTATTTTAAAGATGAGAGTGTGTTTCCTGAATGCTATTTTGTTGGATTGTCTCCATTAACAAGCTGATTAGCCTATGGTGTCTCGGTGCAATTATCTTGTTAATGAAGACTTCTCCAGGGGGATCAGCTCTCTCAACAAAGCATAAAGATTACAAGATGCCCTCAAAACCATCATCGTGTAATAAATTGTATTACGATAGAAGTGACAAGCCTACAAGTTCAATAATTTCTGTGGGTCTTGATAACACCCTTTTAGGTGACAGGAAAAAATAAGATCATTTGAAGCATAGCTTTAATTAATCCTTCCACACCGAGATTCCTGCATGTGCAGACTCTCTTTGGTCTAAAAATATACGCGGCGCCGACTGGATTTTCTCTGAATTTATTAATAGCTGACTTTGTCTGAAATAGGGGAAAGGTTTTATCCATTTTGATCTGGATTAGAGCACGTTTCGTTTTTATGCCCCCTTGTTTCGGAACTGGGCATTTTTTATCACAAAGATATGGTTTTTCCACACTTTTATCACCATAGCAAACATTTGAACCTCCTCTTAGAACTGAATTGGTAACGAAACCGTTAAGGAAGGCGAGGTTGTGTAATAGCACTTCAACTAATTTTCAAGGTCAGAGACAGAATCCATAAAAACACATCCCACACGTGCACCCCAATCAGATTTTCAATCGATTAATCCCTTGTGAGACAAAGTCAGAAAATTTAATCAAATTTCTAGGAAGAGAAAGAGAAAAAAAAACAAAAACTTAGTGTCAGGGTGTAGCCTTTTAGTCCTCAAGACTCAACTATTGTATTTATTATAAAAAATGCAACGAGCTTCTCATTCTATATAGACTACCCATTCCAATAGGCTCGCTTTCTAATGAGCCCCTTCTCTCTGTTAAATCTCCCTCTCTAAAACGCCTACCCTTCTAGGAAATTTCCCTCTCTAATTTTCCTCTTTCTCTAATAACCTCCCTCTCTAATTAGCCCCCTATTAAATAAGCCACCCCCTGTCTGTTAAATCCCCCCATCTAATAAACCCCCCTCTCTAAAGGGCCTCCCCTTCTATGAAACGTCCCTTTCTAGTTAGCCCCCTTCTCTATACCCCCTTTAATAAGTCCCCTCTTTGTTAAGTCCCCCTCTCTCGTAAACTCCCATTTCCGAAAGGCTTCCCCCTCTAGAGAACTCGTCCTTCTTATTGGCCCCTTTCTCTGATAACCTCCCTCTCTGATAAGCCGCCTCTTATAAACAAAGATCCCTTCTCCAATCAACCCTCCTATGCCCACTCTTCCTAATAAAAAAAAAATTACAGACAGTAGTTTTGTCATTCATTTGTTTTAGGTGGTGCTGTAACACAATGTTTTCTTATAAAAGCACTTGTCAGTTTTTTCTTTTTGATGTCTTGTATAGGCTTTCAACCTAATAAATATACTTGTTGTACGTTTTTCATTAAATAGGAGCGACAAATTACATCGAAAATAGTCAAACACGAGTCAGGGTAAACTGAGCCCAGTTCCCATACTTGTTGGAAGAAGAAACATAGAGCAGTTTTCAGAAGAGTCGTGATAACTTTGCCAAGATATCCATGGTTGCCAACGATATGGTGCTCAGGAAAAGAGCTTATTACAAAAGCTAATTGGCTTTCTAATTGGCCTAAACTCTTTACAAATTATCCTTCGTGAGCATTGTTTGTCTCTGGCAGGTCTGTGAGATTGATTGATTGATAACCTCACTTGAGGACAATTGACTAACCCATAGGCGCGGCGTTCAACTTCACGTCTCTGTTTGTCTGTCTTTGATAGAAAATCCAAAGGAGCTAAATTCTATTGTTTTGCCTTTGATGCAGCTATTGCCTGACAGAAGTACCGACTACCGGTACAAGAATTCCGTTATCTTTCCTTTTATCTTACTAATCCCATTCAAACATTTCTACAAATAGATAGGCTTAAGGTAAACCCCTTGATAACTGAGATACCGTAAATTTTCAAGCATACGCGCTTTCTTTCTTGCAATAAGGCCCACCCTGATGCTTAAGAGCTAAAATATAGTAAGAAATCTATATATAGCGAAGACAAAGAACGGGGTAACGTTACACCAATCGGACATAATTATTTGTAACTATCTTCAAATGATCTTCAATAATGAATACCATGCTCTTTTTTTTTCTGTTTTTTGTTTTAGATTTTGTTGGTAACTAGAAAAGTCAAATTATGTCATTTCCAGAGTAAAGTCATCTGCAATGTTGGGCTTTACAGTAAAGAACAACCGGTCAATTGGTGGTGATTCTGTTCGTAGCTTATTCATAAAAGATCTTATTCAAATGCATATACGAAAAATGATATGAAGTAAGGACAGTTAGAGGCGGAATGGATAACGCAAACATCCTTGCAAATTGAAAAAAAAGCATGTTTTTGTGAAGCGACAATTTCACTTCGAGTTTTTTAGCTATCGACTCTTGTAACATTTTCCATCGTTATAATTTGCGGAAGAGTTAACCCTTGAATTCACTACATCTCATTAGTAATTCTCTTTACTATCTGCCATAAAATTCTTATGACGTTGGTTGGAAAATTTGCTATCAAATCAACTAATCATCCCTTAATAGATACTTTTTCTTTGTTTTCATCATTTGTCTGCTTGATATTGTATTGATATCCTCAAAACCGTATTGAACTTTAGAAGAAAATTATCCATGATGTTAAGGCTGATGGAGTAGTTAAGATCTATTGATTCTAGGCTGTGAGAGATAGTTTTCTGACCGGAAAGATCCTTTTTTTTTTCTCATTTTAGCAGTTTATTCATATAGGATGCCTGGAACAAGGGCTAAGCTTTAACACTAAAAATTCGGTGTTGGAAAACGTACCCAAATTTTCAGCGACTGTCGAAGATGTATCAGTTTCACTTAAGCCACGTCAAAATATTAGTGATTCGACTTTAAAGACCTCATTGATCTGTTGCAAATACATTTTGTGAAGTTTGCATTCTGAATCACGTTCCTCACATGTCTAGGTCAAGAGCAGTGAGTGAAATAGATGCGGAACGTTTGTTTGATGAGTCGGATAAATGAAATATTCAGTAAAATTGCTACATATGATAAGAAAAAATGGATTTCATTACTGAAAGGATGGCAAACGCCTTTGCCAACTTGAGCGTATATATGCACAATATGCGATCTATTTTCGTTTGGACGAGGATTGTAGTTTCTGGAGTAGCATCCACTTCTCTGTTGTATTGATAACACCACAAACACTAATAGTAATGCAAAACTGATTTATCTTCCCAAATTATCTTCTTCTTATTATCTTCTTCAAAATTATGATTAAGAAAAAACTTAATCCTTCAACACCCAAGACTTCCTAAGTAATTCTCCTTACTACCCTCCATATTATTCTTATGATGTAAGTTTGGAGAATTTGGTATTGGATCAACTAAAAATTGATATTTTTCCTTACTGTTATCGCTTGTCTTGTTGATATTGTATCATATTGGAAGGAGAAATTATGTCCTGCACGAGATTATTTAGCAGCAAAGTGTTCAAACAGAAATACCTGACATGACTCTTGATCCTAAGAGCCAAACCGCTTCCAAACGTCAGGCTTCAAATCGATGAACCTGAAATAAGAAATGTTTTGTTTAATTATAAAAACAGTCTTTCTCTAGAAATGAACAATTGAAATATTGAAATCTTGACGCAGTTATCATAACACTTTAAATATTTGATCCTATAGCATCAGGCCTACTTCTATGACCAGATACAAACAAACAGCGCAACAGTTACAAATGGTAACTCATCAGAGAGACGCTATCATTAACACACACATTATGTGATGATTCAGCAATGGATGAAAGTGGTTGAGTGACTTCACATCGGTTTCTACTGTCTTCAGTCCTTTATTGCAGCCATATGACCCTCTTACAGATGTGGTCGGAGAAGACAAAAGTTTAAATCAAATGTGCCGACATTTGCGCGATTTTAAGCTTTGTTTGAGGGTTTGATCCGCGACTCTTGCACATAACGTCATTTCTGTGCTTCAAGTTAATGTTGTAAACAACAGAATTACGATTTTGTCGGTCGTTAACCCGTACATTGTGTTAAGGGAGCTGTGAAAACAGAAACCTCAGCTGGGAAAATATCGTATTAGAATTTACCTGAAAGTACTTAAACTCAAGTTATCTTGTACCCTCTGTATCCCTTCCGCCGCACTGATATGCCTTGAATATGCCGCTTAACGACGTTATGGCCCGATAATGCGTATGCTAAATGGCTGATAAATAATTTCCTTATTTACTGATGAATAAGATTCGGACGTGACCAAATGCACTTCCGCAGGGGCTGTGAGGTTAAACGTACCGATATAGAATTCCCCTCCAAGAGAGCAGGATCTAAATGTGTAAAATGCACATTTATATCCATGCTTATACCTGTGCCAGAGCACTTTCATTTTAAACCCTTTTTTAGTTTGTGTACAAAATTTGTTAGGAAATAAAAATTCATCTCTCATACATGAATATTTATAACGTCATTTATCACAACTGAAATCAATTGCTTTATAACTCCTAATGATTGAAGTTTTCTCTTGTTTCTTGCAAACTGAAGAGTGCCATTCTAATTTCGTATTGAACCAAGGAATTAAACCGTCTGGGAATTTTCTTATTTAATGAAACTTCCGAAAGATATAAGTTATGTGAACTAATTATGTCCCTTGTACGTTAAGGAATTTTACAGGAAGTATTGAAAGGTTCCCGAAGAGTGTGCTATTACACTGCTATATCATATTCACAAGGGACGTATCTGATGGTTGTTATCTTATTTCAAGGCACGTGTTTGTGGTTCGCTAGGCAAAAGTTTAAATATAGAATTCCACCTACATCGACCAAAGCACCGAGGTCAATTTAAAGTCTGTTACTCCGCTCAGATATCATCGATGTGGTACTGAACAAAGCAACGCTCAATAGACTTCCTTTCAAATGTTACACTGGTTTTCAATCAACCACAAACTCAATAGCTACATGGTCAAAACTTCCTTGTGCAATTAAAGAAACATAAACATTTGGCGTTTAATTGTCTGATGGCCACACTGCCTTCATTTATTTGGTTAGCTGCACACCGTTCACGGGAAAACTCGTGGCTAACTTTGACTTTATATCGAGATACTGAAGGCACTATTTTCTCTTCAGAAGCTTTCACCGAAATGGTCACACTTCGGTTTCATCGCCAATAACAATCTTTCACAGCATAACAAACAATACCACAAATTTTAAATTGTATTATATTAACCTACTGTTTAGGTAAATAAATGCAAAGTCCTCTTAAACTCGTTTGGACGTTCTTAAGAAAGAACTGGAAACTCTCAATCTTACCTTTTCTCTTCAAGTAACTACAAATTTCTTTCACTTTCGAATTCAGACACAAACAAACTGTGTCTCTCTATAGATTGACCATCTGTCGGCAGTTGACGATCGATATCAGCGTGTTAAGCCGTATTTGCCAGTCTTATTAGATATATAACGGTATAAGGTGATATTGTAAACAAAATGTCTCCATAACAGTCAAAACTGTTAAATAATCACAAAGGAAATTGTGGGGGGCCAGAGAGACGTACAGATGGATGGATTTGAACAAGATTAGGACGGATTACAATGATCTAATTAATCCAACTTACCGACACCACCTTCACGACGCTTGAATTCACTCGATGTCGCCGCCGGGTCAATCTGCTACAAAGCTGGCGATAAACAATACTCGGAAATGAATCCTCTCTTTCGCTACGGTCTGCAACGCTAATGTCATTTGTGTTCATACTAATGCAACAGTTAGATAAGAAAGTTAACAACTTGTTTTCAAGTAATTACGCGAACATTTTTGAACAGAAAGAGAGCGTAGATTCCATATAATTCTTGGGTTACAAGCATTTTTGTGGCGAGATAACAGTAGTTATTTTTTACAAATTAGCCATTTTTAATTAATCATTACGTTGCTGTGTTCCTAAATCCGTTTTATTCCTAATTTCTCAGAAGCCTCCCACCACTGATCTTGTTAAGCAACTAATAACTGAGTACATGACAATGTTCCGTTTTCTCATTCCGCTATAATCTTCGACTTTGCAAGTTTTCACGTACGCCCCAAACCCTCCAATTGCAGTGGAGGGTCTTAAGCAATTTTTTTAAATTTTATATTTAATTTTTAAAGTTTCCGCTTTAGAATTTTCGGTCAGCTTTTTTGGATAAAGATACCTCGAATTCTTTCTATTTTTGCAAGACAGGATGAGAAATAATTCTAGCATTTTTATATAAATATTAAAGTTTGGCCCAAAGCGTAAATTTTTGTCTGCAAACAGGAAACAAGGCAATCTATTTTCTTTCGACGATGTCTTAAAATATCGCGTCCAGAAGAGATAGCAATTATTGAAGGTTCCTTCATACGAATTCACTTGGGCAAAGCTGCGTGAGGTGAGCCACCAAACTTTTGCATGAGACTTAAGCTGGCTAATGATGCAATAAAATTTCGCGCAAGGTATGCACTCTTTCTAAACATAACATGATGATAAACGAGGTGTGATCGCGTGAAAATTATAACACGTAGTAATTTACTGTGATCAACAGTCCTCTCAGTCAAAACGCAAAGTCTCTTTGTTTCAATGAAAGATCTGTTACCCTGAGTCAAAGGCCAAGAAAAACAAAGATGCAATTATAAGACCATTGCTATACATTTATCAAGAAAATATCGCTACGAAATTCAAGAAAGATGAAACAAGAAAAAAAAACAGAAAGTTTTCATTGTCAATTCGACGCAGCCTAGACAGCTATTTAACAAATGATCATCAGCTGCTAATCTCTGAAGCCCTTCCCGACAACAGAAAATTATAAGCAATTGCTAAATACCTTTAAATTGAGCTCAGTAGACTAAAACGTCCTCACGTCTTTAGTATTTCCACTCTATCAGCCGAAATTTTACACCGTGGTTATTGAAGGAATCCATCACTGGCTGCCACCAGCACGTGAAGAAAAATTAAAAAGTACATTGGCGGTGTCATATAAAAGAATCCTCCAGTTCTCTCACTTCATGGTGAACTACAATTTGTCAGTTTGATGTTTTACGTCCATTGTTCAGTAGCCAAGATTATGGGCTATTTTACGGTTAGCAGGTCGTTCTGAACAGAATATCAGTATCACTATTGTGTTTCAGTCCAAGCCATTAAGTTCGCTTGCATACACGTGAAAGACATTATTCATGAAAAGGAGAAACTCTAGACAACGCAATAAAATCATGAAAGCACACCGCTACCAGTAAAAAATCTTCTGATTCCTTTAAAAGTAACTTTTGTACGTCGTCGTCAAAATTTTAACTTAGGAAATCGTTTTAACCTTAAAAACCGTTTCACAAATGAAACGTAACTGTTTCATTTGTGTTTCAATATCCTTTTATCGTGCATTTGTTTTTCCATTAAGAATACAAAGGAAGAAATCGCAATTGATTTTAATGGCTTTTAGAATCATTCGTTCACTAATGGGTTTTCGTTCTAATTATAGTATAGATAGACGAGTAAAGTTTTGTGAACCAGTTATCTGGTCCGTCTCATGGTTAAGCTCTCGTTTGTGTGTTTACATTGAACGGTAGGAAAGCTAAAGTATTTATCGCTGTTAATTCTCTCAGACAAATTTTCCCTGTTCAAAGAACTAGAACTCAAATACCATTAACAGACGAGTGGATTTTTTGTAACTAAGATTGAAATTAGCTTTAAGCTTCCAGATGGTTTGTTAATGATCGCCGAATCTTGAGATCGATAAACTGCTGATAAGTGTAAAAGGGTAAAAGTTGTACTGATCAAATCTAGACTGTTTTATTTATGGCTGTAAACAATATCTATTGAAAACAATGGCTGTAATCTGTTAAATTCTATTTGTGATTTTTTAAACAGGTGATGTTTACAGCTGTCCTTATCAGCCCGTGGTTCACTAAGAAGGATTGAGATAAGCCCTTAGCCCTTTACTACTTGAATTTCCCGTTAGACTGTTGGTGTGGACACTTCTTTTTAATCCTCAGGCTGAGGAGAAGAGACCCCCTAAAGCGCCAGTAATGGCCATCACCTCCATAAGCGATTTTTATCAATACATTTGGTTAACAAGAATCACAAACGTCTGTAGAAACTGATACATGTATGAATCCTGTACATAACTTTTTTCAAGGATAGGCGGCTAACGATAGTTTAAACTAAATGAGCCGATAATCCTTTGCTATTCTTGCGGCAAATTTCCTTCTCTAAGCTATAGATGGACTAGCATTTTAAAATAGCTTTCTAAATATATAAAATCATTTGTGGAACGCATTTCTTTGTTTGGACCAGTTACTTTAAAAATGTGGAAATTAATATTTATCATCAAGCCACACCACATGAAACTTCTTTTGTCCAAAAAGAGCGGAGCAAGTTATCTTTCGCTTCTTTCGTGAATTCTGCGCTGGTTAATTCTGTTCTTTTTCTTTATTTATTTATTTTTTTTTTCAATCTGTTTTTTACTATTTTTATCTTTAAATTTTTTTTTATCAATTCCAAAGTAACGCTATTGCCGTTTCGTTTCATTTTAAGGCCCCTTTATACGATCTACTGTGTGCTCCCTAAATGAATGCATAGATGTGTAGCTTTGAACTGATTTTTTCGATATTGCTACTGATGTCAACAAGCAAGTTCAAATTTGTCTTTCAAGCGACGTCGCTTTGTAAATTCCTTTTAAGAGAACACATGGTTTTCGCGGAACCTGTACCAGAAAGACCTTTAGGAAAAGTCTGGCAACTTGATCTGTAGGTGAGAGAGAAGACATCCGGTAATGACTAAAAAGGAGAGACAGAACAAAATGCCTGCAGAATCTAAGGTAAAATATCTCAGCAAACTCTAGGCTGCTACCAGACAGATTTCTTGACTTATTAGAAATACAATATGGTGTAACAAATCAAGATGATGGTTATTCTACGAGCTGTCGCCATCGTGGATTAACTTAAACAGCTTCTAAGCTTACTTTTTTTTTTCTTTTCTAAGCTTACTCACTGCTCATTTCGACGTTACGTACTCAAACATGTAGCAGTATCTCATGGTCAGTGATCACGCGCGGTCGTAAATTCTTTACTTACTAAGATCCCATTCGAAGTCGACACATACGTGCATTTTAATTGCCTGGCGAACAGTCCTTTACGGATTAAACCCAAGTAAGGCCTTTTCTCATGACCGCCCACCTTTCCGCTGTCCCATAATGACAAAGCAAAATTTTGCTTTCAGACTCAGCTTTTCCTGTTGGACATCTTAAGATCTTGTTTTTCAGGAAATCTTTGAATTCTTTGATTCAACTCGGAGGTCTGTGTGTCAGATCTATTTGCGCATAAAGTAACTTTAAAAATTACTTTCTTTCTTTCTCTTTTTTAATCTTTTGGTGCTGTTAACTTTTCTAAACAATGTTGTCTACCAAATAAAAGGACACTACAAATAAAAATTTTCTATTAGGTTGTCGTGTGTCCTAACTCTGACAGAACACATGCAGGATTGCATGTATCCTAACCACAAAATGACAAAGCAGAAATTGTCTTTCAGCTTCCTGCTGATCTAAGCTATTTCGAGGACATTTTTCCCGTGAAATCCCGGCTTACCTTGAAAAGTGTCTCTGACAACTCTGTTTCAGAATTATGTTTCACAGTAGTTAGAGATTACCTACCCCAACTCTCATCTTCACTTTGAACTGGCAGCAATATTAAAAAATATATTTCTAAAACTTGCTTGAAACGTAAACATTAGTGATGTCCCGTCTGTTAGCCGAAGTGGACGTGACTGATGAAATTCGCACGCATGTATCTATGCGTACTTTAACAAGAACAGGAATTGTTCATAGTTATCCGTTATCGGTTATGCAGCTACCTTACTTAGCAAAAGTAGTCTCTGATTTTCTCTGATTATTAAAATGTAGCTCCTGGCTTGATTAAAAAGCGTTTATTGAAACAGCCGTGTTTCTGTGTGTGTAAGAGCTCCGCGTTCACGCGTGAAGCCCATGCAAGCTTCAATGAAATAAAATCATTGAATTCAGTGTATACTGGTAACGTTTCTATAGCGTTTCTAGGAAAGTGAAATTTACTATTTTAAGAATTATTGTTTTTAGGCGCCGAGCGTGCCATCAAATTAATCTTATTTGCCAATGTGCTTTTCCGCTTATCAATTCAGCTCTACTCGGGTGCAAAATACTGTCATAGAAACACTGATATAATTCATTTACAAACAACACCTTTGCCAAATCACAAAGGGCATAATCGACTACGATTCACTACAGCTTATCGGATAATACGCTTTTAAATATTACGCTTATAACCAGCAGAGTTCATGTAGCGTAGCAGTTAGTCAAAACTTAAATATAGGTGAGTTGCTTTTTTTTTCTTAAATCGACTTATAGGCAAAAGAGACTATCTGGCTGCATACTGACGAACTGTTCACCAGCATACAGCTAAAGATTTACAGATATGTTGTTTTGAATATCGAAAAAATGTCTCCTTCAAAAAAAGCTTCAAATCGAGGGGAGATTTTAGAGAACATGATACATTGTATCTTATCAATTATGTGACTTTTCAAGCAATTTTAGTTGAGTGAAAACAGTGCGTTTGAGCATAGATTTTCTGGTTAACTTCTATCGAATAA